GGCCTGCAACTCGCAAAAAAGAACTTAGTCATTTTTGCAAAAATCCATGACCCCGGATATGCAAAAAAACTCAAAAAATGAGAAATTTATACAAAATTTTTTTTTGGCTCGAAACAACCTTGAACGCATTAAAATATATCCGCAACACCATTTGTGAAGTTTTCGGTGAATTTCAGGCCTGTAACTCGCAAAAAAAAACTTAGTCATTTCTAAAAAAATCCATGACCCCGGACATGCAAAAAAACTCGAAAAATGAGAAATTTATACAAATTTTTTTTTTGGCTCGAAACAACCTTGAACGCATCGAAATACGTCCGCAACACCATTTATGGAGTTTTCGGTGAATTTCAGGCCTGTAACTCGCAAAAAAGAACTTAGTCATTTTTCGAAAAATCCATGACCCCGGATATGCAAAAAACTCAAAAAACGAGAAATTTATACAAATTTTTTTTTTGGCTCGAAACAACCTTGAACGCATTAAAATATATCCGCAACACCATTTGTGAAGTTTTCGGTGAATTTCAGGCCTGTAACTCGCAAAAAAAAACTTAGTCATTTCTAAAAAAATCCATGACCCCGGACATGCAAAAAAACTCGAAAAATGAGAAATTTATACAAATTTTTTTTTTGGCTCGAAACAACCTTGAACGCATCGAAATACGTCCGCAACACCATTTATGGAGTTTTCGGTGAATTTCAGGCCTGTAACTCGCAAAAAAGAACTTAGTCATTTTTCGAAAAATCCATGACCCCGGATATGCAAAAAACTCAAAAAACGAGAAATTTATACAAATTTTTTTTTTGGCTCGAAACAACCTTGAACGCATTAAAATATATCCGCAACACCATTTGTGGAGTTTTCGGTGAATTTCAGGCCTGTAACTCCCAAAAAAGAACTTAGTCATTTTTCGAAAAATCCATGACCCCGGATATGCAAAAAACGCAAAAAATTAGAAATTTATACAAAATTTTTTTTTCGGCTCTAAACAACCTTGAATGCATCGAAATACGTCCGCAACACCATTTGTGGTTTTTCGGTGAATTTCAGGCCTGTAACTCCCAAAAAAGAACTTAGTCATTTCTAAAAAAATCCATGACCCCGGACATGCAAAAAAACTCGAAAAATGAGAAATTTATACAAAATTTTTTTTGGGCTCGAAACAACCTTAAAAGCTTTAAAATATGTCCGCAACACCATTTGTGGAGTTTTCGATGAATATCAGGCCTGTAACTCGCAAAAAAGAACTTCGTAATTTTTCGAAAAATCCATGACCCCGGATATGCAAAAAACTCAAAAAATGAGAAATTTATACAAAATTTTTTTTTGGCTCGAAACAACCTTGAACGCATCAAAATACGTCCGCAACACCATTTGTGGAGTTTTCGGTGAATTTCAGGCCTGTAACTCGCAAAAAAGAACTTAGTCATTTTTCAAAAAATCCATGACCCCGGATATGCAAAAAAACTCAAAAAATGAGAAATTTATACAAAATTTTCTTTTGGCTCGAAACAACCTTAAAAGCTTCAAAATACGTCCGCGACACCATTTGTGGAGTTTTCGATGAATTTCAGGCCTGTAACTCGCAAAAAAGAACTTAGTCATTTTTGTAAAAATCCATGACCCCGGATATGCAAAAAAACTCAAAAAATGAGAAATTTATACAAAATTTTTTTTTGGCTCGAAACAACCTTAAAAGCTTCAAAATACGTCTGCAACACCATTTGTGGAGTTTTCGATGAATTTCAGGCCTGTAACTCGCAAAAAAGAACTTAGTCATTTTTCGAAAAATCCATGACCCCGGATATGCAAAAAAACTCAAAAAATGAGAAATTTATACAAAATTTTTTTTTGGCTCGAAACAACCTTAAAAGCTTCAAAATACTTCCGCAACACCATTTGTGGAGTTTTCGATGAATTTCAGGCCTGTAACTCGCAAAAAAGAACTTAGTCATTTTTCAAAAAATCCATGACCCCGGATATGCAAAAAAACTCAAAAAATGAGAAATTTATACAAAATTTTTTTTGGCTCGAAACAACCTTGAACGCATTCAAAATACGTCCGCAACACCATTTGTGGAGTTTTCGGTGAATTTCAGGCCTGTAACTCGCAAAAAAGAACTTAGTCATTTTTCGAAAAATCCATGACCCCGGATATGCAAAAAACTCAAAAAATGAGAAATTTATACAAATTTTTTTTTTGCTAGAAACAACCTTGAACGCAATAAAATACGTCCGCAACACCATTTGTGGAGTTTTCGGTGAATTTCAGGCCTGTAACTAGCTAAAAAGAACTTAGTCATTTTTCAAAAAATCTATGACCCCGGATATGCAAAAAAACTCAAAAAATGAGAAAATTTATACAAAATTATTTTTTGGCTCAAAACAACCTTAAAAGCTTCAAAATACGTCTGCATTACCATTTGTGGAGTTTTCGATGAATTTCAGGCCTGTAACTCGCAAAAAAGAACTTAATCATTTTTCAAAAAATCCATGATCCCAGATATGCAAAAAACTCAAAAAATGAGAAATTTATACAAAATTTTTTTTTGCCTCAAAACAACCTTAAAAGCTTTAAAATACGTCCGCAACACTTTTTGTGGAGTTTTCGATAAATTTCAGGCCTGTAACTAGCAAAAAAGAACTTAGTAATTTTTCAAAAAATCCTGGAACCCGGATATGCAAAAAACTCAAAAAATGAGAAATTTATACAAATTTTTTTTTGCTAGAAACAACCTTGAACGCAATAAAATACGTCCGCAACACCATTTTTGGAGTTTTCGGTGAATTTCAGGACTGTAACTCGCAACAAAGAACTTAGTCATTTTTCAAAAAATACATGACCCAGGATATGAAAAAAAACTCAAAAAATGAGAAATTTATACAAAATTTTTTTTATGCTCGAAACAACCTTAAAAGTTTCAAACTACATCCGCAACACCATTTGTGGAGTTTTCGATGAATTTCAGGCCTGTAACTCGCAAAAAAGAACTTAGTCATTTTTCAAAAAATCCATGACCCCGGATATGCAAAAAAACGCAAAAAATGAGAAATTTATACAAAATTTTTTTTGGCTCCAAACAACCTTAAAAGCTTCAAAACACGTCCGCAACACCATTTGTGGAGTTTTCGATGAATTTCAGGCCTGTAACTCGCAAAAGAGAACTTAATCATTTTTCAAAAAATCCATGACCCCGGACATGCAAAAAAAACTCAAAAAATGAGAAATTTATACAAAATTTTCTTTTTTGCTCGAAACAACCTTAAAAGCTTCAAAATACGTCTGCAACACCATTTGTGGAGTTTTCGGTGAATTTCAGGCCTGTAACTCGCAAAAAACAACTTAGTCATTTTTCAAAAAATACATGACCCAGGATATGAAAAAAAACTCAAAAAATGAGAAATTTATACAAAATTTTTTTTATGCTCGAAACAACCTTAAAAGTTTCAAACTACATCCGCAACACCATTTGTGGAGTTTTCGATGAATTTCAGGCCTGTAACTCGCAAAAAAGAACTTAGTCATTTTTCAAAAAATCGATGACCCCGGATAAGCAAAAAACTCAAAAAACGAGAAATTTATACAAATTTTTTTTTGGCTCGAAACAACCTTGAACGCATTAAAATATATCCGCAACACCATTTGTGGAGTTTTCGGTGAATTTCAGGCCTGTAACTCGCAAAAAAGAACTTAGTCATTTCTAAAAAAATCCATGACCCCGGACATGCAAAAAAACTAGAAAAATGAGAAATTTATACAAAAAATTTTTTGGCTGGAAACAACCTTAAAAGCTTTAAAATACGTCCGCAACACCATTTGTGGTCTTTTTGGTGAATTTCAGGCCTGTAACTCTAAAAAAAACTTAGTCATTTTTCAAAAAATCCATGACCCTGGATATACAAGAAAAATCAAAAAACGGGCAAATCTCACAAAAAAAATTTCCGCTTAAAACAACTTAAAATGCCTCAATTTATGTTACCAACACATTTTTCTGAGTTTTGGATGAAATGAAAGCCCATATTTCTCAAAAGAACTTTTCATTTTTTCAAAAAAATCAATGACCCGGGACATACAAAGGAAACGGAAAAATTGTCAAGTTTTATGAAAATATTTTTTCCCTTGAAACAAGATTAATGTCTTTATTTAGGTTTCCAACACCATTTGTGGAGTTCTTAAAAAACTTTTCATTCAAAACAACTTGAAATATTAAAACATACCTTTTTCATTATTTCAAGACTTTTCAGCAAGATTTGAAGTTATGTCTGAAAGAAAGAGTTTGTGCTAATATTAAAAATTATGTGATTCTAATACTGCAAAACTCCAAAAAAATTGATCTTTCAAAAAATATTTTTACTAAAAACAATCTGAAATGCTTTACTTTACGTTACCAACAACATTTGAAGACTTTTGGACCAATTTGAGGCCTCTACTTCCCAGGTGATCCAAAATAAAATAAAAATAGACAAATCAAACAGAAAACTTTTTTCATTCGAAACAATTTAAAATGCCTTAATTTATGTAAAGAACACCATTTCCTAAGTTGTGCATCAATTAGAAGCCAATATTTCTCAAAAAAGAGCTTTTTCATTTTTCAAAAAAATATATCACCAGGGATATCCAAAAAATCAAAAAAGTGTCAAATCTCAAGAAAAACTTTTTTCCATCAAAATAACTTAAAATACCTTAATTTAGGTTACCAACACTATTTCCTGAGTTTTGGATCAATTGGAAGGCCATATAACTCAAAAAAGAACTTCGTCATTTCTTCAAAATAATCCATGACCCCAGATTTGCAAAGCAATCAAAAATTGGTCAAATCTCCCCAAAAAAAATTTCGCTCAAAACAACTTAAAATACCTTAATTTAAGTTACCAACACCATTTCCTGAGTATCAATCAGAAGCCCATATTTCTGAAAAAGAACGTTGTCATTTTTTCAAAAAAAATCTATGATCCAGGATATACAAAGAAATTCAAAAAACGGTCAAATTTCAGAAAAATTTTTTTTCGCTCCAAAAAACTTATAGTGCCTTAATTTACGGCTATAATTCAAAAAAAGCGTAATAAGATACTGCAAAAAATGCAAAACAGTAAATTTTTTACGACAATTGCCACTAAGTTTGCTGTTTGTGCAAGATCAAGTAACGGCTTTGGGGGGATATTGTTCTTCTTTGGGGGGAATGGACACCAGATAATAATTGCTGTAAAGGAAGAGAACACAAATATCTTTCCCCTAGATCTGTCTGCAAAAGAGTAAAATGGGTTTGGATCGAGGGGACTGCACCACTTTGGAGTTTGATATAGTAATTTAATCTTCTGCCAAAGCTTTTAGCGGCCTTGTTATCAAGCCCTCTTCTCACATAAGATGCTCAACTATTTGACAATTACATTTAAAACAAGCAGACTCTTCAGCAAAGTCCATCTCAAAAATCTTGTACAAGAAAGACAATTGAGAAAAAATGAATAGAATATGAAATTTCTTTAAATAACACTTCAAGATGAACATATTACAATTAAGTTCGCTAGTAGCGCAGCTCTAGCAAGACAATCAAATCAAACGTTGATCTTAATTTGCCACTCTTAAAGGAGGTCAACTGCAAAGACTGTGTCCAAGCATCAACCAAGGACGCGCCATTTTGGTTGGTTAAAGTGGGAGGCTATTTCACTATTCATCCTTGCTGCGGCAGATAAATTAGAAGAGTTGATGTTCGTGAAAATAATCTTTGCCAACCAAAAGCATTGAAAAAACATAGAAAAGAAAACTGCATCCGTATTAATACAATGTCAATTAATCATAAATCTTCTTTATTCTATATTCTCTATTCTATATTCTATAATAAAGCTTCTAAATTCTCTTATTTGCCCGAAACAACTCAAGAGCTGCTATTCCTGGCACTTTGAATGAAATTTTGGTCGGTGTCAACTAGTTTGAAAAGCATGAGATTGAAGAAAACATTTTAACAGTCTGTTGCCTAACTTCATACCATGCAGGGGCCTTGCACTGCCGGATAATTCAGGACATTTAAATACAAGGTTAGAGATGGCAAACGATTCTATAAAAACTGACAGCATCAAATACTTTTAATCTACCTGGTTTTAGTATGTGAATCTAAATTAACAGACAAAAAATTACAACAAGAATAAAACTAGCCAAGCAAAGCGAATCTTTTAAACGAAATAACAACCAGCAACATTCAGAAGGAAGTGGGCCCAAACGCATGACTCGTTCTTATACCACTAGATGTGATGAACTTGAAACTGATAATTTGCAAAAACAAGGCAACAAACTGTATGATAAAGACAAAAGCTTCATATAGACCAGCTGAAACTATTTATTTAAAAAACTGAAAAATCAACTTGTTTATACAAATGCTTGAACAAGACCCCCATACAATGTTACTACATGAATGTTCCAAGTGTTGAAGATTTTGTTTGCCTTTATGATCGTGTTGAGCCGTACAAGCCTGCAATAATTTACCCTGACTGTAAAAGGCACCAACAGATTAAATTAACTATAAGAACTGAGCTGCTGTCCTTTATGACTGTATGTAGACATATTTTGAGCCTAGGTTTAGTTTGATACATGACAAATTCAAGAATTGTTATTGCATGGGCTGTTTTCCGTTCAACATAGTTCTATCACCTTCTCAAGCTTCATCTCTCTTACCAAAGGATTCTTTACATCAGACTTTCGGGACACTGTTTTACAGGGTGAGTATACATGATTGCATCTCCAAAAAACTATGACATCAGCAATGTAACATTCAGTTCATATAAAAAACATGACACTGGCAAGACAGGAGTAAGAATAACACCCTACGGTGATCGTGTGATGTGCACTAATACATACCCAGGAGCTTTCATAGACAATTATTTCACCTAGGACTATGGTGTGCTTGACATGATCAAGGACAATGATGCTACTGTACTTTCAGATAAAGGGTTTGGCATTGAACAGCTGTGTTATTCTAAAGGTTTGTCCTACAAAATGAGGAAAGTGATATCTCAAAAACTTCGATGTAGCCACCTTAAGTTTCTACAACATAAACGACTGGTTAGGTTTTCTTGGTTAAATTAAAGGTGCATGAGAGATTGGTCTAATCCACGAACAGATATGACCTTTCAAGTCATGTATTTAGTATTTGCCAATATTGTTATTTGTACGCTCACGGGGGTTCAATAATAAGTTTCAAGGTATTTAGCAATAACAAAATGAATGTCCAGTTTGTAAAGAAATATGAAATAGGTGTAACATTGATATTTTTTGGGCAAAGTACATTTTACAATTTGTCTGATGATTTGTTGTGTTTTAAAAATGTTATTTGCCTTGCGGAATTATGGGTATAGTTTTCATCATGTTTGCAGAATTATGGGTCAAATTTCTTCAGACATATGCGGAGTTATAGGTCGAAGTTTTGAACCAAAATGGCACGTCCTTTGTGAGACTTATTAACATTGTAAAACTACCTTTGTAAGAGTTTGTAGTTAGGGTGACATGATAGATTTAGAAAAGCAACAACAAAATCAATTTTAAGATGATTGTTTAAGGATGAAGTATGATTACATTGCCTTACCATAGGCATATGATCAGTGATTGCTGAAGGATGATGTATGATTACATTACCTTAATATAGGCATATGATTAATGATTGTCGACGGATGAAGTATGATTACATTACCTTAACATAGGCATATGATCAGTGATTGCTGAAGGATGAAGTATGATTACTTAACCTTAACATAGGCATATGATCAATGATTGCTGAAGGATGAGGTATGATTACATTACCTTACTATAAGCATATGATTAATTATTGTTGAAGGATGAAGTATGATTACATTACCTTAACATAGGCATATGATCAATTATTGTTGAAGGATGAAGTATGATTACATTACCTTAACATAGGCATATGATCAATGATTGCTGAAGGATGAGGTATGATTACATTACCTTACTGTAAGCATATGATTAATTATTGTTGAAGGATGAAGTATGATTACATTGCCTTAACATAGGAATACGATCAGTGATTGCTGAAGGATGAAGTATGATTACATTACCTTAACAAAGGCATATGATCAATTATTGTTGAAGGATGAAGTATGATTACATTACCTTAATATAGGCATATGATTAATGATTGTTGAAGGATGAAGTATGATTACATTACCTTAACATAGGCATATGATCAATGATTGCTGAAGGATGAGGTATGATTACATTACCTTAATATAGGCATATGATTAATGATTATTGAAGGATGAGGTATGATTACATTACCTTAACATAGGCATATGATTAATGATTGTTGAAGGATGAGGTATGATTACATTACCTTAATATAGGCATATGATTAATGATTGTTGAAGGATGAAGTATGATTACATTACCTTAACATAGGCATATGATTAATGATTGTTGAAGGATGAGGTATGATTACATTACCTTAATATAGGCATATGATTAATGATTGTTGAAGGATGAAGTATGATTACATTACCTTAACATAGGCATATGATTAATGATTGTTGAAGGATGAGGTATGATTACATTACCTTAATATAGGCATATGATTAATGATTGTTGAAGGATGAAGTATGATTACATAACCTTAACATAGGCATATGATCAGTGATTGCTGAAGGATGAGGTATGATTACATTACCTTAACATAGGCATATGATCAGTGATTGCTGAAGGATGAGGTATGATTACATTACCTTAATATAGGCATATGATTAATGATTGTTGAAGGATGAAGTATGATTACATTACCTTAAGCATAGGAATACGATCAGTGATTGCTGAAGGATGAGGTATGATTGAACTGGGCTCCTTAACAAGCCACTGGAAGCAAAGCAAGTAATACATATGTGAACAAAATACCTCATCTATCCCTAAACTTCTAGTTATCAGAAACCCAACAAATTTAAAAACAGCAAAACCACCAGGAACTGATAATGTATGCACACTGCAGAATTTACCCATACATACAAAGAGGCAATGTTTTGAGAAAGTTGGCCATGGTAGCAGTGGTGTAGCCTGAGCGCAGAACTTAGGCATGCGGTAACATAAAATATACGACTATGTTGAATGAATGTAATTGTAATTTCAGCTTCTTAAAAATACAAGCGGTAATTAATGGTTATCGTGATAATAAGTTTTGATTTTGAAAGTAGCAAATATTTGTACTAGAGTAATTCTAATCAATCAAGGTGTCTATTCTCTGCATCAGAGGCTAAGACACAGGTTCGAAAGTGAAGGGGGGCAAGGGAAAAATTATCAACCATGCGAAAAGTTTTTTAAAAAAGCTCAATTATTTTGCAAAAATTTTTCAGAATAACTCCTAGTGCTAAAACAGCTTCGCAAAGATCTTATTTTTATGTGCCCATAATGTCAGAATTTTTTATGCTATAATGCAGCTGGTGATTCCTGCAAGAAGGAGTTCTCCACATTTCAAAATTGTTAACACACTGCAGAGCCAAAGCAAACTGGAGCAACAGTTTCTGCTCATTGTCTCCTCTCTTTGTTAACAAAGATGACAATAATGAGCTGTGAGAGTTGTTAGAATTGAAGATGCTTCCATGTGTAAAGTAAAGTTAGTCCCTGCAAATCTTCAACTATTTGGCAAAGGTTGCGCTTAGGTCTACCACATGCCCTGGTCCGAAAATTCTTACTATACTCATACTGGCTTGTCTTTGGACTTGAATTACGGAATGCGGATCATGACAAATAGACTTTGAACCCACTTTGACGAAACTTTTCTCTTTTTAACAGTCACAAAGTAAAGAAAGAATAATTATTGAATTTTGAATGATGTTTCACGCAAAGAATATTTGCAAAAAGCAGCTTATAGGTAGAAAAATGTTGTGGATTATCAAATATTTGGGAATGCTTGCGCTCAGGCCATCGCAAGCTCCAGTCTGGAAAATTCTCACTTCTCTCAGCAGTTTCTTTCAAGCTGCACTGGAGCATTGCATGTTAGACAGGCAAAAATAGTGATGTTGAGGGGCTTCAATTTTTAAGATTTTTTTAATTTCCATATTTTTAGCGATCTGTTTACTTGGAAAAATAGCTAATTGGGGCCAATTGACATGTTAGCGCTGGAGTTCACTGCATGCTGCTCGTGACAAGAAAGAGAAGCCATTTATTGCGGAAATTGTTATGCATTGACTTCAAGACTAATGAATTTATTACCGGTAGAAGTGTTGCAAGAATTTTAGAATTTGTCTAGAATTTTTACGCTTACACCGCAAGCCTAGCATACATAGACGCTACGCCACTGCATGGTAGACAGATTGTCTTAGACAGATAGATGAAATGTTATCTGATTGATGAAAGACTATTTGCTGAAAACAAAACTCTTTAAAAAACACAACAAAGTCATGAGTGAATATCAATTAAATTGATTCTGAATATCATTGACTTTCATTTCTTGAATGATGGTGCTGGCCTTCTCCATGTTTTTTTAAATGAATAGCCCCTGTACAAATTCTCACTAGAAGCAACCGCTTTACTTTATTCCCAGCTGAGCACAAGATGGAATGATCAATCATAAACTCTCTTTATCCTTTTTTGGGACTTTTATGTTGGACAAAGAGTGAAAATGCAAAAAAACTGCAAAGCAGCAAGAAAGCAAGTGACTGAACCTTGTCAGTAGAATGTAATGTTTCAACAGTTATTTAGAATAAAATTAATTGTAAACAATTAGTGTTGTAAGCACACTTGCAAGACTGTTGAATCTTATCAAATACCTTTAAGAATATTTTTAAAATGTCTTTTTGATGGTAAAATGTCATCAGATATTAATAAAGATTTTCTCCTTCCTTTCGGGTTTTTTCCTCTTTGTTAACAATTCAGATAACAATTCAGACCATGAAAATAGGCCATGAAACTTTAAGGTTAAAAAATACAGTAAGCCACTTTTGAAATCATGCGCTGTCAACTTTTACAAAATATTATTCAGAATTTTTGACAAAATTTCATTGGTATTAGCAAAAAAATGAAAATTACTGTCTACCAACAAGTGCAGGCAGTGCTGTACACGCATAGTGGTATATAGAACAAGGTGATTCTAAGTTGCTATTCCGAGTTTCATGCTAAATGGCATCATAAGACAACTGTCAGAAAAGATGGCTTTAGGAAAATAGTGTAGAGCCGAAAGGATCAAAATGTGATCCTACTACGTTGACGAATGTCCTAGCACGGACCTCGCCCCCCTTCTATAATTCAATTCTGGGCCGACATTGCTGAAGAATCGCAGTTTGCTAGCTAGTTAAAATCAACAACTAGCATTAGAGATACCATCATACACACGAATACAAATTTGGTAATAGTGATAAGTTGACAGAAGAGGGGTGCAACATACCGTATCAATTTTGCTGAGATTTGCTTCATAGACATCGTGCTGATATGTTCGTGTCATGCTCCGCCATCACTTGCAAGTGCAACACTCCGGTTTTGCATCTATAGTAGAACAGCATCCTTTATGTCAGTTGCAGTTAAGTTTTAATCTTATTGTGCATAGACGTATCCAAGACTGGTTTATAAATGGAAAAAAGAAGGAATGGAACGGCAACCAGGTCCACCGGCCATGTTTTATGTAATGCAGCAAGTGTTCATTCCCGCCGCGTTCGTTGGTTGAAGCGAGGCTATAACGTTCCCCAAGGAATTCGCAGCGTCGCTCGCGGTCCAAATACAGTTGATATCGTCAAGAGAGAAAAAACCTCTAAAGGACCGACATTTCATAAATATAAGATAGACAGTAAAAAGGGTAATCTTGGCATAGAGAGGCTTCATATTCTATTTCACATAGATCCCACAGTTTGGCACCACCCACGTAGCTGTAGATATCGACTTGGGTGGGTAATCTTGAGCAAGAACCATACTTCTGGGGGGGGAGGGCTTTTAAACAAGAAAACAGATAATTAAGGAAGCACTCATAAAGTACCTGCTATATTATGGGGGTAATATTTAGATAGGCCAAGAAAATTTCCGCCAAACCTTTTTGGGGTGACAAAATATTCCATGTCCTTTTCGTAAGGCCATCAAAATGTTTTACAAATTTGCAGAACTGACCACATCTTCGCACTAGTGCAAGCAAAGGCAGACGTTCCAACTTAAGAATAGCTAAAATCTGGAGTTTTATAATAAATTCCCGCAAAAAAATTGGTTTAGGCCCATCCGCCAAAACTGATTCTCTTGCATGCTGGAAAGAATTCTAACTCTGGATAGGTGATCAATTCAGAAAATGAAGTAATGCATTATCTCTTACAAATAAACAGTATTTTATGAGAACTCTTTACCTTAATACGAATCCTATTTCTAACAGATGTGTGAGAAAATTGACTATAAAGAAGTTTTTAGAGACAGAATCGTTGGAACTTATCAGTTTTAAAGCTCAAGTTGAACATGAATGTTCTCTATTATAAATCATACAATGATACATGCAGATTGACATTTTAGAACTCACTTATTTCATTTTTATATTCAGAAATAAAGTTTGATAACAGATTCATAAAAAAGTTTTGAAATTATTTAGTCTCAAAAACATAGCTCGAAACTAGTCATATCATTATTTGCCACCGCAGACGTCTACAAAACCGTATCCACGAATTCATGAGGCTCCGGTACCCAGGGTATTTATTTCAATTCATGCCATAGATGCCGACTAATAACTTTCTCGGCGGCGGCTCAAAATTTGAAATGAAAACACTGTTTAAATGGGGGTTTGTATTCTTCAGTACCCTGGGTACCAGACTCTGTTTTATTTCATATATAGTGAGTCTGGTACCCAGGGTAATTCTTCACAAACTATTCACGATCCATTCCATTTTAGTGTGATCATTCCCTTTGGTAAAATTGTTTTCCCTTTGATAGAGAATAGCAACCGAAAAAGGCACCTTTCTTGATTTGCAGTTTCTAAAACAGAGAAAGTGTACTGCTGCTTTGCTGTTCCTCAAAAATATGTTCTGCCTTAGACAGCTGTCAATGTCGACTAAGCCCCCTATACTTGTTCCCCCGGGGAAGGCTTGAGCCCCAAGGTCTCCATGCAGGAGGCGCCCAAGCCTTCGTAGCATCAGTACTACATGGGCGGCGCCAGAGAGGGGTTGGGGGATTTAGATAGTGTGACAAATCCTTTCATAAGCGAAGATCTATTGGGTCTCACAAATTATTAAATTCCGTTCTAAGACTGGAATTAATCAAACATAACAAAATGATGCCTTAAAAATAGCAATATTTTTCAAACGATTGCAAGAAAATGATTGCAAGGAATGTTCTGAAATGTATTTCAAGCCAATCTAAAGGGTGAGGTCACAAATATTCTCTGTTCGCATCGCTCACAGGAGAGCCTCTTGTTTCGAATATACCTAGGACCTCTGACAACGTCTCGCCGGCCCTTCCAATGTACCGCTAGCACTGAGTGCACAAGCATACCAACTCCGCCGTCCACTTCCCCTGCGCTTGAGGGTAGTGATGAAATGAAAACGCTGCTTCCCCGCCATCAGATGTTTTTACACCAGTTCATATTATTCTAGTTATACAACTGACATTAATGGGCCAGAAGAAAGTAAAGATGAGGTTGAAAACACCTTGAAACTGAAAATCTACTGAAAGTGACGATGAGCAGAACAATAGCAACTACGGCGCTGTCAAGGGAGAATGGGGAGTAATTACCCTCTACTGCTGTAAATACTCTCTGCCGTAGGCGTTCATGGATTGCCTTTCAGTCTCTGTATAGGGTAGAACGTCGATCCACAAAACTTATCTCAAAGTTAATGAACAGGGGAAGATAAGCCCACGTTCAAGCTTTTCCTTAGGAAAATGCACCGGTTTTCTATCCCAGGGACCATGCCCATTCATATTTTGCTCCACTGACGGTGCTCCCATTGATCCCCTCCGAAATTGCCTTAAAAATCAGTTTATGATGTTCACGGGTAGTGCCTTCTAGAAAGGAGTGTTTTATAGGGCCATGAAAACATGCTGATTTGCTAGTTGGCCACAAAGATTGGACAGACATCTAAGATGCTAGGGAAATATTTTTCTAAATATTTAAAAAATTGTCCACCACTATATAGTAGATTTAAAAAATTCATAATTAACGTTACATCTAAAAAAATTATAAAATATGTATTACGTACACAAACGTCAGTAGTACTTCAAAGTTAAGTATCTTGGAAATGGTTACTCGAGAAAAGCAAGTGTTTGAGAAAACTGTTTTCTTGAGATATGGCGATTTGAGTTAGTGATTTTTCACAAAAAAGGAAAGACCGAAAATTATTGTCTCTTAAATGTGCTTTTCTCTTTTCTCTATAAAGCGTTAAAAGATTTGAATAAAGTTTTGTCTTTGTCCAGTGGGATTTAATCCTTCAGATATGGCAATTTAAATTGGCGACTTTTCTTGAAAAATAAGGCTATGGGTTTCCCAAGATTACTGATTTTGCACCAAAATTGAACTTTGCTTAAAAAATGATGTTCCATATTCTATATGAAGCGTAAAAAGCCTTGAATCAAGTTTCGCCGTCATAGAATCTGGTTTTGTTCATAAAATGTGCCGTTTTTTAATAGTGTGCTTTTTATCGAACAAAACGGTTATAGGCTGACCAAAATTGCTGGCCTTCGACGAAAAATACTTTCATCATTGAAATGCTCATCCCAAATACTAGTAGAGATTTGGTCTTCATGACACCGCTAATATCAGCGCCTTTAAAATTGAGTGTGCTTGAAATATTTAACGAGATATCATTAACAGAATGGTATCTTATCATATAACCCATCTTTGCGGACATAGAGCTTAGACTATTCATTGTTAAATTTCAAACATTGCTCAAGGTCAGTCAGATATAAGACAAAAAGGATTGGGTCTGAACAGGACCCTTCTGGAGTACCCCTAGGGGGTACTCTCATTAAAGCCTGAAAGGGGGTCCAGTCGATTTGAGGGTCTTTCCAAATGGCTACCAAATGGCCCACTTTCGATAATAACACTACCATTTAACAAAGTCTTATCTTTTGTTATAGAAAATTAACAAAATCTTATCTTTCCCGAATGAACAACAGTCAATGGCGAAGAAATTTTCCAAAGTAGGACCTGGTGAGCACAAATAAATGGATGCTACCAAGAGCATAATTTCGGTTATTATGCTACCATTTTAGGGTTATTGTCAAAAAAGACTACCATTTGAGGGTAATTTTTCAACACCTTAGCATTGACCCTGACTGGACCCGCTATTAGGTCATAATGGGTGTAGCCTCCCCCATCCCTTGGGGGGGAGTACCACACAATTGTAGCTCTGTTATCGTTGATTACGGAGCAGTAAAAAGACAAAACATTTTCCTCTGACCAGTTCTGTTTCTCATCCCTCACAACATTTTACCATTATTGAGTTGTCAACAGTATAAAATGAACTCCTTTTATCAAGAAATATGGTCAAGTTTATTTTTGGATTCAATACCTTAGTAAACCATTTACCCCGGTACTGCATTGCAAATAAGTAATCATGGATTAAAGTTTATTGAAAAATGACTTATTCTTGGTGATTCAAACATGAAAGATAATAATAGTAATTTATTTGGATTCGATATAAAAATTTCTTTTTGCACCATTTCTTAAGTCCAAAATAACAAGTTTCATTCTGAGATCATTAAAACCTTAAAGTCAAAAGCGCGATCAGCTAAAGGAATTCTTCTACATAACGACTATCGAGCTTTATATTTCAACCATGTTTTTAAAAATTCACAACTTTTCCGGCTTAAATGAAGTTTGGTTCAGAAAAGTGATTAGTTGCCAAAATACTTTTGCGGCTGGAAGGTCAGAGCAGGGGCGGACTGGCTAATTTTTTTGGCCCGGGCAAATTTTTTATCTAATTAGCCCATAATAAAAGCAAATAAAAAACTCCTCGGAAAATGCAAGTAAATGTTAGTCTGTAAGGAAAACAAGTCTTTAAATTCAATAATTTTGTGCATGGGTAAATGCTGGTTAACAGAACATGTTAAATATGTCATTTGCTAACTAAAGAGCAGGGCCGTAAATCCCGAGGGGACGGGGGGGACTGGACCCCCCCCAAAAAAAATCTTTAACGTCCAAAAAGTCCTAATGTTCCGAATTTTTGAACCTCTATTAGTCAAATTGCGGTACCAAGACCTCCATAATAGCTCCTTAATTTTAACTGCACATTTAGTGACATGATAATAGCATAGACACAAAAAATGAAATTCTGAGTTTTGCTTTTAACTGTAGCTAGGAACAAGGGCAAAAGACAAAAAGGGAAAGAGGTCAAATTAATTTGCGTAAAAGTACCACGTCAATAAAGAGGTACTTTTGCACGTAATATAGAGAGAAGCAATGACTACACCCTTTATTATTAGAATGCAATAATTTTTGCTCAGCCTCTATTTTTTTAAGGAAGTTTTCGTTTTGAGCCCTAATATTTTCTTAGATGCATCCTTATTTTTTTTAATCTGATATGGTTTTAGGAAAAAATCGCTTGCTCTCGAATAGAAAACACCTTTCTTTCTTTCCCCGACGTCTGTCACTAGAGTTTAAGCATGACTCTTCCCTTTCCGAATTTCTCCCAGAACAATAATCAGTGTTCTTCTGAGAAACGTCGATTTGTCTATCCTGAACGGTATAGTATTTTGTTAAACTTGATCTGGGAGATGCTTTTCTAGCTATTCAGAAGGTATGATTTAAAAAATTGTCTTTCGCGTCGGCCCCAACCATGGTTGGTCCTCCTACATCCCTAAGCGCGATTCACAGCCCCTCTGGCTCAATTTCCTCAAGCTGTCTCTGAAAAATGTTATCAATTCAATTATAAAGAAGTAAACGTGCTAAAATTACTACGTAATCTGTTCTTTATGTATTTGAGGTGGAAAAGCTTCTATCACACTTAACTTGTGACAATTAATTTCCTAATCCTCCGTAAAACCACAATGAATTTCAGCAACCCAAAAATATCAAGCTGTCAATTTCTGACCCCAAAAAGAAAACATGGGGACCCCTGTTGAAATTTTATCGTGTAGCACCATACCCCTGTTGGGGGGGGTGCATTTGACTTATGATAGTATAGGCCTAATAAACTTACCATAACTAATATGAGTTTATTGAAAAGAGCAAGACCCTGCTGTTTTTTGTGACGTTTGTGGCTTTTGCTTGATAAGAAAAGCTTTGTATCGTAGCTAAATCCTTTTTTAAGTCTCGCATCTCTTCCTCACGAAATTTCTGTGCACCACCTTTGGCTGGAATCTTCTTGCTCTTCCTTTGTTCTACGTATGTCCTCTTCATTGCTTCACATCACAGAGCAAATCGCTTAGTGAACTCCAATTTCTGGACTTTTAAATTTATTACATTTAGCAATAGCTTGTGCTTAGGCAAGAACATGACCAGCTTCAAGCAAAAGCTAAGTAAAAAGATATCAGGGCAGGTTAAAATCTTATGCATCGCGTTGAAACAGGGGTGTTACAGTATAATATGTCGCCAAACAGGAAATACCGTCAAGAGAAAATAGAACAAGATGTCAATAAAATGTTTCCTGAAGAAGTGTGTTTGGGCTGCGGTGACAATAATGAATTCATAAGTTTGATGGTTTTGGAGTACTCGCGTGTATATTTATTCTTTCCCTGAAAATCCCTGTCTCTGAAAATCTCTGAAAATTTAAGGCAAACAGATCAACGCATGGGTATAGTTTTTTGCTTCGCATTCACTTTTTAAGCTAATTTATTTTCTTGCACTTTTATCAGCCGGCCCTTAAACCGACCGGCCCTTCGGGCGATCGCCCGAATAGCCCGACCAGCCAGTCCGCCCCTAGTCAGAAGGCCATTCAAAAAATTTGACTGCCAATGCTTCTATCGCTTACATCACATGGCGAGCCCTTCCATCAATTCAAAACGATTGCGTTGTCTCTAGTTCACCCGGTCTTCCAATAAAAATGAATTCTCGAAATGTCACTCGATCACCCAGATCGCATGTAGCAGTAATGAAAAAAGTAAACACATTGTAAACTAAATTTGAAAAAGTCACAACAGTATATAGTAGAAAATATGTATTATAAAAATTCTATTTGGACTGTCACCTTCCCTAACTTAATACAAAACATCATCAAAAAGAAGTGCGCTAAGTCTAGAATTCATTTTAAGTAGAGAATCTATGCACAAAAGTATTGGTATGAACCTTTAGGGTGGATAATGATGTTAAGAATGATGTTGGTTGGGTTAAGTTATACATAAGCACATTGAAACCATATCCTGGTGATATGGTAGAACTGCCTCAAAATGTGCATGGCATCTCATTACTTGAATCTTAACACCTTATTTAGATTTATGGTTCGTTAATGAATGAGACAGCTTTGAAAGGTGTGTTCAAAGGTGAACATGTGGAATGGAATGAAGGTACCATAGCTATAATCCAGTTTAAATGTCATCCATCAGCCTGATTTGGGCCTCACAGCGCCCTGATCTCTAGTTGTCTATAACTTGACAGGAAAAGCGATGCTGCTTTCGTAGGGTACTAAAGTACGATGATCTCGAGGGAAAATCAGCCTGTTATTACACTATTATTTACTTAATCGAGAATATGTAATATGCCTCACTGCCACTGCCACTGTTCACACGTCCAGTCACGACAGCTCCCTTTGTGCTTTGAGAGGTATCTGTTTGCACACCATGGCTATTGGTCTCGTTGCTAAATTCTGAGGCACTTCCATTAAACCTTGCTGATACAAGCAACCGGTTTGAGCTCAGAGTCAGAGGAACTTCCCATCCAAATGAAATACCTTGCGGATATCTATAAAAGGAGAAATCACCTTTCAAAGTAAAATTGCTAGGCAATTTAAATCACGTAGAATTTTTCTCTTTAAAGACACAAAAACGTCTAAATAAGTGCCAATAGAAGTATCAAGTCTCCAAGAGGCCTTCGATCTACTCTTGACCCCTGACTTTGAACCCTTCATTAACACTGCGTACTTACTGTCATTATACTGTAAGTTCATTAATCGCTCTAAAAAGATATTTGAATCACCCAAATGTTTATTATTAGTAATAAAAAAGACTTAACGCAATTTTCTTTATAAAAATTTGCTTAATGGGAAAAACAGTGGTCAAATGGAAGTTTTTCTTTATAGTTAGACATAGCCAGTTGTATTATTGAAATAAAAAAAGAGCGCTGCCTCAAAAAAAGGGCAAACTAAAATAGCATTGTTCCTGAGAATCGAATCATCTATAAGTTACATCCAAACAGTGAATATTGGCACGCACTGAATGTTTAAAATACCTTTCAGTTGCAGCGAATTGCATACCCCCTTGTGAGCCATAAAGAGCACTGTCTCTTTTTTGTGCAGCGAAAAAACCGGCTGTAACAGCTCCCTCGACCATGACTTTCTTAGTCGTTGGGTTAACAATTGGTGACAGTCGCTTAGGTAGAATAGGCTGTGGATTATCAACGGAAGCTTTCTCTTTGAAAATGCCAATAATTTTGCCATGGGTCGCATGCAGATCGACCATAACCATATCCTCATCAGTGTCGTTTATGATAACCATTATCCCAGCGGCATTTTTGCTCATGAATATAAAAATTGGGACTAAAACAGCCAGAATGCAAGTTGCAATGGCCATCGTCACCACATTGACACCAATGATTGCAATTCCTATGGGCAGAAGAATAGCTCAAAAGTACATAAAAAATTGAGAAACGCTATTGGTGTATAAAGCAGGACGGTTCTTAGTTCCTACTCCAAGTTTTTCACGCTTAAAGGCAATCTGTCACGACGTTGATTGTTTATAAGAACAAAGGGATTTTTTATTGTTTCCAGTCCCCCTTTAATTTATCGCATTGTAAAAAATATGGCGGAGCGCTGGAATCGTGTTTAGGCTATTGTTCCAGCTATTGTTCTCGTTAACCAATCCACAACGAGACAGATTGCCTTTAATGCAATCATCAGGCAACTGTCGCAGCAAATTGCATGATTGGTGGAAAGTTGCTTTAAATCGCGAAAGTTGAATGATCGCATTTAGCGTGAAACTCGGAACAGCAACTTGGAAGCGCCCCGTTTCTTAAACTAAAAGCGTGTACAGCTTGGCCTTAACGGCATGAAACACTTCACGACAGACCGGTAAACAGCAATTTTCGAAAGTGAGAAATGCAAATTTGGCATAACTAAATATTTGTTGGGAAGAAATTGCAATCTTGTTAAAAAATGTCTATTGATAAAAAGTGCGGGTATCAGTTTGTTTAAAGCATGCCCCTGACTGAATAACATTTTATCATCGACATAGTCGTGATTAAACATAAAATTGGTGCATTGAAATTGTTCTCGACTATTGTTATGTCTTTTAGAAAGGTGTACTCGACTATTGTTATTTAAGATAGATCAACTGGCTGCTCCATGTCGAGGACAATGAATCAATAACACAATCCTATTTGATAGAATTTTACTACGCAAAAATTGCCCAAAATCGAAAAATGGATACCAAACTGAATGCAATGTATGGGAGAGATTGCAATAATAAAACGAGGTTGCTGTAAGATATTAGTAAGCGATGTTATTCAAAACAACAAAAAGTGTTTATTTTAGCAAAAAAATATGTAATTGGTGACCCTACGAGAAGACAAAGCATTTTCCTTGATGCCTCTTTTAATAACTTATAAATTTGAAAGAATCTATAACCTTCAAAGTTATTTTTAACGAGCGTATAAATTTCGAACTTATAAAGGCCTTTCCATACCTTCTGCGATCGCCTCAGCCTCTACTGCTTCAGTTATAGCTGAAGCTGCTTGCATCGCTCTCCACGCGGCCCTTAGCCCTGTAAGTCCGATGCCCCATAAGCCAGCTTGCATGAACCCATTAACCATTTCCTCTTTGTTGTCTTTTTTCATTGCCTGGAAATCCCGAATGAGTGTTAATATCCGAGATTTTATATCATTACCCTGGGCATTTCCGTATTGATCAGCAACTGATGGTTTCCAACCCCAAACCATATAAGGAGCAGCTGTGCTTGGGATAGATACAGCAGCCGGGGGCTGTGTTAAGGCCATTGCCGTTATTTCATTTTCTGCAGGATCTTCTTGCTCTGGTAGTAGATCAAATTCGGGGACATCACCTGTTATCAAAATGTAGCGTTAGACAATATAGCCATCCTCAGACGTTGGGTTAAAATCATTCCCAAGCTACAATCACAGAATCTAAACGAAAACACCTCAAAATCTTGGTATAAAATTGTGCAAGAGGCAGAAGTTGGCAGCAGGAGGGAAGTGCAGAGGGTGTGGTCGGTAAATCTTCAGTTGGTCCACACAATCCCTGGTTGGTCGGTAAAATTGCCTATTGCTAGATGAATGTCTTTGTCGGTAAATAAAATTAAACTCCCATCTCCCCAACACCCCTTACTCTGGATTTAAACCCCTTAGCCTTGGCCACAGGATCATTATTTCAGCCAACCACTCAATTTCTGACAGACGAATACAGTTTCTATACATTTATTTAAAGTTCTAAGAATGGTCCGATTACAATGTCATGCCAACGATAATGAAGGATTCGCTAACCTTTGTCGTTGATCAGTCCCATCTCTAATGCATGATGGCGCTCTTCTTTCGTCATTTTATCTGCAATTGATTTCAGATTTGCCCTGGCCTTTTCAATTGCTTCGTGAATCGCTGGTTTTCCCGCCTTTGCTGCCGCTCTCCAGTCAATACCATTAACTTTTTTCTCGTGATCAAGAATCTGGTTTACGAGTTCTTCATCCGATTTATTGTCTGCTTCTTTAACAACCTCATTTGTCGAGGTAACTGAATGGTTCTCAAGCAGATTGCCTTTCTTGGACTCTGTAACATTAAACACATAATACCCTTCGCTTCCACTGGCACTGTGAACTCTGCCGACTACTTTTGCACCATTACTTCCCATGGCAGTGTCCTCCTGTTTATCTCCATCATTCGTTTTGTCACTAAATTCAGATGTGCTGCCATTAAAGTCAGCTGACACGAGAAGACGATTGCTTCCTTGACTCAAAGGCACCTCCCATCCCATAAACACTCCTTTTGGAAATGAAGTCATTGGACCAAACTTAAGAGCACCTTGCGATCCAATAAGAGCACTGTCATTCTTTCTTGCTGCGAAAAATCCAGCTTGAATAGAACCTTTGCATACTTCTTTGCCAGTCTTCGGATTAATAATCGGAGGGAGCCTTTTAGGGATAATTGGTTTCGGATTGTCCAGATCTGGATTTTCCTTGAAGATCCCAACAATCTTGCCATGTGTAGTGTGGTATTCAAGCAGATCAAGATCGCTATCGGTATCATTGACAATCACAAATATAGCTGATGCATCTTTATTCATGTAAATAAAAAGAGGCACGAGAATCGCTATGATCACTGTTGCAATGCCAATCTTTATTACGTTTACTCCAACTTCCATAATGCCTGTAAAAACAGCATAGGCTTCAGTTGCCTGTGTAAGCTTGTACAATGTTTTGAGAATTTTAATCACTTGAATGAGCCCGTACCCACCAACCGCCCACATTCCAGCGTCCATAAAGGCTTTCACCATCATTCGCTCATCATCCTCACCCATAACTTGAAAATTACGAACCAAATTGACAATCAGGTCTTTGATGCGTTCTCCTGTTGCATTCTGAAACTGAGCAGCGTGTTCTTCCTTCCAGCCCCAGATAGTATATGGAGCAGCATCACTAGGAATGGGGGCTGTATCAAGTTTTCCTTCTCCAAGAATATCATAAAAGGGGACTTCACCTAGAAGGGAAAAAATTATAGGCTGTTTTTAGCACCTCATATACAAAGGAATCTTTATTGTCGTTGGGATTAGGGATGTTGCGGGGCTTCAAACATCCAATAATTCCCAAAAACTAACCATTGCAGTTAAATTATGCTTCTTTTTAGCGCAAATCATACTAAAAAGTTTCAGCTTTCCCTCTTCAATCCGCACTTTACCCCATGATTCCTGCATATTCAACTATACAGGATCTATACTGCCAGATACCTTTATGGTTATACAAAAACTAAGATACTGAATGAATTTCTTTTGAACGGTCACCTTGAAAAGTCAGCAGCTTGCAAAATGCTACTTAACCCTTGTTTAAATATTGTTGTATTTTATACTGTTCAGCAATCCAACAGTTAAGACACAGCTATTCTTCAACAAACATTTATTTCTTATATTGCATTCAAAGTCACTTTGAAGTTTTAGAAGGTTCCTCGTTTTGCATAGCGATGCATCAATCCATATTCGTATGATTTTCTAAAAAAAATTTTCAAAAGACTTTCAAAAAACAAAATAGATCTTTTTTGATTTCTTGATTTTGAACGACTTCTTTAACACATTTGGTCCGAGAGTGTCCATTGCCGTTGACTGATCCCAAAGCTGGTCTACTACATTGAAGTGTTAAACACCAAAGGATGACCAAGGGTATGACGAAGTGGCGACTAGGGGTATCCTTGATTCGACCAGGTTTATTCAACTCCTTGCTGTCAATTATAGCCCATCAATTCATGCAGAGATATGTCTGGAAGTTCATCGTATGAAAATTTTCTTAACCAGAATGTGATACGTATTTCGAAAATTACCTGATGAATATTTGTTGGCATACATAAACAGTTACCTGTATTTCCGAGCAGTCCCATTTCCTTTGCACGCTCCACTTCTTTGTCACTCATCTTTCTCCGAATGCTATCAAGCCTTTGATGGGCCTTTTCCATCGCTTCTTTAATTTTTTCCGAACCTCCCTTTGCTGCTGTCTCCCAGTCAATACCATAATGAGTTTTCTCGTGAGCAATAATGTCAGCTATCACCTAACGACAAAAACAATGCTGCAAAACGACAATTTATTCAGCTGTTTTACACTCAAATCCTTAACGCATGTATTAAAAGAGGAGATATTATAGGGGATCCAAAGCCGTAAAACTTAGTAAAAGTCAGCCAAAAGCCGCAATCTGAAATAAGTTACAAACATACGTTGTGAAAGGAGTTATTTCTGTATTTTCCAATAACCTTGTTGTAATTATACCTGATTTAACTATTTGAATCTTTTGTTGCCGTGCAGATAATCCAATGCTGAGAATATATATGAAGTGAGAAATAAAAAGGAAAAGCTTGGAGTGGCGCAAAAAACCAACAAAGGCCTTCAAACAACGTTATACCAATCTTAACGCCATCGCTCCAGTAGCGTAGTGGATAACACTGTTGCCTGTGTGACAATGGGCGACACGGCCCAGTCCCAGCAGAACTTATTTGATCAAACGTAAACGTTAAAGACTCATTGCTAACAATGAGCCATTGCGCTACGAAAGCATCCCATAATGCATTTTTAGACAGTCTGAAATCAATTTTGGTTAATTCGTAGAAGCTTACTGCCATTGTTTGGATCGTCGCCACGCTCGCAAAGGCCCATTGTTAGCAATAAGTCTTTAACGTATTTGATCAAAACAAAGTAAATCGCACATGCTCTAGGATGAATTTTCCGCAGGAAAATTTTCTTACCTCGTTTGTAGTTTTCCCTTGAGTGACGTTGGGTGATTTCAAATCTTTGATTTCCGCCCATAACTTGTCTGCCTTTTCTTCTACGGACTCCGTAGGTGACTCCCTCAAGGCTTCAACTTTAGGTGCACTTATGTTCATAATATAATACGCGCGACTACCACTGCCGCTGTTTACTCGCCCAACAACAGTTCCATTTTTGATACTTGTTGATGAATCCTCTTGCTTGTCCTCTTCGTTAGTTTTTTCACTGAATGCGCTGGCAGTCCCATTAAAATCCGCAGAGACAAGCAGTCTGTTACTGCCAATGCTCAAAGGAATCTCCCATCCAATCGAAACACCTTTTGGAAAGATAGTTGTCGCTGAAAACTTCATGGCCCCTTGTGACCCCACCACTGCATTGTCATTCTTCCTGGCAGAAAAGAACCCAGCAAACACAGCTCCAGATGACATCATAATTCCCTTATCATTATACACTGCAGATTTTCTCTTAGGAATAATTGGCAAAGCAATGCTTTGGTTTGCGTTCTCTTTGAAAATACCAACTATTTTTCCATGGGTTGTGGCTAGATCTTGGAGGCTCATAACATCATCAGTGTCATTGATAATTACCATCACTTGAGCTGCATCCTTCATTGCCAAGACAAATATCGGAACGAGAATTGCCAAAACGAATACAGATATAGCAAACTGTATAACTTTGAGGCTAATTGTTACTATACCATCTGCTAAAGCAACAATTCCATCAGCAACTTTTTCGATTGTTTTCATGACTTTCCAAACGGCCTGTGCACCGGCAGCCCCAATGCCAATCAAGCCACATTTCATAAAAAAGTGAGCCAGCATATTTTCGTCACTTTTTTCCATAACTTGGAAATTCCGAATTAGATTTGAAATAAGATCTTTAATCTTATCACCTTTGGCATTTTGAAACTCTGCAGCTTTTTCTCTGGTCCATGCCCAACAAGGGAATGTTCCTGCTCCACTAGGAATTTGCGCGAGGTTTGCTTCCACTCCAGCCTCTCCTCCAAGAAGATCCAGCTCCTTCACATTTCCTGTAATCAAGAAAAAGCTTAATGCAAAAAACTCAAGAGGGAAATCCAACACATAAAAATTTAAGTTAATATCGAATTATTTTTATAAAAAGTGCTACTCAAATTGGATGCAAATTGAGTTGTACCGACATCTTAAATTTATAATGCAAATACCAATATGAAACGATTCATAAAAGTAGTGGCGAAAGAAAGGAATATGGAGCAATCTTATTTTGACATAAAAATGAACTTGAAACAATATAGCAATACCTTTAGCATCTAGCAAACCCATTGACTTCAGGCTATCAACCTCGTGCTGGTTCATCGCTTTTCTCAGCTTATGCAGTCTGCCATGGGCCTTGAGCACAGCATTACCCATGCTACGCGGGCCCTCTTTCATTGCAGCGCGCCAGTCAATCCCATGATGCTCTTTCTCATGATCCAATATGTCCTCCATAAGTTCTTCAGATGTTTTTCCCTTTGTGACGTCAGGTATCTCAATATCATTAAGCAGCTTTCTTCGCTTGTCAGCGTCTTCGTTGCCGTCTTGCTGTGCATCGGGCACGATTGCGTCCTTCGGTGGCCCCGCGAATCTTATTATGTAATAAGCTTCTCCTCCAGTCTTGCTATTCACTCGGCCTGTCACTTTGGCTCCGGTGCTGCTAACATATGTACTATCTTGAGAGTTGTCGAACTTTGAGGACTCGGTTTCAACACAAAACGATATATAGCCTTCATCAGTATCCTCGCCCACTCGTATTCTATTGTTACTGTAGGCGTATGGCACCTGAAAATGGAAATTTGCAAATAGAAACATTATTTCGAAGCAGGCCCGGCGAACCGGGGGGCCCTTCCCCAGCCCCAAATTTTCTGCACAAATTTTGTCTATCAAGTGTAAAGAAATTTAGTCTACCATTCTATATGTAACAGTGCTTAGCATTTCCTTAAATATGACTTTAGCCTTATCTTGGTTGCTATGTCTGCACCATAAAAAACATACCTTATATAAACTTGGACACAGAAATTTGATCAAAGAAATCGGTCATTGTCCAAGTCGTACAGCGACGAAACAACTAGGCTTAGGAAATGATCGAGAAACCTGATCCAGAAAACTTTGTGCCATCACAAAATGAAGGAGTTTCATTTTTTCCATGGCCTTATTTTGGTTCACAAGGTCAATTTCTTAACAGAAAATTTCTCGAAAACGTTATAAAAAGAGAGAAATCAGCGGTTAAAGAAAAAAACAGCTGGAAAGAATATCTTTGAGGATATGGGGGATAAAGAATCGGCAGATTTTTCTTTGAAGTATCATCAAAAAAGATTCAAAGTTTGATTCTATCGATATTTCATTCTTACAAAGAAAGAGAAAATCTAAACGTTTAACTAAAAATTTTCCCGAAAAATCTATTCTCGAAAAATCTAGGCTCAGATTTTTTCGAAGAAAAATCTAAACTGTTCAAAATTGCTTAATGTTTTACTTTTAGCTGATTATTCTTTAGTCGATATCTCAATGTTAATGTTTTCCATTAAATCATGTTTTATTTATTTTTCCCCTCCATCTTGCTTTGGTTCCTTTTTTAACATAAAAAATGACTACGAGCTACAAGGTTATTCCTCAACTTTGCAAGATCTTTCATCTCAACGTTACAAAAGACGAAACTGTGGGACATATTGATAAAACAATGCTTGAAAATATTCCCTCGGATTTACTTTGAGTCAAAATCCAATTTAGATACACTTTCCCGCCATTTCTAAGGTACCATATTTCTAAAAGATTTTATGCCGCAAACCAAGATGGCGGTTGATATTTTGGCCCCTCCATTTAAAAATATGTTTCGCTGGCTCCGCAAAGTCTTGGAATTCAATGGGTGGAAGATAGGCTCATTGACAGCAATGAACAGTCTAGATCTTGGTCCATTTCTAACCATCAAATTCATGGTAATAGATGAATAGGGATTACCCTTCAATCTAGATATAGCTTAGTAGCATAGAGCACTTGACCTTACTGTGCATCTCGATTAAATTTTAGTGTTACTGGGATTTTTGCAGTAAAAGGCAATATACGGGCAATTCTCCACAAAAACACCCAAACTTCATAGCAACAAATGAAAGTGCTGAAAAACTTCTGTTCCTGTTGCAGATTTATTTTATTTTTCAAAGAAGATATCTAAGGAAAACCCGCCTAACTATGATGGTTAATGAAGCCTGTGACTTAAAAACTTTGCTTTGGCATAGATGAGGTTTTCAAACATTGAAAGAGGTTTCAACTGGGAAAAGAGGTTTTCAAAAGATTTAAGCAGATCTCACTCACAAGGTTTATTCAAACCTTCAAAACAGACAGCCTTATAGTTGTCAATTATGCTACCTTGCCAGTAGGCTGCTATTTTAAAACTATCGCTATAGCATGTAAAGGCTCCATAACAAGCGGGCAACTCGATAGTTTGCTAAATCAAATTCTCTCTGTTCAATGCCATTAATATACATAAGAATATAATAACTCACCGTCCAAGCTGCCATTACACCATCTGGGAACAACTTTGAGGCTTCAAACATGAGTACCCCTGTAGACCCTTTCATAGACTTGTCTTTCTTCCGGGCAACAAAGAAACCAGCCTGTATCGATCCATCTACTAAGACATTCCCTGTCTTTTTATTCACAATAGGTGGTAGCACTTTTGGAATCACCCTTTGGGGGTTTTTTACAGTTGCCTGCTCGTTAAAGACCCCGACAGCGTTGCCAAAAGACAGATAAATGTCCTCGAGCCTTAAATCTTCGCTTGTTTCGTTCATGATTATCATAATTGCAGCGGCGTTGTACTTTCTTGAAGCAAACAGTGGAGCGAGGATGCCCAAGGTAGCTGTCCTTATTGCCATCTTCACAACATTTTCCCCAACAGCAACAATGCCTTCAAGAATAGCATACGCCTCGGTGGCTTTAGTGACTTTGGGAAGTGTTGCCAGGACATTCCTGGTGGCATTCAGCCCATCAAGACCCAATCCCCAGATTCCTGCTTCCATTAGAACTTTCACTAGCATTCTTGTGCTATCGTTCGTCATCATTTGAAAATTCCGGATCAGATTGCAGATGTTAGACTTGACAAGGTCGTTTGTTGCGTTTCTAAACTTGGCTGCTTCCGCTGGTTTCCAGCCCCAGATCACGAAAGGAACCGCATCGCCGTGCTCTTTAACCAGTTTGATAGAGTCGTTTTTTGTCGAATGAAGGTCATATTTTGGAACCTTGCCTGGGAAGGATTAATTTCTTTTGTAAAACAACAGTAATGATAAAGCAATGGTATCAGTGCATTGTTTCAGATATCAATATCAAACATTATATCAGATCTGTAACTACTGGGGAGGGAGGAGAAAGGGGCTCGTCCAGGCATCTAGTTACGACACTGATTTACATTGATGACAGTCTTAAAGACATTGGATAACCGTAGAAGTGGCTTACAGCCACATGACCGCCAACGGTTGACTAATCCGATCGCGCACCAAGAATATCATGTGAATAGAAAACTGCCAGTCGGTGGAGCCCCATCGCAGTGAAAAGTGGTTAAATCTATAGCTTCGCCTCCATCAAAGGCTACATCTTCGAGCAACCATTTTCTCACTTAGTGTCTTTGGCAATGGCCTGAGTATTTCCTTTTCACGTGAGCAGTTCCCAAGTACTTTAATGCGTGCTCTGATTAATTTGGCCTAAGTTAAATTTGAATTCGCTGTATGGTCAAATGCCTTAAAAGATAATGATAGATAAATAGTTCTGTCTTATGCCACCTGAAGCTAACTGAATGGGACACGAGTTGAGGAGTGCAAAGTCAGAGCAACCTCGGGAAAGGAAAGCTCTTTTACTACATAAAGGTAGACAAAACAACTAAATAACCTGAGAATGAAAAGTGTTCAAAAGCGTGCTTTGCTGCAGTGCCTGGCATTTGATAAAGTGAATAATTTTCAAAATAGCATGGCAGTCTACTCGATTGTGTTTAGTGGTTTATCATTATTGCATAATCTTGCTACAAACATGCTTCAAATAAACTTTCCTACCATTTTTGTCAAGAAGACCCATTGATTTCGCTGCTGCAACCTCCTTCAAGCTCATCTTTTTCCGAATTCTCTTCAAGTCTTTGCAGGCAAGCTTCACTTCATAGAGCTTGTCGTCATCATCTTCAGCACCTTTTTCCCAGTCGATCCCATTATTCTTCCATTCATGGGCAGCAATGTCGTCGATGATTTGTTCAATTGTTCTACCTTAAAATGACGTAATCAAATTTGTATCCACTCCCTTAACTGATAGTAAATTTCTGATTTTAGCTTTTCACATCAACTCAAGGAGCAAGATACCAGAGGACCGAGAGGGCCTTGCCCTCTCCCAAAATAACTTGAGTAGCATAAGTAAAATACTTTAATTTTGTCAAATATGGCTCTTTTTACACTTGTTTATCAGCGCTGGCCCCCCAAACAAAAACGTGTACTTCGGTCTTTGCATCAACTTCAGCAAGACGTTAGCTGAAACTAACAAGCTAAATGGTAAATGTGTCATCCACATATCAATAATAGACACTTGGCTATTGGTCGCAGTCATGAAAGCCAACAAAGATATTGGCCAAGGCAGGTCCCAGAGGGCTACCCATAGCGACACCATCCTTTTGTTGGTATATGACACATATACCATTTTCAAAACAGAGACTGGGTGTAATACTTTCCTAACAAGCTAACTTAAGAGTATAAAGGAAAATAACGGTATCATTTTTTGCAAATCAGTTAACATGGAAGAAATTTATCACTTGAGTAAGTATTCTAAAAAAAATGGTTATGTTATAATTGTGATCACATTATTACTGCTTAGAAATTTCAACTACTTTTGCATTGTCTTCTATGTCTACAGAATGGAATGAGCTACATAAAATGTAAAGATTTGATAAAGTTAGCTGTGAATGTTGTTGGTCTTTATAAAAAGGCATTGAAACAGCTGAAAACTACAGAGAAGGTCTTGAAAAGAAGATAAATTTAAGCATCAATTACACGATAAAATGCGCCTTCGATTCTTATCTCTACCGAAGAAGGTTTTACAATTATTTTGGCAATTGATAAAGACATCTTTGGATTGTGAGTGTAACAAGAGTGATCTTCCTTTTATTCTGTATCTTTGGCAATTAAATAATCTTTTATACATACCTTCAGTAGGGTTAGGCACTTGAAGATCTCTTATTTCACTCCAAAACTCCTCTGCTTTCTCTATGATTGCCTCTGAAGCTGATGTAAGTTTTTCTTCAGCCTTAACCCGTTTGGTTTCCCTTTTTCCACGCTTTGTACTGCTTCCTTCCTCATTTTCACCATCTGTACCGCTTACTTCCTCATTTTCACCATCTGCACCGCTTATTTCCCCATTTTCATCATCTGTACCGCTTATTCCCTCATCTTCATCATCTAAAGACGATCTAACACTAGCCGTGCTGCTACTTACAGACGAACCAGGAACGACTGGCCGGACATCTGTGCGTTTCCTTGATGAAAATGGCACACCCATTACTCAATCTAAAATCTGATGAAGACACAATCAGTTACCGTTATGCCCAGTAAGGTAATGAATCTGTTATGAAAAAAGGGATCATGAAATTTGCTGAATGTTAAACCATGAGAATACGAGAGGCAAATGCATGAAACAAAAAGTAAACGGGCACAGCAATATAAGACCACTTTCGTAGTACCTATTTTGAACGAAAAAGATCAAATCTGTTTAATAAACCTATTTGAATTTATCAATGACTATTTTTGAGATGCCATCATGTTCAACATGGCAAAACTCCTCAATGATAACCGAACAGTCTCGCACATAAAGGGTAAATTACAAATAAAGAGAAGCATTGTTTGAAAGAAGGTTTAGGCCGTATGACCCAGATAAGTCCCTTGGTTCCTGAGTGCAACACTGATGCATGAATCAAATATATACTTCCATTTGCCAGTGATATTTTTTGCCACCGGTTACGGTTAAAAGATCTTAAGCTATTATGTAGCAATGTCCTGGAAATAGGTAACTAGGAATAGATGCTTGGAGATAGATGCATAAAAGGAAGCTTTGACTGTTTCCCCACAGTTTTTCCGTGTCACTATAAAATTCAAAATGCTAGTTCATCTCAATAAAGGCCCTATTAAAATGACTGCAGATTTTAGCCCTTTAAATTCGTTCATCTCAATATCTCGATTACGGTCCACTGAAATTTTAGACTGATGAGCGTCTTAAAATGTGCGTGAATGCAGGTGATCTCCAATGAAAATACTTTTAAGCTGTATCTTAAGGGCACTTTGTCTCCACGAATAGAGTACCTGAGTGTGATGTCATCAAAAATTTATTTTGAGTTTCTTAACTTTGACTACATAATTTAAAGAAGAATGGCATAAATTACCTCTCAATAGGCAAAACCAGTTACATTTATTCATTATTGGGCGAGGTATGGCCAATGGATGATTTCAAGTTTGCTTACTGTTATTCTGGCCTTGTAGTTATGAACCAAATCCAAATTACAGAAGTTTGATGGAAAAAGAGCTTGTGCAAATTTAGAGGTATTGCATAATGCTTGTTGGGTTATGTAATCAATACTTACAAATTCTAAAAACAGACCTTTATGCTGTCATTACACTCTTTTTAAATAAGAACACACTTTATAAGAACAATGAGGCTCGATTTGCCCAAAAAGTAAGAACAAGGCTAGAACATGCTCAGCTTCAGATGAGAAATTTAAAAAAACAATTCGCATTTTGAATTCGTAAGCACTCAACTACTGTATCGACATTCTCTTGACAAAAAACTTTGATGAGTTTGTCCATCAACACTAGCAGTAATTGCTTTATTTTTAAACTTTACCCTGTAAAACATCTTGGAACCTTTATACAGTATGTAACTTCTCAAATATTTGCAAAAAAATCACTCTTAAAAAAAGAAAAATTTTAAAAACATTTGAGCCTGAAATTATCAAAAAGTTAAAAACATCGAGGTTCGGCAAAAATTATCTGGTTCTTATATAAAAAAAGAGTGTACTCTTGAACGCCTTCTCAATAATCATTCAAATTCCCACTGTTTGGCTATACAATAGGCTATCGTAAATTTTCAATCTTAAAAATATTGCTATTTGTAGTCATTGTAAAGATGCTGTACTAACATACACAGAGGCATAGAGGTCGGGTTATCTCTTCGAAATCATCGAAATATCTTTAGCACCATTTTTACACCAGTTTGTGCACCAACTGACAACTATGTGTACCTACAATGCCTGCCAAAAGTCTTGGAACAGTGACGTCAGTTTGCAAGGTCAAAATCAATCAACCCCCTCTCCCCCACAGAACAATATTGGTTTACTATTAAACGGTTTAGGATTTAGGAAATTCTTTCTTTTGCGTTTCTTTTTGCGTTTCTAAACTACCAATATTGTTCTAGGGTAAAGAGGGGTGTAAGTAGCAATTTTTTCGGAAAAGGAATGAAAGATATAAAATTCAACGCACATTACTGAGTGTTCCAAGTGCTATTGGCAGGCATTGTATGCATACAAGTTATGTCTGGTGCACATCACTTTCTCTTTATACTGAACGATTGGTAGCGACAACGATCGATATCGAACACGCAACTGTCAAATTGGTTCTAGTTCCCCAACAAAATGAACAAAACATTTAAACTATGCAGATCGTTCAATAGCCCATGATTATATCCATGATATAATTAGGTAATACCACATAAAGCAGTGTAAATCTAAGTGTCGGAAAAGATAATGCAAAAAACATTGCTGTTAAGGAATATGAAATCATTCAATCTTTGAAAACTACGAAGGGTGAAAGTGAACATTACATTGTGCATTAACCTCACCTTTTATAAGAATAGGCTGTTTGAAACCAACTAGCATCTGAAATGTGGCAATTATGTCTGCATACGCTTATATCAGGGAATCTGTGTTGATCTTAGAAACCCGAACGTGCTTCTGTAAACAACCAGCATTTAAAGATGCAAGAATTGTTTACATCGGCTGCTAAGACGACCAGTTTCTATCGATTCTATTTCACTAAGCTTGATATCTCTCCTATAACAATACACCCCTAACATGAGACAATCAATCTATTATCTCTGATTTCATTACCAAATTCACTGCCCGCTTTTCATTAGCATTCAAATCAATACCCATTGCAATGTAAACAAAGCGAAGGCAGGTTAGCATACGCTTCAGTAAATTGCTTTCACATAATAGAAGTCTCCTAAAATGGGATTTTGTCTGAAGACCGTAGATTGTTCCGAAATCTTCTTGGCCTAAAGACGCAGTCCTTCCAGTGGCGCTTCCAGCCCCGGCCCCCCAGACATTTTCTTTGCCCCTTGTTTTGCCCCCCCCAGTTTTTTCAAAAGTTTCTATTAAAAATTCAATGTTTTCTGCCGAAGCTGTTCAATAGTTTTTTCACTTTGTTAGGGTTGCTCTCTTTATTTTCCTCAATGCTATCTTTATTACATTTATTTAACAAACTAGGGGCCCGGATAAGCGTTTTGGTTTGTAACCGAGGTGGACATTTGTGAAATTTTGGCTCCTTTCTAATAAGTTACCAAGTAAAAACCAATTTTTACCAAGAGTTCTGTAGTTACCAAGAAAAGCTCATTCTTGACAATCATTTAAATACTATATTTGCTATATATTATCACGAAGATCCACCTTCTTGCGGTGGGGTGCGCAGGGTCAGCCCAATACCATCCTAGTATACCTTGGCAATCTACTATTGCTTATCGAAATTGTATGACTTTAAAGTCTGTGTAACAGAATGATTTGCTTGATCTCATGGAGGTTGGATATAAGACATAACTACTATGGAAAACTTTTACCAATCAACCTCACAAAGCCATTAGACTTTTATTTCTTAGAAGTTTAGTTCTTCTGTTGAAAACCATGATCATGAAGTATTATTGTTAAACAGATAAAACTCAGTGGAGTAACAGAACAAAGTTACTTTTAGTCAAATAACAAACGGTCCCGAACCTTTGGGTGCCCCCAGCAACAATTTTCCTTTGTTATTTTTCCTAGGGGACACAGCTGCTCCTTACACCACTAATAAAACCATTTGGCATAATGATAACAGCCTTGTAGAGCTGTACCAAGGACATACTTATCTATGGGGAGCTAAGAACCGGTGCCTTGTAGCTAGCTAATTTTGAGCCACCACGCCACTGCTTTACATTCTACTAGTTCCCAAAGTAATAGCTAGCGTTGGCTCCTATAACTGAAAGTTTGGCCCCCGGTTAGCCCCCTCAGATTTTTAAGGCTAGAATCGCCACTGAGTCCTTCGCTAAACTTTACAAAATCCTACATAGAATTTTCTGAATAATACTGGGTAAATATTAAATTATTCCGTGATGGTGAAGTTAAAAAGAGCAAATTCATAGAGTAAATAAATATAACGAGAGTCACCACTTTTACCGACAAACTAAGGATTTTCTGGCTCTCTAAAAGGAGATTCATCTCAACCGTCTCAAAACGAGGTTCAGTCATAAAGATATTCCAACAGCCCGTGCAAGGTCAATTTAAAAGGTTTTGAGTTTAGAGGGTTGGGGAACTATCCCAGTAGCTCTTTCTTTGCGCTCCAGGTCACGGTAAAAATTCCGATTCATTTGATTTGGCATGAAAATATATCCTTTATATTATGTTAAGTCACAAAATATTTCCTAATTGGTAAAAAATGCTTTGAATGAAATGTTTCTTCATGCTTATATACACTATTGAATGCAAAATTGAAAACACAATCACTTGAGAATTGACAAAAGTTCTGTAAAATCTGGGATCTTCATTTTACAGTGATTTTGGGTATAGTTTTAACCAACAACTGATACATGTGTGCTGTTTATTATTCACACCACTAAAATCCTGAATGAAAAAACTATAAAAAAACAATTATTCAAATCAGGGTAAAAACCTAAGGCCCCAGTGAAGTATAGTAAAGATACAGTTCAAAGATTATTTGTGGTGTTGTTTTAATTATCATAGAGACCCTATCAACTTTCTGGCGCTCACAGCGGAAGCAAAATCGAGACCATTTGACATGCTCAGATTTGGGCGCTACGCCCGCGCGTACAAAAAATGTCAAATGGAAATAGGCCTATATTGTCCTCTCGTGAATTACCTTCGTAACTGAACAAGTAGAGTTTCATTAAACGACAAAGTTTGTAAAAAACGGTACTTTTCATACAATTCTAAATTCAGTTTATTTACACCAATAGAAAAAACGTTATTTAATCAACATTAAATGTTTTTTCATGGAATGGTTGCGGGGTATGTTACGGCTCAGTGACATTGATTACGTAGTACGCTTGACTGCCGCTACCACTGCTGACCCGACCGGTTACCTTTGCCTGTTTGCTGCTCGTTGAAATACTCTCCTGTTTGCCATCATCGTTAGTTTTGTTGCTGAACTCGGAGGCACTTCCATCGTAGTCAGCAGACACAAGAACAACATTGCTACCCTGTGACAGCGGTACCTGTGGAAAGGTCAGGAAAGTAAGTCTCAAATTCAGAGAAGTGAACATATGTTGAACACACAATAGAATGTATTCTAGGGCTTATTCATCCAAGAGTTTACCACCTTGCTAGAAGGAGAAAAACAAGCGAAAATGAATCTGATAAAGGGACTATGATAAAAAATGCTAAAAATATCATGATTCTCAAAAGTACGCTACCTCCCAACCAACATAAATGCCCTTTGGGTAAGGTGTGATTGCATCAAATTTCATCCCTCCTTGAGACCCATATAAAGCTGCATCTTTCTTGCGGGCTGCGAAAAATCCTGCCTGAATGGACCCCTCCGCAACGACTTTGCCAGTCTTTGGGTTGACAATAGGTGGCAATTTCTTTGGGATGATTGTCTGTGGATTGTCAAGAGCAGCATTCTCTTTGAAAATACCAACAATTTTGCCATGTGTGGCGTGCAGGTCAATCAGTCTCAAATCTTCGTTTGTGTCATTAATGATGACCATAACACCAGCCGCATCTTTTGTCATGTAGATAAACAGGGGAACAAGAATGGCCAAAATCACAATCGTGATTCCAAGTTTGATGACATTGACACCGACCTCTAGAACGCCTGATAAAACAGCATAAGCCTCCGTTGCCTCAGATAATTCGGATAAAGTGGCAATGATTTGATAAACCTTAGTCAAACCGTAGATTCCAAGCCCCCACAAACCAGCTTCCATGAATGTCTTCACCATGTATCTGGTGCTGTCGTTCTGCATAACCTGAAAGTTCCTAATGAGGTTGCAAATAAGATCTTTAATTCGACCTCCAGTTGCGTTTTGATATTCTGCAGTCTGTGCTTTAGTCCATCCCCAAACGACATACGGTGCAGCGTCGCTAGGAACAGGCACCAACGGGGCATCACTTTCATCCATAGCAAACAGATCATACTGCCTGACGTCACCTAAAGCAAAGCATGGGGAATTCACTAGAAAAAGATCACTTGAAAGGTATGCAATGACAAATATTGACATCACCTGTATACACTCATTTTTCTTATCAGAAACTAAGCTCGGGATTAACACTCAGATTCTTAAATTTTTGTCTTAATTTCACAATTTCTTAAAGGTTTTAAAAGAGTAACTTTTGAGAAGTACAAAAATACAGTTTAATGTGATATATTAACAGAGCACATAACAAATCACAAGAAGCTCTGCTTTCTATTTTTCAATTAACAAAGAAATGGGTGTCTACTTGACGAAAATAATAATTCCCACGCAATCTTTAAAAGAAGGACATTCGAAACCGGTACAGTCGCAATATTGACTTCCGTTCGAATACTTTTGGGAGGGGAGTGTATATGAAGAATTAGGATTCTGCAGTTGGCCAAAAACCATATTTCGTTTAGTCCGAAGTGATGAATATTTACGGTCGTTGCAAAGATGCATTAAAGCATTTGTTAAGTAACAATCTCTACAAAAATAATTTTCTTGTATATTCTTATATTTTATTACTGCATTGATGCTGTTCAGGATAAAGGCTCATTCGGAGGTTTTTTCTCGATATCTGCTATTTGGGGACGCCCCTCCAGCTACCCATGAGTTTGTCGCAAAAATCTTGGGTTGGTAGGTAAAGTGGCTTTGTGGTTTGTCAGATAGATTCAAAATTGTGTTTATCCATGTAAATGCTGTGATTCGTGACCTACCATTCCTTAGTCTGGAATGTCATCGGGGAAGCACTGGCTGTACAAATTCACATCACAATATTTTCTAAATAATAACAATCAGTAGTGAAAGAATCTAGGCAAGGTTATCGGCACTCCTTTGTAAAATTCATATTTGAACTCACAAACGGAAATGCGATATATAAATAGCAAGGAAACCTTACTTCCAGTGGCAGCGCCAAGGGGTGGCAAGGGGTAATTACCCTCTCCCCAATTTCTCTGCAAATATGGTAGATATATTTCTTCTAAAAACGGATTAAGAAGCGCTGGGTTAGGATAGATCAAATTTCCTAAGGAAAGTTAACCTGGTACAAATCACTGAAACGAGGCAAAAGGGGCGTGGACCCATTTGTCGCGCCTATTATCCTCCCACGCTGAAATAGTTGGCGCCGCCACTGCTTACTCCCCAGTTTTCCAGTAGCATTATCACTGGAAAAGACCACAGTTTTTTGCTTCTGTTCTGATAAATAAACAGATAAAAATATCACTAAGAAATAAGAAGCATAAAACAAAGATGTAGCGTTGTAAAATCCTGCAACTTACCATTAGCATCAAGAAGGTTCATCGCTTTGGCAGTGTTCACCTCTTCTTCACTCAACTGCTCCCTCATTTTGTTCAGTAGCTCGTGTGCTTTTTCTAAAGCCTCAGCTTTGTCCTCTTTGGTGCCTTCTGCGGCTTTCCTCCAGTCAATGCCACTATATTCCTTTTCATGGTTGATTATGTCCTCAATAACCTCATCGGCTGTTTTTCCTAATAGAATAAAATGTGAACACAAGTTGATGTTAAGTCCCAAAAGCTTCTTCAAAACACTTATTCAATCAGTTCGGAAAATTATAATTTGTAAAATATTGACAACTTTACGAAACAAATGGGCTCTTGCATCCCTAAAACCGTAAATGAGCCATCCCCTTTGATAAAATATCAGGATGGATGCATAGATATAGTCCACTAGGTTTATGTTTGAATAGAAATTTATAAAGGTTTACTCATGACTTGAATGTGGTAGGGGTTAACAAGTTGACAAAAGTGCTCACGAGAAGGACTGATCAGTATGCACGTCTGTCAACTTGCTAAAAGAAAATAAGTAACTAGGAAACGTAAACTATACCTTTTGTAACATTTGGGATTTGTATGTCCTTTATTTCATACCAGAATTCTTCTGCTTTTTGCCTCAGAAGCTCTGTGGGGCTAACCAGTTTTGGGGAGTTAGGCCTTTCACTTCTTGGACTGTTATTTGCATTCGATTTCTTGGAGGATCCACTACCCATTGTCTGTAACGAAAATGAATTTTCGACATTGAGGTTTTGAAAGAATGCTTAATAAAATGCATTGTACCTAAAAACTGTGCATAACTGAGAATAGATAAGAACGAAAAAATTTGCAGTTTAGATCTTATAAGATAAATCAAAGCGTGTAAAGCTTTGCCTATTGAATTATTCTAACGGTGTGTGAGGAATCCAGTCTAACCATGGCAGCTATTTAGCGAAGTTTTATTCTAGAAACTCTTTTCGTTGGTATGCGAGAATAACAGGGGTGAAAGCCTTTGAAAATGGTATCTGTCAATTTTCTTACAAAGCATCTTATCCAGCATATTGCTATTGCTCGAGCCACACCTACAATTGTTACCAGAAAAGTATTGGCTGCCAATCAGTTTTGCGTTCAACGAGATACCATGAAACTTCTTTTCATTTCAATTCGCACAGAAAAACTCCATTTGATTGATTATTTGATAATATTGATATCGCACATTTCTACGCACGCTGTTGAGGACAACCCCTTTAAAATATCCTGGTGGCATGCATGTTCAGACATACTTTTATAGTGGAGACATCAAAATTGAATAGGGGGATGAAAAATCACAACACCGTTTGTCCAGGATTGTAGGTTTTTCAGCTGGTCATATTCTATTGTTTTGAAGTTTGACCACCTCAGCCAACATTGCTGGCTGCAGGCACACGCAGTTTGTTAATTGGCACCGAAAATCAATCATCGACATCAATACAAACTCTTACCCTTTTCGATCTGCGCGAGAAAATGTTGGGTGAAATGTTGGACCGTTTGACAACCAACGTTTTATCACTTTCCACCATCGAAGAAAAGTGTTGGGCGAAATGTTAGGTGGAATCTTAGGTCGTTTGATCAAGGGATTAGATGGTAGCAACAATCTTTTTCTGAATCAAAATACCTTTCGAATTAGATCTTTGATTTTCCACCCATGTGTTCACAGGAAACAAACGACAGTCAAGGGGAATTTATCTCTCTACTTTGGTTTTCATTGGTATAAAGGCAATACATCATTGGTTAGTCAAGGTCTAATACATCATTGGGGCACCACAAGGAATATGCTTTGGTGCACTGTTATCTTCTAGCGATATCTGAATTATCCTTTCTTTGCTTTACAAGGGGCGATTGTAACCTTTGGTTATTATAGGGTAATGTTTTTCCCCATATGTAGGTTCAAAGAAATATATAAATTTTAGTTCAACTTCAAGAACTTTACGATGCACACTCCATGATTACAAAGTTAAACTGTCACACAATTATATTTCTAAACAAACTTTTATAAAAAACGTGTAAAGGATTAATCTTTAATAAACGAAACAAAGCCTTTTCCTACTCATTAGTGACTAATAACAGAGGATAAAGACGTTATGTTGTAGCAACATGATTGTTTATAACAGGGGTTGGCAACGGCGAATTCCATTTATTACACGATATTTGTTTATAATTGGCAGCTGATGATCTAGCAATGTCATTTTTATTCAACAAAATGCGAAATATTGAGAATAGGATTAGATAGACGACAATATGCTTCACTTGAGTTTGCGACGGCCAAAAATTTTATAACGACAGCAGTGGGTGAAAACTGAGCAAAAATTAGAAGGGAACTGTTACTAGGATCGTTCATGAAGTGAAATATTTTGATGATAACGGAATTGTATATTTAGAGATGGTTGACTAATGATAAGTAGCATTTCTATTGATTCCTAAAATTCTTGACCAATTATTCCTGAACAGCAAAGACAGCTGTAAACAATTGTTTTGCTTTGGTCCAACAAAGTATTTGGCAAATAGGAGGTAACTGCTACTATATATCAAAAACTTGGCATATGATAATTTAAGTCAGGGAACACTAGTATCGTAGAGAATTTTGAGAATGTATCTATCAAATTAAAACGATGAAAAGGCTTCGAACAAAGACATATTTTTACTTTAATTTTAGGTTCGATCTGTTTCAGCTTAGCTTTAGGAATTAAATCCAATTAAAAAGGTTGCTTACAACACATTTACACAGAATTTGTTGATACTTTGCCTGGCAGTGTCTCATAGAAGTTAGGATAGAAAAATAAGGTGATGAGATAACTTGAAAAACTTCTTACCTTGGAAATTGAAGATTAATCAAGGTGTTGATTCTTTCAAAGAAAATCTTTGAACTTTCACAAAGTGATCTTCTGGGACTTCAACGGAATGTTGACGGCGAATCAGAACTTTGCCGCGATAGGCATACGCACCAACAAGCTTGTTTATTTACAACACCATGGCTACCACAAGCAAAAATTAATCGAATTTCCGTACATGAATGAAAATTATTTGTGTAAACAGAGCTTGCCTAGTTTGCATTGTCAAATGAAGAATCACGCAGTGCCATTCATGTGGAACACAATCGCATTAACTCAAAGGCTTTTCTTTCCTAATAACGTCTATTCATTAATTGTATTATCATAAGGAGTTGAATGAATCTATTTTTTGCTACTTGGCAGGAAAACTGCTGTGATACACGTAACATTACCTGATATCCAAGGTTACAGAAAAATTCTAAATTGCAGCTTTGAGCCTGACGGTGAAATTGTCAGTGTTTAATAGGTAACATTCATTGAAAACGATAAATCTATTACAAAAAATCGGATTAACTGCAGCCTCAATAGCGGGAAAAGCAAAACATATGACGTCAAAGATTTACATTACAATCATATTTCACCGTAGCAACTACTGCTCAATTTTATAAAGGTCAAATTCAAAAGTCCAAATTGCTGAGTCCAAATTTCTTTATTCTTTGGAAAGAATTTCTTTATTTTTTGGAGATGATTTCTTTTTTTGGATAATTTAGGTGCAGGTGCTCTTAATTTTGTTCTGACTTCAACTTTGAATTTTCTCAACTGCATGCTATTAATCGACCCTAAAACCAATTTTAGTATTATATCTTTAAGCCATGTATATTCATAAGCCTTGTATGCTGGGCTGAAAGTATGTAATTTATTTTAAAATTCTAATATACAACACTGGATTCTTGTCGTCGTTTTGCTTTGTCGTCCTGGCTGTCGCCTTCATATTACCACTCATTGCAAGGTTCACAAAATTCGGCGGACAGCCTTTCCTAGGTTTCTTTCTCCTCAAATATAAAATCTACTTTGTTTTTTTGACAGAAGACAAAACTTTTCCTAAAAACGTCATCTAAAACAGGTCAAGTTCTTTGGTTGTTCTTATATTTTGGAAAATTGAGCCTCGGTGTTTATACAAAAGGTGTTCTTTTAGGGAAAAAAGGAACTGGAATAAGAAGAAAAGGAAATGCTACATGGACAAAGCGAGTTTTGCCTTTGGTTCTAGTAACCTTTTTGAGCTGACTTTCCATTCGCAAGGTCTCTTTACTCTTATTTTATTGTAACAATGCTGAACGATGGAATGGAAGGGAGGATAACAATACTTTTGTCATGCCTGTCCTGCCTTTGTCATGGACCTTAATTTGTCAACAAAAAATATGTTCGTGCTGACGTACACAGAATTGGGGGGCGGGGCAGAATGAGCCTCTTTTGGACTAATTGTAGATTCAATGTGTCTATACTGAAAAAGCGAGACTGCAGACAGGTGAACTAATTGCGAATATGTGAAAAAGCTCTGAATTACCAAACCTTTCTCCGGCTTTCATTTCAATTTGTTTCCTTATAATTAATTAGCTACCTTCTCGGTGTTTCAGGCTACCAAGGACCATGCAACTCATAAATATTGTCAATCGTGATGGTTAACAATAGACTCAACCAACTGACCCTGCAACGAACTGATTTACCCTGGGGGCATCATTATGATCATAACAATGAAAATCCTTTTCCCTGCAGAGCTTTGTGGGAGGGGGCGATCGAGACCCAAAATCTGTACCAATTAGGCAACACAAAATCAACTGAAGATGTAAAGAAGCAGAAAGTTGTGAAAACTGTTAGTCTTTGCAATCTCAACTGTCATCTTGACATGCAGTTTATTCCTCTTCTTGTTCAACACTTATTCCTGTCCAACCAATAATCTTTATATGCAGTTTAATTTTTTTCAAACAAGTATTAACATTGCAAGTAAGGCTTTCTCATTAAAGATTCCAGATACCCAAACAAACTTTCACAATACCAGCCAAAATAATTAATACAATACAAAAATCAGTCCCCTATCGAAATACTTAAATCTCGTCGTTTGAGAAGGTTCGTAATTCCCTGCATATACACAAGATATGCACTTCATATTGAGTTCACAGATGAAAAGATATTTAAGGTTTAAGAAGCTTCAGGACCGTCACTTTCAGCCCATGGAAGCAGAAGAGGTGGTTTTCAACAATGTGTACTTATCAATAAATTCTCCAACCAAATGGCTTTCCAGCATTTTCAAAGCTCTCCAATAAATGCTTCCAACGGTATCAATAGCTGTTTCTTCTTGCTCTAGCTCGAATGAAATGTATTCCAACCAACAGTCTGCAATTCATTAAAAGATAAGTTCTAGAAAAAATTTAACTGGAGCAACTCAAACTTAAATACCCCCCAAACGTCTGAGAAAACGAGTCATTTTCCCAAAGATTTCCTTTCTGGTAGACGGTTAAGATTACACAAAAAAATGTTTGGTAATGAATACAATAAAATGAAAACTGCAATAAGGCATAATACATAACTTATGAAGCAGAGCAACAAATGTCAGAACGATGCATAGATCGAAAAATTATGGCTCAAAGTTGGTGTAATGAATTTGCTAGCATCGAAAAGAAAAGAAGAAAACAAAGAAGTCCTGACATGAATGATAACAAACATTTTAAAACACAATAAAGCATTTAAAAATGTCAGGTGTATTTTCTAAATGTTTGCTTTTTCAAAACAGCCATTTTAAAAACAAAGAAGACTGCAATTTTCTTACTGAGAAAACTAAAGTTAAGCAAAATCAAGCAAAGTCAAGCCAAACACAAACCGAATAGATGACTCACCGATTGACATTGTGCCAAAGGAGTCAATCGCCAACTCATGCAGTTTTCGAATCCGTGACAAGCTTTTCGTTTCCTGGCGAAAAATATCAAATGTCCAATGAAATCATCAAAGATTGACTAAAACAACAAAGCTAAAAATTCAAAAGATAAGGAGACATGCAGAAAGCGACGAAATCTTTTTGGTGTGTCTTTTAAAAGATCTAAGATTGTCAATATGTTTTCTTTACATATACTTTTCATATCTCGTAAAATTTAAGCAAAGTTGCTCTAAGTCCCTAGTAATACAATACTACAATGTACCTCTCCTAACATAGTAACATAGCATTTGGCAGAATATACCCATTTGTACATACCCGGATGACATTTAGCAAACAAAAACCCGGGCAATCTAGAAGAAAAACAACAATGACAGGAAACATACTTGGCTATTCTCTAAGCTGAGTGCAAGTTGCAGTACATCCAGTGTTAAAGGACAAGTGTCTTTTAACCTGCAAAATGATAAAAATTCACGATCAATTTCAATCTTCTGTTTTAGGGTGTTGGATACACTATCAACAGTGCATATTTAAATAAAAAGGGTAATCCCTTATCTATGCAACTGATGAACATGTGTTACAGTTTCAAGTGATGTGCATGCTCTTTAATGGCACGGTAGTCTGGTGATGTCGCTGATAGCCTGGTGATGTCGCTGGTAGCCTGGTGATGTCGCTGGTAGCCTGGTGATGTCGCTGGTAGCCTGGGAATTGACGCTGGTAGCGATTGACCAAGAAACGAGTAACAAAAAAAGATAAAAAGAACCAGCAAACACGAAATAAACTAAACGAAGCAAATCACCTTGTAACACAGATAGATTTAGGAGAGAATTTGGTGGAATCCTAAAAACATATCTAGCTTGCTAGTGAAAAAAAATCAACATGAAGAAAATACGAACAAAAAAATACACTTTCAGATTGATTGTGCAATATTGAAATTTTTTTCATGACTTAAAATACTTTTATTTCAGTAATAAGTAGTTTGTGGGGTATAATGTTTTCAAAAATTTATTTGAAATGTTTTTGACATGACAAGATCTTGAAATGAAACTGTTTTTAATGTAATTTTTAACTTTTGGTAATGTCACAGGGCAGTCATGGTAGATTTCACTCGGTATCGTCCTTGTAATACTGTAAGGTTTTTTTGTACGTAGAGTTACTAATAAACTTGTATTACAAATTTTAATGATGTAATGAAAAATGGAACTTCGACATGATAAAAGACATAAAACTGGCCTTTTGAATAATTTTCTAAACTCCTTGATTCCCTGTCTCTCATATGCCCACTCCAAATACTTCTGCCTACCCAATTCAGCAACTTGTTTCCTGGCACTGAGCGACATCTAGAAGGATTTAAACAATTTCATTCAGATCATTTGTTCAGCTAGTTGGGAAGACGAGAAGCAAGAAAGATGCGCATAGTACATCGAATAAAATAGCAAACGATGGTCTAATCTCCATAAAGATAGCACGCAATTCTTCACATCGATGCAGCAACAAATGTATAGTTTGTAGTCCGACAAAAAAGATTCTGTGTGCAAAACAAAGGACGAAACAAATGATTCTGTAGTGTTTTGCATAGCCTTTTGAGATCCTCTCGCTACCTCAGATACAGCAATTTCTTGCCCTCCAGGTGACAATTGACATTCTAAATTATCTAGAATAGCATCTGCATTCTATGGCATTTGAATATAAGTAATGAAGAAAACAGCAACTATGAGAACATAAGCAAACGAAAAATCTCCATACCTCAAATACCTTAACAGCATTCTTAGCATCTCTTTCAGTACATGTATTCATCCAAAGCTCCCATATTGCCAAAGAACCCTGACAAAATGAAATATGTATAGTTTAGTAGAATTTAGTTTATTAGGGTAAAAAGTGCTACAAGGATTCAACGGATGTTGTAAACTCTGTAGGCTTAAAACACATAGAAAACCTAACTCGTGAGATGAAATTCAAAATAATACTGTTAGTGTATAGAACAAACAGTCAAGTGACAAGCCTCGAGGACAAGTGTCGCAGCGAAATTTATCAAAAACTTGTAAACATATTAGTTGACGGGAAAAGGACTGGGCACCAGATTATTCCCAGGACTCAATCGATTCAACAAAAAATTTGCAAGACATGAACAGAATTGCCTCAATACAAAGTTTAATTTGAGAAATATCTACCCATATATTCAGAACTTTAATGATTCTTTTTAATAAATACCCATGGTCACAGGTCAAAGTTTCATTCTCTCTGTCTTAACAGAGGTGTAAATCTTTCTGCCACTTAAATGGGCCTTTTTCTTAAGTGACAAGAAAAAAATCAACCCCCGATTGAAATTTAAGATCAATAGCTGTTTCCAATTAAATTAGATCAAATGTCTGTCACCTGACCAATGAATAGGTTTGAAATAACTTAATAAATAATACACTCAGGCTACATATTATAAGAGAAACCAGAAGAGGTTATCTTTTAGGAGTTTCCATACGGCAGCATTGGGGATGTAACAACGAAACAGATAATGCTAAACTCACTTTTTCATCCATCTTCTTAATACACTTTTCAAATTCTTCGCATAGTGTTTCCCAATTATCTAAAGATATTATGAACAGTTGTCAAAAAATGCACGGATCTTGGTATGCTTTTTTGAAAGCAAGCTAGTAGAGCAACAAGAGGGGGTGGCGAGTGGGGAAAAGTGCCTCATGCTAGGCAGCCATATGCCCGCGAAGTCGGCTAATTCCGACCTTCGAGATTTATCTTCTAAATTTTGAAGAACTTTGCGCTAAATAACTGCCAAATACAAACACGCATTGTGAAAAGATACACGCAACCAAACCAGAAAGGGGGAGGATTTGGGGGATTCTAGGAGCCGTTTAACACAAAACTTTTTAAAAATTCTTTGTAGGGCACCTGGCGGTGTAGTAAAGAATTAAAGAAGCCAACAATTGGTCCCCTAATATAAGCCTCCCTAGAGAATTTCTGAAGAATATTTCAGGCAGTTGCCCTCTCGCTCTTTAACCGCATTTCACACCATTCTATAAGTTTTAATGCTGCGAAAAGGGTCCTGCTATAAAGAATGGTAGTAAGTTCTTAACAAGTATCTTGAAACTAAAATGTTGAAAAGATTGAACATCTCGAACGATATCAAATGATAATTTTATAGATACAAGAATGCTAATTTGTACCATGGCGTCATAGAAATTGAAGGCATGGAATGGCAGGGGATGAAAATGGTGTTTAGTTGCTCTCTTGAAAACAATCAGGATTTTAAGTTTACTTTATGTTTCTCTAAACTTGTCGACACAATTCGGCTAAAACATTATTTCATAAAAGACGGATGAAAATTTGGTAAAAACTTTGATATACGTAATCCTTGCCTGTATCAAACTAATTAATGGAAAATGTAAGATATAAAGCCTTTGCGTTAGGCTCAACTTAGCAAGCCAAACTAAACTTAGCAAGGCATTAAGACAGAAAGTAACACATATTATACCTGTTATCTGTGAGATTACTGAAAGATATCTTTCACAAAGACTCGGCGTTGACCAAGCATCAACTGCCTTGGAAAGGACTTCTACAACTCCTTCTGCATCGTCAAGGTTAAGCAGCAACTCACTCTGCAATCGTTAGAACCTTACGTCATACAGAGAAAACTTTGCTAGTGAAAAAGAACTTTTCACAGATACAGGCACTCATTTTATAGAGGGTATAAAGGATGTGACAAGAGGGATCTTGCAGCCCTCGGGCTACCCTGGGTTCCAGAGGGTCGAGACGCAGAGTACCCTCGGGCAGGAACGGGCGGAGTTTTCCCCATAACATTAGAATTAGATTCAGTAATGAAAGTTCTATATATCATTTTTTTAGCTGAGTATGTCACATTCCATAGTAAACTCAATTAATTTCTGCCGCTATTTTACATCCAATAACACTGAGACAACAATTGTCTAATTTGCGTAACCTCCCGTCGTAAAACCAATCCAATTCACGTAAACCAAGTTGCTTTGCACTAGTCTGCAACTGCTGTTACATCAATAATACGATATGCATATATGCTGTTACATCAATAATACGATATGCATATATGATGTTACATCAATAATACGATATGCATATATGATGTTACATCAATAATACGATATGCATATATGATGTTACATCAATAATACGATATGCATATATGCTGTTACATCAATAATACGATATGCATATATGATGTTACATCAATAATACGACATGCATATATGATGTTACATCAATAATACGACATGCATATATGATGTTACATCAATAATACGACATGCATATATGATGTTACATCAATAATACGACATGCATATATGATGTTACATCAATAATACGACATGCATATATGATGTTACATCAATAATACGATATGCATATATGATGTTACATCAATAATACGATATGCATATATGCTGTTACATCAATAATACGATATGCATATATGATGTTACATCAATAATACGACATGCATATATGATGTTACATCAATAATACGAAACGCGCCAAAACAGTAAAACCATTCATTCATCGTGATTTACTAATACAACACCCCCCCCCCCCACGCTTACCACATAAACAATACATACAAAGATAAAGAAATAAAAGCACCTATGGCAAGATAACGTACCCAGGCCATGAACATCTCTTCCGTAACCAACCCAGACTTGTCTGCCTCACTGAGGATTTCCAAAACTATTCTAATTCTCTAAAAATAATATTTAAAAGGATTTACATCAGCTTAGTGGAATAAGCAATCTTTTTACATAGCGAATATAGGAAATTAGGAAATAGGAACTTTATATTTTGGCACATTTCGTTCTAGAAATTGTAATTTTTCAACAGAAGTTAACAGGAAATGATTAGAGATCGTCTATGTTAACTTTTGTCTATCAGCTCAAGTGGTACGATGACGTCTCGCTAAATAACAGTTCACGAATGAAAGTTTTTGCATTTTCTGCCTTACCCGGGCTACCTGCTCTCCAGTAACACCTTCCAATTTCATGAGCTCTAGAAACGCTTTTAGGTAGGCTTCGTACATACTTCCTGGTGTGGAGAGAAGCACAATTTTTCAATAACTTAGGTCTTCCTTTGGTTATCAGATAATGCTTGAAAACTGTATGCAACAACCAATATAGAAATAAAATACTTCTGAAACATAAACTTCTGAAGTGACGTCTAACTAGCAATACTGATCAATAGCTCTCTTTCAGAATATTGCAAAATTCTCTCTCTCGCCCTCTCGTTTCTCAGGGCGAACACAACTAAGACACATGCTGTTTTGATATGTTCCACGAGATACATGGGACAATACTGACTATCCGGTTTCTTATTTGAGTTATAATAACAAATCTATGCGAGCTACTTCCCGCCACCCCAGTGACCTACGCCAGGGAGTGGGAGACTTTACGTGACGACATTCTCCTAGAGCTCTTTTAGTAACTAAACTACGACTTATGCTATCAGATATATTACGCGATTCCATTTTTTCCTTAAAAAACATATTGACCTCGGCCTATGACATATGCACGTTCTTTAACATTAACGTAATGTTTTGGCGAGAGGCTGACTCGTGGCCTAGCAATTATCATCGGCTACCCTGCAGCACGTGCTACACGTAAGGGGATTTCTACAATACTGATTAGAAACTAAACTTCACAACACACAAGCTTCAGTGTGCCTAGGACATAGCAGAATCACAGGGCGCACAATCTAGTCGCCGAGCTTCACCATGCTTATACGAAGTCACAGTCGACAAAAATGTTTGCTGTTTTAATTCTTGAAATTTAATGAACTCGCCTGTATTAAATTTCTTCAGTGCATCAGCAAAAAGCCCACAACAGCTGTCTTCTGCTTTCTTCCAGTCTTCATCTAGAGGTAAAGAATAAGTGGCACAACAATATTCTAATCAGGGAGCGGCTAGTCCTTCATTCAGTGTTATTATTCTAATAGCAACTATTGCGAAGATTTCATATAACAATTTTCAGGAAAGTTACTTTTTTACCGTATATGATCGTGTTACTTTGCTTTTAAATGGCCTGAGATCAATAATCCATGACGCTAATAGAAACTACTTTACGACAAAGAGAAACAACTGGTGGACATTGAAAATGTTTCCTTAATCAATCAGTGGCCCATTTAGTGGAATAGCCTCCGTCCTTTAACTTTGTCACGATTTATCGAATTCGAAGTGCGTTGAAAAAAATTCTTTCGAGGGTCAAAATTTCCGAAAAACTCACCCGAGACATCTGAAGGAGCAGTAGTTTTGGCTTGAAGATCGTCAAGAGGTCTCCTCGCTATTGTGCTATTGGCAATCTCATTGTCTCCAAAATCTTTCTCTAAACTATGGAAAACATAGGACTGGGTTGACTTCAGCAGAAAATAGATACAGCCTTTATGACATATTTCCTCTAAGTAAGAACGCTTTGCTGGAAAAGCAAAACTAAACCAAGTGTCTTTATGTTATCAAACTTTATCTTTAAGAATTACTAAAATCGTTCAACTTCTATTCAAATGGATACTTCACGAGTTACCGCAAAAACTGAAAATTCAAAACTAGTACTGAACGAGTAACTTTTCTACCTTTCGAACTACGGTAATCTCCCGATAACCCGAACCTCTAAGAGACCAATGAATTGGCGTATTTGAAAGTATTTCGCAAGGGGGATGCAGTATCAGTTCGACTCAACGAATATTCGAGTTATCCGCAGTTTACTCTATTAAAGACTCAAAAAGGGCACAGCGAGATATTACGCGTTGGATCACATGAGGCAGTATTTTCCCAGAATTCGTACATTTCCGGGTGGCGAAACATATATGCATGTATTTTATTTATACCCCTGCGATCAATAGCGCGAAATTGGATAAAAATAGATCAAACGATTCCTTAAAAAAGCAAACTGGTTTAAGCAAGCCAAACATAAGACACGATTCACCTTTCATAGATTTGATCTTGGTTTTCCTTTGTATCCGGGAACAAACGGTAAATGGAAAGAAATTCCACACGAAAATCGACGTCGTCTAAAAAAGAAAACTCAAGGGATATAGCCTAAAATGTATAAAGTCATAAAATGGTATAAAGAAGACCAATAATAATTTCTACTTACAATACTGATTTCATTATTGTTAGATTTTCTAATGAATTAATACTGTCCTACAGGACTACACTGTTATGCAATATAGAACAGTTCCCTGACGATTCAATTGAGTGTTAAACTTAGAGTCGTAACTTAGAACCGTCCGGTCCCAAAACCCAAAGCGTAATACTGACAAATGACGAAAACAAAATAAAATAAATAATTGTTGGAATCATTTTCATACAGGTAAGGAGATATTGAAACATTTTAATAAGCCAAAGTTGAGAATAATCAAGTAATTATGTTAAAAATTAGCCCGAGAAGAGCTATGAAGCTTTTATCCGAATGAAAAAACTCAGCAAAGCTGTAAAAGCTTTTAATAATATTTGATTGATACGCTTTAATTGTAAAAAAAAAGAAAAAGCACAACAACAAACAATTCGCCAAAAGTATAGACATCAATAATGTCCAAAGGAAAGCCGGGAATTTATATCCAGGAAGAAAGACATGTTTGATGGTTTTATTTTTTCTTATTAGCCTCCATTCAAAGCTGTTAGTTTCCATACAAGAATTGCATTAAACATAATTTCAACCTCTTGTGTCAAATTTTATTTTCTATGTTACAACGGTAACGTGAAATCAGCTCCTTTTATGCATCTTAGATTTAAAACTTTTGAGTTTTACAAAAACATGAATATCAAAATTAGTGAAGAGCTTAGATAATTGCCAATAAATCACAAATTGAGTGAGATTATAAACAGCGGAGACAAAGTTGAGAATTTGTGAATCAAGTTAATACACATTGGATATGCAGACTGGATGGTGGTAAAATAAAGAATTGTAATTACTTGGAAATTCATTTATGGCATTTTTGTACACAATGCTTGCAATTTTGTTGGCAAGAAACTGCTCTGGGATCTCTCCTTTCTCAACCTAAAAAGATATTTCTACATTAAACTTTGTATTAGAAACAAAAAAGAAACGCAGAAATGCCTCGTATAAAGGCATAGTTATTGTCCGCTGTGAGGAAGATTTCGTTGTCTGGAGTTTACAAAAACGAAAGAAACTTTGGGTTTGTTATATGTCAATTGTTAGGCAGGGATATGTTCTTGGGAGGTGTCCATCAAAGTGATTGAACCGAGCTAGAATTTTCAACATCCTTAGCGTTTCTACTGTATCCGAAAAATCATCCAAAGAAATCATTCCATTCATGAAACCTGTCATGTGATCTCTACATCTCCTGTGCGCATGCCTCAATTAATTAGGCCATTCTATTGAATGCATGTCTCAGAGAAGAGCCAAAGGCTGGTAATCTTTTGAACTTTCAGAAGCATGCACGGGTACCAGAAACTTGACCAAAATAATAGCAATTGTGAACAAAATTCATAAATATCGGCCTGTTGGTCTAGTGGTATGATTCTCGCTTAGGGTGCGAGAGGTCCCGGGTTCAACTCCCGGACAGGCCCTGTTTTGTCCATTTTGACACGCAGTGACTAATGCAAAGTTCGATAATTGCCGACGCAATAACGATTATGTAATAAAACAAAGTGATGTTTGTTAAAATCATTTTGATAAATCATTGGCATGTCTTGCCAGTGTAACAAAACAAAAGCAGTTCAAGCAAAGAAAAAAACAGAAAGCTTATAAATTACCCGCGCCTTCAAAAGCAACTCGTTCTTATTCAAAAGAAGCGTTCATACGAGGATGTTAACATCTTAGAGAATAGGACACTTTTGGGAGAATATGATTTGATGAAATGATTTGTAAAAGTTATGGCGCACTTTGAAAAACTGAGTCGGTTTTCGCATCTCAACTTCAACTACGAGAACAAATAAAACATGACTGTTCTTTTACGGTTGCAGCTTTGCTGGTGGGAACGTGAAGTTTAATCACATACATTCATTTTTTATAAGAAACCAAGATGAACGTTGAATACTCAAGTTTCTTAAAGCTAATTTCAATGCTCAATGTTTCTTAGCAGTTTCTAAATGGTGGCGTCATTGCTAATAACAAAAACTTTTTCATAAAAATCTTCGACTGTATTATATGATCATAAAGGAATTCAGTTACCTGGTCTCCCTCGGTGGTCAAGCTCAAGAACTCCTTCCTTTTCTTGATCTAAAATTAAATAAATACTCTCGATTCAATGATTTGGAAAAAAATATTGAGCCAATCTAAAAACAAAATGATGCATAAGACGTTTATTTATTAATCAATTCATTCAGTCATTTCTTCATTCATACATTCATTGGTTTATTCATTCATTTTTTATATCATTCATTCATTCATTCATTCATTCATTAATTCATTAATTCATTCATTCATTCATTCATTCATTCATTCATTCATTCATTCATTCATTCATTCATTCATTCATTCATTCATTCATTCATTCATTAATCCATTGATTCAATCATGCATTCATTCAACCATTCATTTATTCAATCATGCATTCATTCGATCATTCACTTATTCATTTATTCATCCGTTAAATAGAAATGCTAATTTTTAGATTGCAAAACTCTGTTTGAAACCAACAAATAAAACCAAACAGTTCTACCGGAAAATGAAACCGAAGCACAAATAATGCGTACATGAAGAGAAAGATGAACAAAAAATTACCTTGTCAACATGAAGCAGCTCCAATCGAAAATACTGAAAAAATACACAGCAATATAGTATTTTGCAAGAAATAATATCTACAAATCTATTCAATTCTCGAGTATAAATCACAGTTGAATCCCATCAAGTGGTACCACGGACAGCTCAAGTTTTAACTCGTGTTTTACTCTAGTGCGCTTTCAGATAGCACAAATCTCAACAGGAAGAAAATAAAAAGGACTCATTATGTTTTTACCTCCAACCAAAGGATTTTAGATTCCGGGTTTAGACGTAGAGCCTTCTGCATTAATGCTCTAAAACATATGGGAGCAACATGTTTTCAGACAAAGTAATTGCAAAGTAAGGTTAAGAAAAAAGTGAGAATATCGACAATATTAAGAGCAAAGTTGTTCATGTTTCATACTTTAATCAAAGGATACATCCCACGCTTATAAGGATATGACTTTAGATGAAATTAGCCGTATGCAAATTTCAGTATTATTCAAGTTGAATTCGCATATCAAGTCTGTTTCTTGCATAACATTTTTGTATCGGACATTAATTAGAAATTGGCTGAAATCTGCTAAAATTGGCAGAAATTTTATTAGGACTTAGTGGCAGTATGTGGACCTTAGTTACAACAGAGAAAAATGTTCATTGCTTTGATAAACCATAGATTTTCAGGAATGTAGCCTTGTATTGTAACCCTGTCTTTATTCAAAGTAAGCTTGATCTTTCCACACTCGTTTCCAAATCCCTTCTTTCTCTCACTTTGCTATAGGTTCCTGAACCATTCCTTAACAATACCAATTTGAAAAACATGAAAGGCAATACAAGAAAGCAATGCATCAAAACGTCACCTTGCATTGTCTATATTTGCATTTTCTTCAAATTCCCATTTCGCTGACATTATCCAAACGCCTAGAAAATTAATGACTTTAGCAGATAACATTTCCTTGGCCAGTGCATTCGTACTTTTTGGCTTGCAGACAATACGAGGCAGTATAGCGATGCTGTTTGATTTTGCTCGAGCATTGTGGCTGCAAATCATGGTAAACACAAAAAGGTGTGAAAAAGAAGGCAATTAAATATTCCATTGGAAATCCATCAAATTTATAATTTTCGGTAACTCAATAACACCATGTCCATTTCTTCAGTTAAAGCAAATAATTTGCATGCGAAGACCTTTCGTCCGTCTGACTGCCACAAACTTTTTTGACAAAACATATCCAAGAACAAAGTAAACTTCAATTACAGGTGTTATGCTCACTATCTCGTGCATTTGAAGTTCTTTCGATTAACGAAAAAGTTTAAGGGAAAACTACAATTGTCTTAAAAGTGCCTGAAAAGTACGGGAACTTAACCTGAAAGAATTTCTGTTGATATAGAATTATGAAATGCATGGACACAGGGCATTTAACGACATAAAACATGGGTACCAGAACCCGTCACTTTCACATACTTGGGTTTTGACCATGAATCTGCGTAAGCCTGCCAAGTGCTCGTCCAGTAGATCTTTTACTTGCCTATTAATGATGAACAAAGAATACTCAAACTGGGGTTATCGTGTTCTACAATACGTTTATAAATTTGTGATTCCATTCACCCAGCAAAGGGGCGGATCTAGAGCAAATTTGAAGGTGGGGGCGCTGAAAGATTTTCATAAATTGGTGGCGAGAGTACGCTGTATACAACAATTTCCGACCCTAATTACTGACGGCATCTTCTCAAAACTTCTTTCTTAATAGGTAGATAAAATTCGGCTGAACAGTTCAGTTTCAGTTTATAATTGTAAAAGTTCGCTACATACAAACATTTTCAAATAAGCTGGTTAGGTGTAAATAAATACAAATACAAACAATAACAAGGATGTAAGGAAAAAACTAGTAGAATTGCATGCAGGGAATTTCTTAAGGAGGTGCCTTCTCAGTAGATAAACTAATCGAGGAGAGAGCACCCCTTTTTCAAGAATCGCTGCTGCGCCATGGTGCCTCTAACTCTACTAGAGTACTCTGCAAAAGAGGCTGACGTCAATATAATTTCGCGCTAAAGCATATAAAATGAAATGAGGGCCCAGAAAATTTGCCGCTTTTGGTTTAACTTTCAATTGGAGTATGGCTGTTTACTTAGACAGTACTCTACGTCATTATTGCAAAAGGTAAGATGGATAGTTCAGATGAAGGCGGCCACTCTGTTTCGCGGCAGAAAAGTTTTGCAACTATGACATTCTCAAGACAGCCGGAAAATGGATCTGGGATATTTACAACATCAACTGAGAACCAAAGGTCCTAGGCGCGAAAGACAAATATCTTATCATAATTATGCTCCATAGTTCTATTGGCTTTGATTAAGACATGAAGATTGGACAGCTTTTAAGCGCAAGAAATTGAACAATGTTTGAATGAAGGCAGGAATTAAAGAACTTAACTTTATGAATAGCCTTTGTTATCTTGGTGAGGGTGACTTTTCTAGCAAAACATGATCCATTTTTGGTATAAACAAGTATACTTTGAGGTAATCCTTGAAGTAGATTAACCTATAGGTCTCAGAATCTTCTTCACCTGATTCTCATTCTTCAAAAGGGGTGCAAAATTTCCAAAAAAGGGCGCCAGACTTGCTTCAACTTGGTGAGGGAGGGGAAACTGCCCCTAGTTGCCCCCCTTAAATCTGCCACTGACTCGGCATGGTTCAACTTCAAAAGGTATTATGATGATGGAATAAAAAAACATGCTGGATATACCAACTGGAGGAGCTAATGGAATCTCTATTTAAACATTACCAAAATTAAAATTAAGAAAAACAGCTTGGAATTATGTCTTGTACTGTGGGCAAAGATTAAAATGCATAATCATTTGCATTTTAGGCCCTTGAAGGAAAAATTTTTCACTTGGATTTTCAGCAATAGCTTTGAGTTATTTTGTCGCTTTAAAGAGGCAAAATAGTATTAATTTTGTGTAGTTAAACAAAAGTTCAATGGAAATCACAAAATTTTTAATTTAAACAAGAAATCATGTCACCTTTATCATTAAAATATTGTCGATTATTACTCAGGAATTTGAAAGATGCCAATGAGGCATGTGAATCAAATTTATTCTATCTACTGCAAATATGAACAGTTCTAGATAATAACTGCATTTCGTAAAATGCAGGGTCGTTTGTGAGTTTTGCTTTTGGTTTTGAAAGATGCTATCTTTTTATTAACTTGATTTAAAGAATAAACTCACAGAGCACCCACTTCATTTGCAAAGTTCTAGCACGTTTAAAACTTGTTGAAATAAAGATATAGCATGCATGCTTGAAATTCAACTGATAGCCTAAAGATTGTTTATGGCCAACAAAAGTTTTGAAACTGGCATGTTAAGTTTTGAAATGATAACAGCAGACAATGCTCATTCATAAGAAATAATGAACAAAGTACTCTTTGTATATGTTATAAGATTATCTGTCTGTGCCCAACATTTTTGCTAAAGGTTAAGCATTGATATAGTAGGCTTTGGTACCAAGCTTGTAGACTTCATCATTGTCAAAATCCAATTTTGATAAAGTAGGATTTTGACATGTCATCAAAGCTTAAAGTAGGAAAGCATCAAAGCTTTGGTTCCATTCAAATATGGATTGCAACAGTTGCTCTCAACCTCAATATACTTTAAATCTTAGACAAATACAAAAAGTAATTGCAACAGTTTTCCCTTACTTCTCTAGTGGATTTAACAAGGCTGTGTGAATAATTATATGTATAAACTTACTGTCTTGTTGCAAAAATCAATGTACTGCATCCAAAGTCTCAAATCGTTCTGCAAAAAATAAGAAATAAATTTATCAACTCTTCTAAATCTGGCTATAAATGTAGTCATGTTTTGATGATCATATAAGATTCCCACTCAGCTGAAAACTGGTTGAATTCAAATAAGATATATCTCTACAGACAAAATAATACCACAAAAAGATTGAAACATAAAGAGTTACTGAGAAATAAGAAGGAATATTCTCCTGTGCTATGGTAGGCAAAGTGATTCCAATGAGTTGTAGGTACCATGGTATGAAAATTGAATTTTGCAGTTACAGCTTGAACAATAAAAAAATGATCTTAAAAGAAAAGTCAACAACATACCCCAAACTTTTTCAAGGCTTTCTGCAAAAAAATGATGTCTCATAAAACTAACATCAAAATAAAAAATAAACTCTGACAGTCAACTATGTAGCAAACATAATTTCTGGAGAAAAAATTATCGGGTAAGGGAAACAAGGGACACCTTTAACTTTTTGGCCAACTAAAGGCACTTTCTGTCATTGATAAATCAAATCATTCAATATTAGAAGTAGATGAGAAGAAATTAAGAATTAGTCTTACATTGTCAATTGAATATGTAACAACAGGTCTTTTGTATAGTCCAACCAATTGGAATTTAAATGGCTAATAAGTGGGGGGGGAGAGGTATAATGTTTTAAATGCTTACACATCATATAAAATTATGTGTAAAAACAATGATAATCTTGTTCTACTTGCCTGGAAGACATGATGCATTCTTTTGTTTATTCCAATTTCAGCAGTGGTATGTTTTGGTTTCAGTCCCATTCTCTAGATGCAATAAAAAAGATGTTAAATCTAGTTTTTTAACAGACATTTGAAAAGGGTCTCCTGTTACACAGAAACTAGCTACAATCATTACTAAAACTTGTGGAACACTTGTGATGTTTTCAGCATTTGTATGCTTCTATCCCTCCCTCCCCCCCTTCAAACAATGTTATCATACAGCAAAGCTCAAAAATGCCTTTGAGACAAACCTTTTCTAAATGGTTTAAAGTTCTGCTTTGTAATTAACATTGTTTTAAGGGGGAATAGGTTAGTCTAAACAAGACACTGAAAAAATGAAAAAAAGCAGATTTTTTTTGCAGGCATTGTAGCTTGTAAATGAATACTTTAAAAGAGTGTGCTTATCATAAAATGAATGCTATGTGACTAATACAAAATGATGACTTACTAAAAATAATAAAGGTAAAGTAAAACAGGCTGTAAAAAGTTACCTGCATTCTCTTTCTTCTAAGACTATCAACATTCAGCTCATACTGCAATAGGAAAAACTCAAAAGGATCACACAGGTAAGGATGCTATGGAAGGGGGTCCAGAGGGGGTGCAAAACACTTCTTGTTAAAACTAAAAGGAAAAATTACACAAATTTCTCACTTTGCAATGTGAAAATTCCTAGTGTTACATCAATCAGCAAGTACTATCTGTCTTGTTGAGAGAATGCAATGTGTTCATTCGTTTGAGATGCTCATTATGATAGATAAATAGAACTTGGTGCAAAAGAAAACTTCTTTCAAATGTTCCAAGTAAATCCTAGTTTAGTCTAATGAAACTCTTCATGCTTGCAAAATACACCCAGCAAAGGACTTCATTAGGCATGTGTTCAACTTCTCTTTGAAAAGGGCCATCCTCTGATAACCATCCTGATGTTGACCTTTTTCATATGTAAAATAAACTTGATCAATCAAAACTTCTTTTCAATAGTTTCAGAATTAATTTTTATGTCAAAAATAGGCTTTCCAACTTTTTAATTACAAAATTAGGTGGGTGAGTATGTTGTTGTAACTAGGAAAGAACAAAAAATCTTCATTCTAAAACAACATAATCAATACATACTTCAAGATATTTAAGAAAATCTTTCTTTTCAACTACTCTTCGTTGCAACTTGTACTCCAGCTCAGTCCTTTTCTTGACAATTGTTCTGAGAAAAAAGAAACAATCCAGTGCATACAAGAATAAACAAACTCAAACTTAAACTCAAAATCTTTATCAGCAAAAAAAATGTTAATTACAATACACCAAGAATTAAAAACTAGAATACAAACGTTCGCATTTTCAAAAATTATACTGTATCTTTCTGTAAACGTCCGTCCCAGCAATTAATTGTTCGTTCAATTGCCTTAAGAATAGTTTCTGTTGAATGCGGAAAGACAAAAGAAACCAGTACCATAATAGTGATGATGGTAAAAAAAAATTTTTAATTTTGTGAATGACAGCTTGGTCTCATTCTAGATGAATAAATCCAATATCAAACTCTCGAAATATCTATTGATAAAGTGATCTCCAAGATCTCAGATGAATAAAACTAAACAAACCGAAAAGCAGAAAATTCTGTTTTCAGCATTCTTTAACAGTAATTTTCCAATTTTCTTTAATGAACCCTAAAAGTCCGCTTCGTGAACCCAAAGCGGGAGATATTCATAGGCAACCGTACCAAAACAAAACTGACCGTAATTCATTCTTGTCAAATATCCCCTTTGCCTCTAAGTCTTCCAACTCTGGTAGCATGCTTTCCAGGTTCTTGTACACGTACTCAGCCATTTTCTTTGAATTTTAGAAAATATTACAAACATTTAACTTGAATTTTCGTTTAAATGAAATCAAATATCCCCACCTATCGCCTACACAACAGTCCTATCTTAAGTCCATGTGACTTGTGGGAAAAAGAAAACCATTATAAAGTAGTCTCGATTTCAAAATCATGGTCTGTGCAGCCACAACAACTTTTGTCTTCGGCATAAAAGTTTTTTGAAAAGTGGGACAGGATTTACTGCCGTTTTACTATGAAAGATTAAATTTCTATCAAGATTTGTCTATGTAACATTTATTTCGTTATCATGTTTTGCAATTGTGTTTTTAGAGCGGCGAAGACGAATCATTTGACACGATTCCTAAGTTCATTTCGTAGACCGAAGCTTGTGTTGACTTGGAATTTAGGTTATGCAACCCGGAATTTTTCGATACGTTCTCTCATCGTGTCACCAAGGATAAGTGCAAGCATATTTACAAATGGAGGCACTTTCCAACATACACTCAGAAACCGCCCTTTTAGTTTATTAAGGAAGCAATCGCTTGCGTTTCTACGACAAACAAGAAATTTTCAAGGGAGAAAAGCCAATCAAAGGTCAAAGCTAAACTTATCGGAAAAACACAGAACTGTTGCAATGTACACACTTTCCCTTGCCATTCTCGTTTGTGGTGGATCGTATGCTGCAGTGCCATTGTACAGACTTTATTGCCAGGTACGATCTTCTAGAAATAGCTAGGTTAAAAATCTAACAACTTGTATGTTTACGTCGTGTGTAACCAAATCCCAAACGAAGTGTAACACTTGTTGCCAAGTTTTTGGGTGCAATGAGGCTCTTTTGTGCAATATCCACCAATCTACAAGGTCTTGGAATGGGCAACGTCTTGTTAGACATGCATTCTTTATTCAAACTTCTATAATTACCTCTCATATATGGTATGCAAACCAGACTGTAAAGTATTTCTTCTGTGCAGGGAGCGCAAGGACAATAATTGTGAAATTTGCAGGTAGCCAACATTTTCCGCAAAATTGTGCATGGAATTTGAGGTCAAGGCTTTTGAAGAGACCTTGTATTCTCTGTTTTTTCTTGTTATCAAAAGTCAGAAGTTCAAAAGGTTGAATATTTGCAGGGAATATGACCAGATAACAAAAAGATTGTGCGCGGAATCTATGGCAGATTCTTAATAATGCATTGGCGGAATGATGGATAACAATTATTGCGCTGGGAATAGGTTCAGACCCAGGGCATTCCATGTCCTTAGGCCCAAAGATCTTCGGCCTACACTCAGGTTTTTTCCACATTCAGCGTGCAAACCAATAAAACAAGTTTGGCATACATTTTTGTTTGTTTGCGAGTTAAATATGAATTGAAGCTGTGTACATGAAAAAGTTAACATGAAAACAATAAAATCAAGACTCATACACCACAGTTTTCTTTATTAATCAGTTTTCTTGTCTGGGGTACAATATTTACAGTTATATAACTGCTCATATTTTGGGTGTACCTAAAAAATGTTCTGGTGGACCTTCAGCGTACAGTTGACATGAAATGCACCCTGCACTCAGACCAAACTTTTTAGTCTGGTATGCAAACAGAAGTATTGCAAATTTGGGTGTGAATTTCAGATTTTATTGTTACTGACCTATTGCATGAAACTGCCATCCTTTGTTGAATGGCATTTCTGGCTGTGCGAAATTATATCTCCCAAGTTGATGTCTATGCTATCACCTCATTGAGAGCAAGCTGGGCTGCACTGGTGCAAATTGATCAATCTATCATTTGAACTTTTAGTAGGCATATAATTCCCAAATGTCTGGGTTATCCCATAACAAAGAAACTTTTCATGTAAAAAAACAGAGTGAGGGTTGGAAGATGAGGAAAGAACAAACAACACTCCTTTCTCTAATATATAGAATCTAAATTGACTGGAGGACTCCTTTGAATTGCACTTAAACTTGCAGACCTGCTACAAGAAAAATGCGATGAAGCTTGCCACAAGAAACAACCACAACTTGGAAACAATAGCAAGCTTGGGTGAATAAATTAAAGGAGAAATACCCCTTGTTAAAATAACTCATTTAATTTCATTTAATCATCATTACAAACGAGGCCTAATATAAAGGAGACCAAAGCTATATAGCACACAATGAAAGATAAAAAAATCAAATTATATATAGTCAAAAGCATAGGAGGAAGACCAATTTCTGCCAATTTTAATGTAAGATCCCCCTTAACTTAATTTTTAAAGCCATAGACACACTGCATAAACAGCAAAAGTTTGGAATTTTTTCAACTAAAAAAAGAATTGTGTTGTTTTGTTTGATTCTGCCATTAAATCTGGATTGTTATCCAGCCAAACTGTATTTAATATATAATTTGGCAATAATGGTTTGGCCAAATTCCAAAAACTTAGATCTGGTATCCCCCTCTCCCATCATTTGAATTGATTTATGGTTTTGGAAATATTTTAGGCATCAGGATATGGAGGTACAGTACAAGTTACAGAGGTTGGAGAAAAGCTTGAAAAAATGGAGAAGCAAAGATTTAGGCAGCTTACAGTAAAGTTTAATGCTGACAAAAGTGCAACAATGCAATGGGAATTCAAACCACAGCAGTCAGAAATAAAAGTAGGCTAACACAATGCAAAAAATTTTTCCAAATCAATTTTTTGAGATGTTACTACAAGTCAATAATGATAGATTATAAATCTTGTTCTTAACATAATTTAAAATTTTGTTTTGTGTTTTGCCTTCAAATTGATGATAAATCAACTTCACAAACTGATAGTTGAAAACAAAAACATATGTCATATAAAAGCGATCTTTTTTGCAGATATTTCCAGGAGAAACTGCTTTAGCTTTTTATACTGCAAAGAACCCAACAGACCAACCAATAACTGGTGTATCAACATATAATGTTATACCATTTGAAGCTGGACAGTATTTTAATAAAATACAGGTATGGTCATGGCATTTTATTTTTTTTGTTTTTCATAAAAATATAGCAAGAAGTATGGAAAGCAAAGGTATTACTCTTTTTGACTTTTATTTATGAAATTTTTTAATTATATAAACCTTCCAGTGCCCTTAACCCTTAACTGACAGACAAATTCTTAATTTGTTATTGCGCTAGTTTATAAATTTATTTTACATTATTTTTTAGTGTTTCTGCTTTGAAGAACAGAGGCTGAACCCAGGAGAAGAAGTAGGTTTTGGCAAAAAGGATTTGGATAACGATTCTACAATTTATTAAAATAAAATTATTTTCTAATATAACTTAGAATGTGATTTCGCTAATCTTTAGACTGAAGGTAACTCCTTTTCATTGAGTTATGTAAAGATTATAGTGTTACTTCTGGGCCTTTTCATAAGTAAATTTTCACAAGAAGGATGATTTGCCTTCATTATAAAACTTAAAGTGGTATCCCCCTTCATCTAAATAAAGAAAATTAATAAAGCTATGAAGGGCCTCATAAAAATTTTACAAACCAAAGACTTCCTAATATCTGAGTTTCTTAAAATGAGAATTTCCTTAGTTGAGAATGTCCTTTACTTGAGAATGACAAATACTTTCTCAGCTTCATCTCACTTAAATCGGCAAATTACCTTGTAGGTTGACATGCCTGTATTTTTCTACATTGATCCTGAATTTGTTGAAGATCCAAGTTTGAGGAAAGTCACAGAGCTCACCTTGTCATACACATTCTTTGAAGCAAAAGATGGCAGTTGGCCGGACATGAACATTCCTCCCTCACAAAAAGGAAATTCTGAAAAATAATAGTTTTATATTTTTCAGTAAATATTGATGTATTTTAAAGACATGATGATATTAAGTTGAAATCATTTTTTTGATAAAATGGTTGAAATCATTTAAGAAGAGACTCAAAAGTCTTGCTTTCTTATTTCATTTTATTGGCAAAAAAGCAAATTTGAGTTATCTTAATGCATGATTTCAGCATGACTAAAGGAGTCTATGAATGCTCATCTAAATAGCCTTGAAGAGAATATAATGGAAATTTGACTTTTCAGCTAGAAACATTGATTCTACTAGGTATTATCACCATGCTTTAGATTTGAAATACTACAGGTAGTTTAGAAAGAGGAAGATAATAGTCTTCAAAACCCAGGCTTCAAAATAGTCTTCATTCTACTATCATATGGCTACAACACCTGTAAAGGCAACAATCTTTGTTGTTCTAGTTTATCAATAAATGCCAAAACTTTGCCTTGTGAGTTAGCTGACCCTCGCTTTGGTAACTTTTGGCTCAAAACCTAAAAATGAAATACCAACCTGTTTTCTACTTCTTAGATCTTGATATCATGATGACTGGATATTCATATTGCTCTGATTTGTTGTTTGCATCACTTGTGTTCTTTTCGCTGTTCAGCTATACATTTTTTTGGGACCCCAGCTCTAAAGGAGACTTGAAATCTTCTATATTTGAACTTGAATATAGCTTTTAAGGGTTTCTTCTCTATTTCTACTAGATTTTTAAGAACTGAAGGATCTGCTTATTTTTAGGTCATTAGACATATGTCAGAAAAACTTTTTGTTTCTCAGAAACATCATATCATATTTTGTTTCAAAAGCCAATTGAAAAGAAAGATTGGACAGAAAGTATAAGAAGACAGCCTTTATAACTTTCCCAACAATTTTCAGCAACTTTACTTACCAATTTCAATGCCATGGAATTCTTGTCAACTTGGAGCGTGCTTGTCTTGTTTTATGACTTAATTAAAGCATAAATATGACAAAGACTAATGCTAGATTTTTTCTTTCCACCAAATATTCATCTTTCAAAATATATAATACATTATTTCAGGTTTGCAAACATACTGTAAATATGCATTTAAATATAAATTTAAAAAACTAGATCTGATTATCATCAAAACTATGTAACAGTTATATTCCTGATTGTTTTGAGCAAGGGAGGGTTCATTTACAACAGAAACTTTGTCTATTTTAGTTGAAAATCATATCATGTTTTTGCCTCATCATCCAAGGGGTAAGCCAGTCCATCTCTGTTTTCCAGCTCTTCTTGGAGAAGTGTTGCACGTGACTGCATCAATGAGATCTGCTCACGCAAAGCATTAATTGTTTCTTCAAGTTCCTAAAAACAAAGTCAGCGAAAAGGCACAATATGAATAAAACTGTAAATTTAGTAGTTAAAAATTTCTTAGAGTTAACGGTTACAAACACTACTTAATGCTCTGAGTTGTAAATTAGCTCACTAGATATAAGTATTTGATAAAAGAAAAAAATCAAAAATCCTAAAGATAAAAAATCTTTTTGAAATACATTAATTTAAACTATTTACCAAGCATTCGCTAGATATTTTTCACATTTTTTCTACTGGTAACAAACCACTTACCATACGGGCTGATCCTGGAAGCAAACCACGCATCTTTTCTTCATAATCTAGTTTTAGCTGAGTCATCTGAAAAAATCGAAGTAATCTTCAAGAAATCACAATAAATCATAGAACCAGCGAAATTCGAGGACAGAAGGGAGTCAAAAACCAGGCTAGATTTAACATATACCGAAAACCTGGTTCAACAAATATCTACCAAACAAATGCTACAAAATATTCCCATATGTGTCACAAGGAGCGCTTCTGAAAACTTCCCATAGTTACTGACTTGTTGTTAGGTTTTACTATATCCATTTCCTATTCTCGCTTCACTGTTGTGTAGTTTGCACTGAAAATTGTAAAGTAATTGATCTTTTCAAGTTAGTTTTCACCAATACTTGATCAACACAATAGGACCAACAGTAATTCTTGCGCATGAATGCAAGAAGCTTAATCAACTCATCATATCCCAATGTACAAATCTACGCAATGCCTTGTTTAAATTCGCACAAATTCATACAAATTTAAGTATACGAAAAAGTCAAAGGTTTTCAGAAGGGAGAGACATACACTTTCTTGAGATTTAAGCTCCAGTTTTTGACATTTTTTTTCGTAATGTCTTGACCTTGATCGGTGCAAATCAACTTCTTGAGTCAAATTCTGAAAAATCAAAAAGAATTTAAGATAATACTAGAGGATTTCATGAAAATTTAGAACTTCTTAATCGGTTTTTTATGAAAGTGATGTTTGGAACGTGAAGTATTATGCGCAAAGGCATAAAACAATTTTCATTGTGCCTCTCAATGAACGTATTAAGACTCAGGGGATTAATGAAAAGGAAGAATCATTGATGTTAAGGAAACAAAAAGAGACTCCTTTGCTGATGTCCTTGATTTCTCTACATTATGGCTTGCTGAGCGTTGATCACTATGTTCAGTTCAATGCATGTGTATACACAAACTAGATGTAATGCAAATTACTGTTTATAGTCCTGTCAAAACGTTTATACTGTTGGCTGAGTGCCAACAATCATTAAACTTGGAGCTTGAGACATCAAGGCTCATACTAGATGTGCTTTGGTGTATTACTGTATAGAACATGACGGCTTTAAGTTGAATTTCATTTTATGAAATATCTTGTCTTCTGGAAAGAAATTTGGCAACAAATATATTAAGCAGTTGCTTTGATGCATCCGTTATTGGCAGGTGTCTCCCTTAGTATGCTGGTACAAAAGGATCAATATTGTTTTGTTCTTGGATATTCGCATCGATCCACGTGTCTAAGAAATAATATATTCACCTTAAGAACATTGCTGTGATGCTTTTTGATTTCATCCTTTTCCTGTTCGTAATTCTCGGTAAGGTCAAGTATCCTAACCTGCGAGTTACTTTGCTCCCTGAAACGGAAAAATCATAAAAGATTTTATTGGCTCTAAAAACCAGGTATAACAGGCACCGCGGAGCGTTGAGAGTGGGGGGGGTCTAAAAAAAGTGGGGGGAGGTCTAAAACCGTATAAAGATAGGCTTTACTGGTAGTTTTTAACTTAATACTTGGGATTTTTTGCAAAAAGTGGCTAAAGCCCACCAGGACACCCTGCCCCACGGTGCCTGTATAATCGGATACACTTCTGCAATAGGCGATACTCTCACATGAACAATTTCAGATCGGTCTCAAACCCAGATCGGCTTGAAATTTGATGGTGCGTGCTAATTTGACTCCTGCTCACATGAATATATCCAAACCGGCTTGAAAAAGCCACAGGCTTTTGCACATCCGCATTTATTACGAACTCAGACCAAAACAAACATGGCACAAAAAAATTTAAAATTTCATATCAGTCTTGAAGTCGATTCGATTGTTTTAGTTTTCGCTTTGCAACTTCATTTTGCTTCCTCAACTGATGTCTCAAGTAATCAATCTTCATCAGGAAATCGCTCTTGCTAATGAAGAAAAAAGTCGTGCTTTGTGCAGATACTGGCAGTAGTCAAATCAATGGTCAAGTGGCGCTAAACATGCATCCCAGGATTCGACTTTGCATATCCCAGAGGGCAATTTATCTTTCTCCACGATTTTCAATTCGCCCCGATTGTAAAAAATTTTCTGCACGCATGCGGATTTCAAGTCGACCTGAAATTTCAGACCAACCTGAACAACCGAAACGAATTCAGGTCGACCTGAGTTTCATTTCGCCCTTTCTTGTGTGAGCACAAGGGCTCAGACCGCAGACTGAAATGAATTTCAGGTCGATCTGAGTTTCAGACCGACCTGAAGATTCTGATGTTAGGGGCGCCTAATATAGATATTTTGGGTCCAAAAGAGGGACAAGATAAGCGAACTTTGAGAAAATTCAAATTGAAAAACGGCACGAAAAAGGAGAGCTGCTAATGTGCATACTGAAAATAGATATTCTTCCGACACTGAGCAAACACGTCACTAAATGACAACAGGATGAGCTTAACATGGGTGTCCATTTACTTCTTATGAAAGTTTCGGAGCACAAATACGAAAAATCTACAACACTGTTCTTAGCCCTAAGAGCTAACAAGCTTTTATCAATATGAAATTTGACATCCTATTTATTGAAACATCCAGTAGAAAGTAAAATGCTGTGGAGAATAAACAGCGAGGGAGCTGAGTACCCTCGACCCTATCTACAACACTGTTCTTAGCCCTAAGAGCTAACAGGCTTTCATCAATATAAAATGTGATTCCTTTAAGGATACTTTCAGGCTGAATTTACCCCTTATCTTTGGTCTAGGAATATGTGTTACTGTACTTGAAATGCCATTTGGCCTTTGAATAATATCCCCGTGTATTTTTGTTATACGTTTGCATTCCACCAAATTTTCCTCAAAAATTTTAGTCAGGTACAAATATACCAAGGGAGCGAAATTGGATGGACCAGAGAACCAGACCTCTTTATTTTGGAAATTGTTTATTAGGAGAAGATTCCAGTAAAAAGCAATTCAGTTACAAATTCATGGACAAGAAAATGAAGATTTCAATGATTCTAGAACACCATAGCAAAAACGGAGTTATGATGTTAAATCCTGATAATTTGGCAAATTTTGATGAATCGGAACATACCTTGATAATTTTTCATTAGATTCCATAACCTGACTCTGCAATTCAGTGATAATCTATGAGAAAAGGGTCGAAGACTTAATCACGTCCATATGCATCGTGAGCTGTTAATTCATCAACTTTTTAATACGCAAATATACACACACATTGATAATATCTACACTGAAACATACATAAATATACACAAATAAAAATATATACAAACACAAATAGTGTACTTGAAATAAACTCAATGAAAGAAAAGGTATAATATGAACTTGTCATTTTTATCAAAAATTTAAAGCCTGCTAGAAAATGCAGAAACTTCGATGTTCACAAGGAGAAAAATTGCCTGAATTAGGATCGTGATTACGGTATTTTGTGTCCGCACGACCGAAAAAAACATCAGGATTAATTTGTTCCTAACTTTTGACGAATTTTGACGAGGCTCGGGTTATTATAATATTGTTCTTATAAAACAGAGCATACATCAAACGATCCGGAATATGCAGTGTACAAAGACCGCAATATTAGCGACAGGCCTTTTGAATAAAGGCACGGACGGCATCGAATGGTCCATTCCAATAGTCAATCAAGGCAGATCGATATTTCGATGGTCGTCTAATGAATCGAACTGCACAATGGAATCCAATCTTATTCAATCGATTGAGAAAATGTTCAAATAAGAATGCACAAAATTCTCACTTAGATTATTTAAATAAACAAAGATTGGTTGATACATTGCTATTAAAGAAATGGGAGGTCCAGAAAGGCAATGCAGTGACGATGATACAGCGACGTTGCGGCTCAAGAGAGAATTAGAGAGAAAAAGCGAAGCACTAGTCAAGGCAGAGCGGGCAAAGACGCTGCTCAGGAGGTATGACGGCCTTAAAAAAATCATGCGAAATCTAAGGCACACTTTCAAGATGCTGCTTTAGTTATTAGAGTATAATCTTTTCATAACTTTTAACAACTATAGGAGACCAAAATTACCGAAAGCACTTCACGATAATTCAAAGCTTAGTTCGTCTATGCAGATATTGCGATAATTATTTTAGCAGTGTTGGAGTCTTTCTACACAAATGAAGTATCGTTCCTTATGAAGTGAAACACTTAGTGATACAAAACATGAATCACTTCCAATGTGAATTTTACAGAGGATTTAATTATAACCAGAGCAACAAACGTTTCAAACGCTCTCACATGTCAAGCCACATTCGAATATTTCTTTTGAGGAAAATATTTTTGCTAAAGTGAGAAATGGTAGGAAAATATATGATTAACTGGGCATTGAGTCACTGTCTCCGGGGGCAATTCTTGTCATGAAGAACAAAGACTAGGTACTTATCAAAATTTGCGCAGCTCCTTTCATTTATTTACCAAAATTTGCTGCAGCTTCAGACCCTCCTCTATTTAACAAGATATTGTCAAAAATGCTTATGATTATGCACTTTGTTCAAAATTTCAGGACCGTCACTATTTATCTAGATATTTTTACTTCTGCAGACTACTGAATGCATCAACAAACGTTTTTAGATGATTCTTCCGGTTATTTGCTCGAAATAATCGATCGGCATTGTGAAATCGTATTTCAAAATATTGTTTTTTTTTTCATTTCAGAAAAGTCGACGAACTGGCTAAGAAGAATAGTTGCCTTAGAGATGAGTTCCAGGCCACGGTAAACTTCATGTAACAATTTTAATAAAGTGTTCCTATTTTTAAATAATACTTATCACACCATAGAGATGCAGGCAAAAATTATCAGGATATTTACCTGGGATCCAAATAGTTGATATTTTACTAGATATAGAATATGAGTTGCAAAAACTGATGCCATCTGAAATCGATTTACAATACAGGGACTTATGAATTTATGAATACGCTCAAAGTATTGTATTCTTTTAGTTCGATGGGTTGATCGCAGAAAAAAATCGACTGTCGACAAAGATTGAGGAACAGAAGGAAACAATAAACGGACTTATGAAGTTCGAGCCACTGAAAATCAAGAAAGTGCTTAAATATGTAAAATATTTTATGGAGGCTGAAGAAGATAAGACTCTGGATATTAAGAAAATGGTCGAGGAAAGTGAATTGTTCAGAAGGCAATTTGCTGAGAAAGGCAAAGCGTTGATCAACGAGTCATTCAGCCCGGCAAAGGGCGTAGACAGTGCTAGCAGTGGTACAAAAGATAAAACCAGCGATGGATCCAAGGTCGTTTGTGCTTTTCAGATATTGCTGGAGCGATATATAGAACAGAATGAAAGAAAAGACAGGCTAATGACTGCTTTCAAGGCAGAGGCTGATGAAATACCTTACAAAGACTTGGAACTTTGGAACTTGAAGTATCAGCTAAGGGAAACTGAGGCAGACTTAGCCAAGGAAATGACCAGTACTTCATGTATGAAGTCTTTTTTTGACACGGAAGTTTATAATCAAAAGAAAGAACTCAATAAAGTTCAAAATTGGAGAGAAACTCAAAGAAAATGTATGAATCTTTTACAGATGGAATTAGAGGTTCTAATAAAAAAGGAACCAGTCTATAGACATAGGCTCGAGACCAGAGGAAATATCCATAGGCTGCGACAAAGGATGAGCTATATTGCTGAGGATAAAAACATGCAGGTTGATGGTGACTTGCAAGATATTATAGAAAAGACAATACATCTGATAGACCTGTATGTCACAGCTAGCCAAATAAATAAGAGATTAGTAGCACGAGTCAGAAGACTAGAAAACTATTGCACTCTTGGAAGAGACGAGGAGATCCCCTCTCCATCCAAAGAAACACAAGGAAAGACAAAAAGCTTTTTTGATCGGTTTAGAAGAAAGAAGATTAAGGAATAAAGAGACTGGAAAAAATCTTAAAGACTGGAAAATTATATCATCATTTGTAAACATTATAACCTACATTTTATCTTTAAATGTGAAAATTGCAAATGTAGAAATATTATGTTATAAGATCTTTAAAATAATTCATTAAATCTCCAATATTTAATCTTGTTTTCTAGCTATTGCATGTCAGACAAGGAATTTAAGTTTTAAGAAAACAAGATGGCAAATCAGAGCGAATGTTAGGATAAAAATTGTGGGCTCCTTGATTAATTGTAAAAAATGACTTAATTCAGCTTAACATCAATGGAGTTTGTCAAAGAGAAGTCCTTCAAATGCATTATAATATAAGAAAAATTTGAGTTTAAATCGCAGATTTTATTGGAAGGATGACTGACTTTATGAGAGATATTTATCTTCAGTTACAGAAGTTAGGTGGGAATCGAAAATGACAACCAAAGAGCGAACGGTAGCATATTTAATACATATCAGTTACACTACAAGAAATAACTTTGACAGGTGCAAAAATGGTATCATCAAACAAACTGAAAAATTTATCTGCCCTTTTCCTGATTCGGATTGACTGACACAAAATTTCCTAAAAATTTCAGGTTTGCCTGACACTCTCAAAGAACCAATAATTTTCTTGGTTTTCCAAGTTTTACAGACTCTGTGCGAGCCTGTTTTGCATAAATCTATTTTTAATAGAATTGAATAAACAGACACTAGAAATGAATTGCAATAGAAAAATTAATATTGCTGTAATCACGGAGTATATACCTGCTGATTCCTTTCTGAACTCAAAGCATATTCACTTTCTATTTGCTTCAGTTTTTCGTTGGTCTGATATCAAAGAAAAAAATTAGAACGTGCAGCAAAACTATGCAAAAGTGCAAACTTCAAGAGCCTCGCGAAAGGATATTAATTAAAAAAGTGAAATATCATTTCGCGAGCGAGATGTTTCTCGGTGCTCCTATAGTGAAGTCTGGGTTTAAATTTTTTTTTCAAAATGAAAAATCGGCTTACAGAAACGTGAGTGTTGCGGTCATCAAATGCCTTATCATATTTTATCAATGCTTTATCGATTGTAAATCTAATATTTTGACCTTTTGTCGATATGCAAAGTGATTTATGACAATAGTCCTACACCGTAAAACAAAATGATCATAAAATTATAGACATGATGGTAAAAGTTATAACATTAAGCATCAAAATCAGACTAGCCAGTTAGAAAAATCCTGTTGTACACCCAAAGGTTTGTACAGGTCTGTCTACACAGCATCAAACACTATACCACAGACAGGAAAAAATGAGTCTTTATTAAATTTGAAACTTGACTCAGGATTTGCCTTCAAAGTTAGATGAGAATATGCGCCATGAAACTGAACGAAAATGGGCAAGAAAATAAAATGACCTGGCTGAGAAATTGTCCCATGCACTTCAACGATACACGGTCGATAATTCAATGATGGCAAAGAACTGCGACCTTCAAGTTCTTCCTAAACCATGTATTTTTCAACATTAAAAGCTTGTTACTGTAAAACAGATCTCGTTACCTCTCCGAGCATTTTCTCCATGACAGATGAGTGCTCTTTCTGCAAACTTAGCTTTTGCTGTTCCAGTTGAGAACGAAATTTAGCTTGCTGAAACAAAGCATTACTGTCACTTGAAGGACTCCAACCAGCAAAATCTTTTCTACTTAACATATGAATGACAAAAGTCACGTGCGCAATTCAGGTTTGATACAATTGCAGCTGTCCCCTTCTGAGAATTTTTTATATATTTATTTTTGTTTCACTGAAATAGATGTTGTCCTTGATGTTTAGATACAACAAAGATTTTCGATTTTGTCTGTAAGTTGAAACTTTTTTCAAAATTCTGCATTTCATGAATTCAAAAAGTACTTGAGCAAGTTGCTTACCCCCAAAGAAATGTATTTTTCCCAAAGTGAAAACCCAAAAAATCACCTGCGTATCCCTATTCGAAATTTACCACTTTCCCCCTTTGGTTCACTCTCTCAAGGTATTTCAGAACTTCATCAATGAAATTCAATCTGCATTTTGCTACCTAAGCTATGGTTTCTTTAAGTTTATTTTTGAATATTTAGTGAATGCACACCTTGATGGTAGCTTGCATTGATTTCCTGGAAACAAAGGAAAGTATATGCTCACCAGCGATTCCTCTTGGCGGATAAAGCTTTGTCGCTCTTCGTCTCTCAGCATTCCCAGCTCAACCAATTGCTGCTTGCGTAGCGAGTTGGCTTGAATCACCTGGCAAAAAGCACAGTTTACAATCTCAGGCAAAAATGGTTGAGATTTTCAAAAAACCCTCACAACTTTTCAAAAGTTTTAGAAAAATCCCCCTATCCCACATTTGAACGTTAAAGTTGCTGCTTTTGCTCTTAGATATTGGGACTCGAACTCTGATTTGGAGGGATGGGGAGTAAAATTTCAAATCAGTGATTTTGAAAAAAATTATTACATCTCAGTAATTTTATCTACGATTTTAGTGCATCATGTACTTATGATCCAAGCCAGTATGAAAAGGAACTAAAAAAATAATTCAAATTGCAATATATCTTAATTGGCAAACGATTCTTATCGAAAATTTCACAAGAGACCAGTGAAGTGAAAAATAGTTAGAACAACACGATAGACTGACATCTAATAAATTGAAAACATCTAAGAAATCTTAATAAAGAAGGTAACTAGTTAGGGCCAGATCTGCATCTTTGTTGCCTCCGGGATGAAACAAACGAACCAACGACGTATTCTCACCTCTTCTCTTAGTTCTTTGATTGTCTCTTCACTTTCAGTGAATTTCTATAAAATCCATTATTAGCAATTCAAACTATCAGATTACCTAAACATTTTCCAATATTAACCATTTTAACAACATACTTTGATTACTTAGAGACCTTTCCTTCCATCAGTGACGAGATCAATAGCTTCAACGCAGAGATTTTCTTTGACTTCTTAAAAATAGTTTTGTTCACATGAAAAATAGCTTGCATGTAGTCAAACACTTTCATACTATAATGAATCAGTATTTGTACCTCAAAAAGAGTCGATCACACACCTTGATGTTACGCTCTTTTTCTCTGAGAAGGCTTTCTTCCAAATCTTTAATTCTGCCATTCAGCCTTGATTTGGCTTCCTCCTTCGATTGCATTGAAGAGCAAACGATATCAATAAACCGGTTATATAAGTATTGTATCCAGCAAAATAATACTTATGGATTAACGTTGTCTACTCTGCTCAAATTGAGACATACATTCTACACACATCAAAAGAGAAACACCTATACTTTTGAAAGAAACAGCCTCTAGTAGTATCAAAGTTTCTCTATCGAAATTCCTATATATATGAAAGGGAAAATGTTATTTGCTAGCCATCTGTCACAATTTTTATCAAACACTAGTAAAGACGGAATGATACAAAAATTCCTGAGAGTCTATTTTGATATACCTGAAAGTCTATCATTAGCATAAAGTATCGTAATAAAAGGCCACCTAAAACAAACGTAAACCATTTAAAAATAATCTAACTGGGTCTTGATTCTCAAATAAATACTTACAATCTCCTGTTTGTATTCCAGTTCGTGTTTTTGGAGCTCGGTTTCAGCCTCTCCCAGCACTCTCTCTTTTTCTTCTTCGTGCCTCTGTTTCATCTCAGAGAGCTAGAATGGCAATATGCCGACGTGACTAGAATTCATCCATTTTTGCACAAAACAACAAATTCCTGTTATTTTGGCTTTCTATCTTCCAAAAACAAATCCCACCTTTTATTTCATAAGTATTTATTTTCTATATTCAAGTACATAAACACTGCAAGTCAAGGCATCATAGCATTTATATAGGCAAGGAGCAAGAATTAACGTCATACCTCAAATATTAAAAAAGCAAAGATTCAGTTCAAGAGTCGAGAGAGACTTTATGAAAAAGGCTTGCACAACTACAGGACTTACTTGTTTCTCGTGCTTTGCTTTTAACAAATCAGTCTCCTCTTTGTATTTAGCTTTTAATGCATTGTTTTCAAGAAGAGCTATCTCCAGATTGCTTTCAACTTGATTGATCTATAGTGAATTGGATATAATGAATTACTACTATCTACGAATTATATTTAGTGCTTGCTCTTAATCTCTTTTCATAAGAAACATCTATAACAGATAACAATTCCATTCATGAAGTTTAGATACATTAAATTGGAAATAAGAATTTTCATGACCACAATCCATTTCTGAATCCTCCTGCAATACATGCGCAATTTTTTGTTAAGTCGTCTACTTGATGTGGGCATGGCCCAAAAAAATACCGAGCTTTTCTTTAAGGAAAAAACAGTGGCTTTGAAAAAAGAAAACACTTTGAGTCATACATAAGCTTTTCGCTGACACTCTTCAAAGAAAAAACGTCAGAACATAGATAAAAAACTCTACGTTGTGAAAAATATTCAAAGAAGTTTGAACCTGTTGCTTCATCTGTAGGAACGTTTTTCTCGAATTCTCTTCAGCTTGGTTTTTGAAATTTTCAATTGCATTCTGGGATTGCAATTGTTGATCAGCCAGCTGGGCTTCAAGCTGCACGACCTTGCAGCCCTTGTCTCTGTGGTATACAAAGAAGGAACACACTTAAAGACTTTCTAAAGGAGAACAAAATGCAGAAACAGACAAACAAATGGGACATTCTGTGGCAAGTGTAACCAAAGAACGTCTCAGACGTACTTGTGCAACTTAGTCCGGTTACTTTTACAGGTCGCATCCACACATTATCAAAAGGGGAATCACAAGCAGCAAGCATGTCTTTACAAACAGATTACAGATGAAATAATTTTCTGAAAAAAAATCCTCTCTAACTGCAATAAACATTACAGTTGTTATGAAATCAAACTACCGCTTGCATGCATTGCATGAAGACTTACATTGACTTTTATTCTTTCAAGATGATACTCGTCAGTATTCTGAGACTGATTGTGATAAAACCCATGCCCACCCCATCTTTAAATTTTATGAGGTATTTATCGTGAATTCATCTTGATGAAAAAAAATTTTCATTAAAATTTGCCTTGACATTTGGGCGTAGTTAGCCATTAAAAAATAACATTGTACTTCAGCTCTTGAGCCTTTGAAACTAGAATAAATTTCACTGGAAATTTGTTTTCAGCTTGACAAGAGCTTTCACTTGACACCAATTCTATCCTCACTAAGCTCTTGGGTTGAGTGTGAAGGAAGATATCAATTTTAGATGTGGCACAAGTAATGACCGGTTGTGACAAAATTCAAAAGTTTGACCGGTCGTAATTTCAAAAGCACTCAAGCTAGGAAGCTGAAATTTTCACAGCAGATGTATCTTAGCACCAGAAAACTTTGTACAAAATTTGAGCAAAATCAAAGGGGTTAAAAATATTGAATCGGTTACACTTGAAATAGAATGTCCCAAAAATGATAGAAATTATATCTGCTATTTTACTGCTAAACTACCTTAATTTACTTGGAGATGTTTCGTTTAGCAATGATGCAGATGGCACAATGTAAAACAATAAGAAAGCAAGTTAGCTTGAATAACACACAAAAAAGTTAAATCAGAACCTGGCCTGTTTTTAATCATTTAAAAAGTTCTTAGCAAGCTCAATAACAGAAACTTGAATGATATCGAGTGGTATTCCTTAAAAAGCACAGCCCCGTCCCTTCCTTTACCTGCAACAAATGACAACTAATGTGATAAAAAAATGGCTATTTCTAAATACAATAAATATGTTTTTCGCTGTTAGCAATTTTTATCTAACGTTTATATTTCATATCAGAAAATCATAGTATTTAAATTTAATGAGTTGTGTGAAAAAATGTCTATATAAATTTCAAAGGTTGTAATGGTTCGATATTATAACATCTTAAGTCTATCCCACAGAACTTTTAAAGAGGAGTAATTTGCCAGTAGAGAGAGTTAAGCGGAAATGGATGGCTGACGCTTTTGTAAATTTTTCTGTCCTAAATCATTTGATATCATTTTTAAGAAGTTTGTGTAAACGGTACAATCAGCGTTAAAGGTATGGCTTCAGGAATTTGTTTGCCTGAAAATATAAAATCAATCTTTAAACAAACAACATAGTTTATTAAGCGAGTTTGGACCAAAGGTTCTGAGCTTTGTGGCGGTTTTAGGAATTAGTACCGTATCTAAAGGTTTCTTCCAAAAATATGTGAAAATATAATGTGGGTTTATAAACTCTTCACCAGCTGACACAACCCATGGAAATATAAGATAACAAAGCGATATATTGCCAGTTTGTGCATATATCTCTCGTCACAACAGGGCGGTTCTAATTTGCAACCTTGAGTTCACGCTAGCTGCGATCATCAAGCACCAAAAAAGATTTCTATCTTCTTGTCATCATGCTTTCTGTATTTGCTTCATTGGTTCGCAATTGCTATTATGTTTCAAGGTGCAAAAAAGGAACAGTTGCTAGATGACCACATTCATCGTGAAACTAAGGGTCGCCACTTAGAACCGTCTTGTTCAATATACCAAAGCGTGGACAGCTCTGCCTATACGGAATTGAGCACGAGAACAGTTTGACAGCACGGGAAACAGTAATTTTCATTATCAAATTTCTTGTTATTCAAACACTTACTTCACTGTTTGCTCTAAGATCCTTACTTTGTTTTGAAGTTCTGTCTCTGTTTTCTCTGCCTCGCTTTTTATGTTTCGTATCTGAAAAATAAACTCATAATCGTCAGCATCTTTATTTTCATGGAGAAATAATAATTTCATTCAATAATTAGTATTAGAGCATGAATGAAGTATATTAAAAGACCCCTAGAATGTCTGGTATTAGGAAATGATGAAATCCGAATTCACATAAACAGACCAAAGATATTATGCCTACAAAACAGTCATTTGTCTGTATGATATGATGGACTGCATGATGATGAGTTCATGAGCATTGATCATTTGATCTGAGATTTTAAGAAATACATGCCGTTTTATCTTGAAACACTTGCAGCCTCACAATTTCTTGTTTATGATTGGACTCTTGTTCCTGAAAAAGATTGATTTAGGAATTAAATACAAGAAAAACTAAGCAAGAGATCAGCCAAACGACAATGCATGACAATATTAATCTCGTTCATTGACTTGAAAAGATTACCCGTAAATCTCGTTTTCTTTGTAGCTCCATATCTTCCAAAGACTGTTTCAGATGGCTTATTTTTCCTTCCAATTCAGAAATTACAACGGATGTCTAACAAAAAACACAATAGATGAGTATGAGTCTAATTAAGTAAACCCGAGAGCAATATGACAAGTAGAAGGATAATTGGCTCTAAAGATATAAAACAGAAACGAATCAGGAACAATGGAATGACACAACAATGTCATATGTTTGATGGAGGTATGCCGTTCACGCGCTAGAAGTGTTCACGAGAATAGCAACTGGCTACAACATCTTAAATTGTATAGATATCAGGCCTACGATCCTTTCAAAAATAAAGGGGACAACACAACAAGCTAAAAAGTTGGTAACCTAAGGACATAACTACCTCTTCAAATTATCAAGGTTGTCACTAAATTTTCCCCTCCCCTGTTTTGGTAAGAATTTTATGATAAATAGCATGTCTTACTTTCGATGCAGTACTGGAGTGTTCTTTCTTCATGCTATCAATCGCAGCATCTGTTTTTCTTCGCAAGTCTCTAAGTACTTGGTCATGGCGTTCTGTTAGATCTTTTTTCTCCTTCTCGAGTCCTTTCACCCTGGCAAAAGTCAATAGACTATTAGAGAATACATGTCCTATTCTCAAGAGCCATTTACATCTGCATTTAAGCGTAAAAAAACGATTAATCTTAATTAAGATGCATACTAAATTGACAATTTTCTAAGGTAGTCCTCAGAGGATTATCAAAGTTTAGCATAATTTCAACAAAAGTCTATGGGTGGAAGCTAAGGAAAGGGGCCATTATCATGCAAGGAGACAAAATCTCCCTTTTGAGTAAGTTGTCTTGGCAAAAAGCATTTTTTTACGGATGTACAAGAAAGTGCAGTATAATTTGTTCATACCTAGCATTCTGGTCTTCTGAATTACCTCTTGCCAACACTAACTTCTCCTTCAATTCTTCCTTCAGGAGAAAAATACTTCATTGAAAAACCCACAACTAGGTAAATTTTCTATTAATGTATTAATAATTAATGTATTATTCTAATAAGGATATGGCAGTTAGACATCTTAGGGGGATAAAATTATGCCGAGATTAAAACTTACATATTCTGATTCTAAGCCTTCTTTCTCTTGCTTGTAGTTATCTCGACTTCTTTTCACCTGATATAGCTCATTCTCCAATTCTTTTAGATGGATGTCCTGTGAACACAAAAGCCAATGCCATGAAAAACCGTTTGCTGAACTACCATTTGACTGTAACTTAACACAGAATTTCGTCTCTAGTAGCAAATATTTCGAGAAGGAACGCACAGAATTCAATTTGAAATAAATGGTAAAAAGCAAAGACATTTATTAGATCAAGGCATTCAAAGACAATTTAATCAAATGCAGTGTGTAATAGTTTTGTTCACGGGTAAGATCTTAAAACTCGTAGAATGGATCCTTTGAATAGAAAAAGACAAAGATGAGACGATGACATAGAAAGACTACTGCAACACAATTAACATCTACGTGGCCTGGGCTTAAAGTTTCAAATGAAAAAGGTTAGGCTAACATGAAGTGATCAATATAGTGGCTTATGAATCATATAGAATAGCAATCCATTTGACATATATATGAAGAAATACTTAGCCCGATGTTTTCAAAGTGAAGTACTACTTTAAACGCAAGATCAAATACTATATCGTACAGATGAATCAATTTTGTGCAGATACTCGTGCTCAATCTTCTTCAGTCGTTCACTAGTTTCATCAAGAAGCTCTTGAATGTTTTGTGCGTGTTCCTTTTGCATGTTGAACTTTTCCTTTTCGAAATCGGCAACCCGTTCAAGCACCTGTTTAGAAAAATGCGTATCAATTAGTGAGGTACATACAAGTAAGACGTAGGAAAGACATCCTGAAAATCGGCTTTGGTTACAAAGTTATCGATGGATGAAGACTGATGGTATTTGATATGATGATCTTGGAGAAGACGAACAAGCTAATTGAGCGAAACTTGATCTTGCAGAAGTGCAATAATAATTAATTAAGATAGCTTGTAATATATGACTTAACAGTGCCATTTGAAAAAACTTAAAACAACCGTACGTCAATAACGGGGTAGGAGTACAAGAGGTCATAAAAGAAGATGTTTTATGCTTGACCGTCCATAGCAAATGCCCTGTTTCTCAAAGAAAATAATCCAATGCAATAATCACCACCTTGTTTCTTATCGAAGTTGGCCTAAGCATGCAGCAGGTATTAATTGATTTCCAAGATTGATTTAATATTTTTTGTTCAAATAGTTTTAAGAGAATCTTTTTTTTTAATTCAAGCAATTAAAACATAAGGCTAGGCAACAGCTACTTCATATGATACCTTTCATAGAGGGAAAAGACACAAGGTCATCGAGCTACCTTTATAAATGGCACTTGTATTTGTATTTAAATGGCACAATGTATTTAACCATTTTCTCACTCAAGCCAACAAGCAAATCTCAAACATATCAACGGAAGTGATGGCATTAAATCAAAGGCTCAAAGTCCAGGGATATTAAATTTGACTATAGGAAAAATCAGAATATTTCAGTTATAACAACAATATCGCTCTACAAAGTCTTAACTCACCCTCCTCTCTAGCTCATGTTCCGCGTTAACCTTGTTTTGCTTAATAATCGCCTTCAGTTCTTCAACCTCTTTTTCGTTTCTGATATTTGCCTGGTTCAGGTCTCTCGTGAGTCTAATTACTGAAATGCAAGGTAATAGTCACTACCAAATGACGTGGCCTACGCTTGAAAATAAAAGCGTCTTCACAGATGAATTATCACAGTGATCGTACGATTCTGAACCATATATACGTCATAGTGTGAAAAGAAAAGACAAAATATGTAGCTTGTATTTCAAATCCTAAAAGAAACCAGAGTGTTAGGATCGGGAAGAAACCTGAGAAATTGAATAACACCAAGGCGTTATAAATCTCGACTGGAATACCAATACAGTAAATGATCCTGATTGTTTCATGAACTTTAATCTCAGTGTTCTTTAAACAAGATTTACAAGATTTAAAAGTATTAAAATATGGCAAACTCAAGTTTAGATCAACTTATTTTTTGCTAAGAGATACAATGCAACGTACTTTTTTTCTCTAAACGACGTTTGTTTTCTTCAATTTCGTTCATTTTGGTCTTGCTCTGTGACTGGAAGCTTTCGATTTCTGCATTTTTACGGTCTAAAACCTTACAAAGAAAGATTGCTAGTGTTAGAATGTGTGTATATTGTTTGCAAGGCTTTGACAGATCACGACCTGACCAGTTTCAAGCGAGTAGCCGGGATTTCTCTACGCAAGGGGTCTTCTCTTCGGCCACAGTGTTGACGCAATTTTATTACTATGTAGAATATTGTATTTCATTTTAAAAAAGGGGAGTCGACCATGCCTAAGGCCTCTCTCTGGCCACGAGGTTTCCCTAGGGTAGTCCTACCATTGACCCCTACAAAACTGCTTTCCAGAGCAAAAAATGATCCCGCCTTACAAATACCAAATCATTGTGGATAATATTACGCTCTTTTCCGTTTATTCTTTGATTGAAAGAAACTGCTTCTTGCGAGTAACCAGAATTTCGCCAAACGAGCTTCATCTATTCCCGTAAAGGAACCAAAATGGAACAACATTGTCAAAGCAAAAAATCGATTTCTACATTTGACTATGATTCAACCACTATGTAAAGAGATTTACCTTCCCCACGAAAAGTTGTTGGTTCCATGACCATCATTACACAATTAATGCAAACTTTTAATCTACATTTTATTAACACACACATCGCCATCACCTTGAGGTCAGGTGAATATTCTTTCAAATCAGACATTGTGATACCCTTTTCCCAAAAATTTTCCATTAAAAGTAGGAAAAATGGCATAAATTTAACAACAAGGGAATTATTTCTAAACTTATTTCACATTTGAAACATTTCGCTATAACCCTTTCATGCCAAAATTATGTTTCAAATGAAGAATAATTTCCAAACCACAAAAACTTTACGTTATTTTGTGCTTCGAATTTGATTTTCTTTGTCAAATTTTAATTTGATTGTCATTTGGGGTAAATTTGGGGGCTGGGCCATATGACCTTTGCGGGCACTTGTGGAGGCTAAAACTACGAAATCAGCTGATAAAAAGGAAGGAAAAAAGCAATATTATAAAAACTCTGATGATGAAAAAATCACTCAAAACACTCTGGCTACAAACATTTAACTGAAAACGTCAATTATCTTTTTTGTGAAATGACAACAAGCAGTTCCTTTGTCAGTTAAACACAATCCTATTCCTCATTTTTGACACCCGATTCTTGTTTTCTCTAAACACAGGACAAACTTGGGTCTATTCTGTCTGTGAACAGCCTAGTTCTTCTTTTCATCAAAACGGGTGGTTGCAGCCAGTCCTTGCAGATCTGGAGCTTTCCTCGGTCTTTGAAACTTCCTACTCCTTCATTGCTAGGCCGCTCTCTTCCTCTTTTCTCCACTACTTCTTCCTTCAAAAGTGCATCTCCTACAAGTAAAGTGATGTCTACCAAGTCAGTTTGCTTTGCTTCTGGGGCTTCCTTTTGCTTTACAAGGCGTTTGGACAAAATCCATGCCTTTAACAGGCATGTTCCCAGTATCCAAAAATCTTCCTATAGGCTTTTCTGCTCCTGCGCTGCGCTCCAACCGTTACTATGCTTGAAACATATCAATCTACAAACACCATACCTCTGTTGAATGCTTCAATAAATGCTGGTCTTGGTACTTCAACATATATTTTCTTTCATAAGATGACCATCTCCTCTCTGAGCCAACTGGCTCTGTATAGGCATAATTTAATGCAGACTGGAACAACAGTCAAAACTGAATTTAGATCAAAAGAGCCATTAAAAGAGCTACGGCCCTCTTTTTCAACTCTTTTCAGATTTCAGTTGGCATCTTCTTAGTCTCCCTTGACAAAGAGTGGGCGAACACGAAGAATCCGGATAGGTATCATGTTTTGCTTGGTATCATATTATTAGGAGAGCGTTCCCTACCCTAGGCGACCTGTGATTCGTTGATGCAGTCAAAAACTCCTCGATCTGTATGAAACGAGGTTAATCGGATTGTCCGAACCGGATTCTTCACCTTCGTCCGAAGAGTGCCAGTTGCCCAAAACTTTGAATAAGGATCAAAATGTGAAATATGGATCAAAATACAGCTTGTAATATTGACCCTTAGGCAGAATAGAAGCTAGCTTGAGAACCATGTCAACAGCAACATATCCACAGCTTTCCATATCCGGCATTTGGTTTAGGAGCTCCATCCATGATCGTAGTAAAACCGAATCTGTCCATTTCAGGAAAACAGCTTAAATCCCCATTTCTTGGGCTATTTGGCAAATACCCTATCAGGGTACTTCGTCCTTCGAAGGGAATAATCTGTTCACCAACAGACTTGTGTTCCTCAAACATTATTTGAAGGCAGCTCTTCGGAATAGTAAATATTATATAATTTTAGGTCAAAACAAGACTTTTGGTAGGTTTACTTTTACCTTCTGAACTGCCATGTCTCGTTCCCGTTGAAGTAAGAGTCTCTCTTCTGCAAGTTTCACCTCTGACGATTTTAGCCTCCCCTGAAGCTGCAAAGAAGGTAAGAGCACGTGAAAACATTTATAAAGCATGTTATGAAGATTCAAATCCGGCAATCAGATGGATAGTGTTAGCGATCAGTAATTGAAAGAGATTTGGTGATTAAGAAGAGTCGAGGCAGTTAGTAGAGAAAGATACAAAACTGTCTTTAAGGTGAACAATAAGTCCTTTCTAGGTATAACTGAACTTTAAGGTCAACTGGTTTTGAAGATCAAGTATAAATGTTTGACTATAAAAAACTGAAGTGTGACATCATCAAAAATATTTTTTAGAATTTCTGAATTTTAACTACATAATCTGAAATAACGGTATAAAATACCACTCAATAAGAAAAATCAGTCAGAAATGTTTAAAATTGTGTGAGGTATGGCCCATGAAAGATTTCAAGGTTGCTCACGGATAACTGTTATTCTGGCCTGGTTTATAAAGTTATGGACAAAGACGGAATTACAGGTTTGATGGGGAAAGGGCCTGTGCTTATGTGGCCATATTTCAGCTAATACGTAATGTTTTCAGCTAATTTCACATATTAAGAGGAATTTTCTAATGTTTTTTTTCGGTTTATATAGTCAAAATTTAATTTTGAGATTTTTGTGGTGTCATTACTTTGGTCCTCTATTTTTCTACAACTAGTTTGATCATCAATCTACAAGACGAAATGTTTCCGACTTCATGAAATTTCAGGCAATAACATACACCAGATGACAGTGATCGATTAATGGCACCCTTAATTTTTTAAACAAATATTTTCTATAAAAAGGCTACAGATCTTGTCTTGATAAAAAGGCTAAAGTCTACTCCGTTGCTTCCTGGACCTGGAAGTGAAAAATACAGCAAACTTGCTAAGCAAAGCAAAAACTCTGACATCCATAGCAATGACCATATGCATGATAACATGTTTACAGCCGCGATCTAAAAGGTTTGCAGATTCTTATTTAAAATCCAGACAAAAAACAACTAAACCTCTTGCAGCATCGCTCGTAGCTTCTCATTTTCATCGGCTTTGACAGCCATCCCTAGAATAAATATCACAGCTTCAAGACATTTGCAGTAGCAAATTGAAAGTCAACTTAGGAATGCAAAGAGAAATCACTGGAACAGCAAGTAAATGGTCTTAATGAAAGGGGGTGTGAGAACAAGAGAATAGATAAATAGCGTACCTCTCCAGGTTTTGAACCTCTCTAAAAACCCGACCAAAGCGAAATTTACTCGGCATGTTTTCAGATTTCTTTTTCGGTCTTTTCGTGACCGTTTTGAGAAATGCATCACCCTCGCAATGTTTGGTCGATTCAAAACAAATATCAGTAGTGATATCTCTATGCTAATTCTTTCCTCAAAGAAACTAGGCACAACAATATAATTCAGTCAAACTCTTTCCCTCGCTGCACACTGTCACTTGTCACTTGGTCTCGTGCAAGGTGTGAAAAGATATTCTGGCAATACAAATCGCTTTGTTCGTTTTGCTAATAAACAAAATGTGAAATCAAGTTACAATTCTGACCAAAGACAAACCGTTTGTTGGCCTCTTTTTCTTAGTTTAACAAACACACGACTTTGTTTACCTGATTCAGGGGAACGAGATTGGCTCCGTTTGTTTTGAATATTTGTCTGACTCTGCAAGAAAATCATCCGGGCTAGTTAATTCCAATCAGTAAAACATAATGGTGATATTCAATCGTAAATGAGCAACAAAATTTTCAAGCCTGATTGGACCTAGAGGATGTGGGTATGCTTTTGAAAATACTGCGTGCAGTCCATTAAAACAGGTTGCTGAGTAATAAAAGCTCAGTTTTACTGACATCAATCTCATGAGACCTTTAAAGTTTTCACAAGCAACTGAATCGATAACTTAAATGCAAAATTGACAATAACCATCATTTTAACAGTTTACGAAAAACTCAGTCAGAAATTTAGATTTAGCACCCAGGTCTTGATTAATTCCGCCATGTTTATGTTATGCCCGAAGGAAATCTCGGGTAATCGAAAAGCAATTAGATGAAAGATTTAGCAGCTCTTCGTAGTTTCATTTGTATGAACTTTTAAAGGGAAGTCGTGCGTAGAAGACTTATTTCAAATGGCCTATTTACAATTTTACATATTCACAAATTAACTTGAAGCTCACTATAGCAGCACGATCCAAAGTGCTTTCTTCTTTTCCCTGTATTTTAGGGATATGTCTTCGAACATATGAAGGTGGAGGGGTGTAGCGTGGGCTCTTTCTCTTGTTATACTGCGGATTGAGATCCTCAGAAATGTCTTCGAGGCTGTCCGTCTCTTGACTTTGATCACTTAAAGAAGGATCACTGAATCCTTCATGTTCTGTGTCATCAACATCAAGCATGTTGTCGGCAAATTCAGAAAATTTGACCATCGACCTGCGATGATAGATTGATTTATAGTTCAAAAACTTATTCAAAAACAAAAACATACCGAGAAAGAAAGGTAGAAAGGAAGGGACACTCACAACGATTAACATATGAATCACATGTCGTAAAGATAGGAAAACGTTCAGATAGATGTGAGTGTAACTTTTGAAAAACTAGTACTTTAAACCACTTATCCAGAGATCATTTGCAATTAATGACGGAAAGTGCTTATGATTCTCCTACAGAAATATATTTTGTCTACCCCCTCCTTTAACACAGAAATGCCCTTTAATTAACCAAGGACTAAAGAAACTGAACAAAGTCACAACTGGTTCAAATGAATGGTCTTGAGGAATACTGTTATTAATATCTCTTGGCAATTATTAATATTAAAGTACATTACACTGAGTGTCTGAGAAGCACTTCACAAATGAAACCAGACGATCAACGGATCTATCTGTAAAAAGTATGCATCAAGTCTGCCATAAAGCCCATATATCATATCAGAATGTGTTTCATTCAAATTCCCTAAAACAATCGGTCAAGTCTTCATTTCCGATTTTCGCTGCATAATCCAAAACACAGAACGAGTAAATAGGTTCCACAACAATAAAATCACAGTAATAGCTTTGGCTTACGGTAACAGTAGAACAGAAAACTGTGAATTAAGCTTATTGCTCTAAGATTTCTGGAAAAAATACAGAGTACAACCTTTGGCTGATAATTGCATTAAGCGTGAAACTGGGAGAAGCAACTTAGCATGGTTTTGTTCATTATACCAAAAGTATCAGCTCTGCCCATAGGACATCGAACACTTTATGACAGATTGGTGAACAGTAATTTTAATTGAATACAATGTATAAGATAAACAAACCGGTTAGGAGATTCTGGTGATGTAGATCTATCATCTTCTTTCGTTATATGTAATCGACGCGTTTCAAAGAAAGCGCTGTCTGTAATTGAATGGATATTATGATGCAGAATGTAGGCCGTTCATAAAATGAGGTTGCCTTCAAAACAAAAATGAAATAAGCAGGAACTTGATGTATTTATTTTTGGATTTCAGAATAACTAAACAAGAAAAGCAAATCATAAAGTAAGGTGAGCATAAATAAACACCAAGGCAGGAAATCTCAGTTATCTAAAGTTAATGATTGAAGATCAACTTCTTATTCGGCTACAGAGACTCTAAACCCAATTGACAAGCTCTTCAGGGAATATTTTTCGCAGTAAAAGTAGCCATGACTTTTTGCTAATAACTACAAAATCATAGAAAATGTTTGAAAAAAAGTGGAATAAGCTGCTCACCTGAAGAAGGAAGCTCGCCCCGAATCCATTCTGGAGCCCGGTTGTTAGATGTCTGAAGAAAATCAGACAAATACAAATTTGCTCAATAAAGCCAAGATAACAGTGCGAAAATGCTGCCAAATTTCGAGTTGATTGAAGAGAACCATATATATTATTTCGAACTATTTACAAAAATTCGTACCAATAATCATTCAATTCCCAAAACACAACAATTCTCCAACACATTAACAGGGTTTTCGTTAATACTTGAAGCAGAAGGCTCACATTTGAAAGTAGACCTCTATGAGTTCAATAAAGTTTGTGCAGTCTTACAAAAGAGAGGGTGAAAGTAGGTGGCAAAAGTTTGCCAGCTTCTAGTAAGAACGCTGCATTCAATCTTCTTTACAATATTAGACAAAGGGGATCAAATCTCATCAAAATCAAGCAAATCATTACCTTTGACTGTTTCTTTTTTGTTGTTGCATCTTCATGTCTAGACTAATGAATAATAGGTGTTGATTCAAAAAGTATGTATTAAAGCTGTTCTTTAGATTAAGAGATAGAAATCACCCTGAGCTGAGCAACTACGCAAAATTCAAATTAAGAACTGCTTGCCTATTAACATCACACTAAAACTTGCCCTGAAACCAATTTGTAATATGAAATACATTTTTCATCAGTTACAATCTGAGTACAATGCGAAAGATTTTAAGGTTTAGCACTACCCTGAGAAGCAAGCATTCAAAGATATTTTGATGTGCCAAACATTTGTGAGATTTGACTTACCATGTAAGCAGGCAGAATCTGCAAAGGTCCTGGGGCAGGTTCATCATCGAATGGCTCATCTATCCATCCTTTCCTTAGCATTTGAAACAGAATTTGAGCATACAGGTTCCTGTTCTTCCTTCAAATGAAATAAGTACTTACATGCTGACTTCTACAATATTTGAATGAATAAAACTATTACAAAAAACAAGATTATTTATAAAAAGTTTTCAAACAATAAATTATTTGTTAGCAAATATTTGCTAATAAGGTTTGGAAAAAATGCATGATATTTATTTAAGAGATACATGGTTGAACACCTGAAAAGCAAAAAGCAATTACTAGCAAAGAGCCACTGATGTCAGCAAGTGTTTAATAAACATTTCATTAAAAATGGACAGCAGGTTAGGAAGATTATCATGGTGGAAGCATGGCAATGAGAGTTTTTGGTTAGTGAAGGAGATATGAAAAGTTCTTGAAGAAGAATAATAATTACAGCCAAGCTTTTAGCATGCAAACCACATTTTACCATTCATATGGTATGCAAAAAGAAGTTTTTCAAGAGCACTAGTAAATTCTGTGCACAATAGAAATAATAATAAAAATTGCCTTTTTGGATAGAAACAATCAAATTGAAATATTAAATTCTGTTCCAGAAATATTTACCTTTCAGAAGATTTTTGACCAACAGGACCACACAACTTCTTTATCCATAGAGCAATTCTTTGACGATCTACAAACATTTAATTATTAAAATGATTGACAAATCTTTACCAATTAAAGGCTACACATGCCATAAACATTTAGTTCCGAATGGAGAATAAATTCAATGACACTGCAAAAATTTTCTTCAAACTCTATTTGTGAACTAGGTTTACACTGAATGAAATAGAATAGAAAAGAATACATAAAATTTCAACAAAAAAACCCTAATTACAATTTGCTATTGAAAATTAGAACAACACAGAACTAAACAACACAGAATTTATTAGAACAACACAATTTTATATTTGATTATTATAAATTAAATCAATACATGTTTTAGTAGAAAATGATTTAATAATTTTGTGCTTAGGACACTAAACTCTCTAAGGAGACTATCAAGCTTAGTGTCCTTTGGGCATTCAAGATGTTTTGGTCCTAAGAGCGAAGTAACACTGAGTGCACAGAAGATTTGAAATTCCTAGAGTAGAGTGAATTTACTTGTACTGTTACTGGTTTTGTTTGTTGTTCTCAATAAGAAGAATGTTGAAACAAAACTAAGAAGGTGTGTAGGTACTTCTTCCACTTAGCACAAAATTGAGGAAATTAACACAAACATGCAAAGGAAAGAATTATACCGATAGTAACTAAATTTACAACTAGTTAAAGTGCAGATAAAAGATGAGTTTTACATACTTCTGAGAAGGACAAAAGTTTTGATTCATTTTTTACATTTTCTGATATTTTGTCATTCCATAATTTCAAAGCGCCATATGTTATAAAACATTGCCCACAAGTAGTTCTTCTGATGGTAAATACAACTTACTACCCAAGCAGCCAGTGCGTATATTTTCTTTGGATTCAAAAATTTATTGGATACAATTTGGGTGGAGTGAATGAACAAACTTCCAAATAAACTTTGTCTGTTTAAGTGCTAGGTTTTTGTTAAGAAGAAGAATCTTCTCTAATTTTTTAAACAGAGGAGAGGATGGCTCATATCTATTCTTAAAAGACAAGACTGTTACTGCTTTTTTCAAGTATGATTCTGTCTTTTTAAGACGTGTTGGAAAAGCCCTTCCCCATATCAATTGACCATAATCAATGTATGGTTAAATGAAAGCATTAATGGTCTTCACTTCCAAGTTTTTTGAAAGACTGTAGCACAATTCAAGAATTTAAAAGAAAAATAAAACAGTGGTTTTGTGATTCATGCAACTGCAGATTGTGTAAAGTTTTTATCAAAGATTTAGGGTTTCTAGATTAATTAATTTTGTCATTTCTGGGTATTGTTTTTCTTTGTAAATTATAATGTATTTTCTTTTAGTTCTAGTTGGCCTTAATTAGCAGTTATTTTAGCTATTTGAATTATAAAGCCAACTTTAAAATAAATTGATAATAATAATTAAACAGGCTTTTTAATATTTTCTCAGGCAAAAATTATCTGAACTTTCCAAGTATAACTATACCTTTACTTCTAATGTTTACATGGGATATATGAGTTTCCCAATTTAATTTATTATCCAAGTGTACCCCTAAGTATTTTGCAGATGTTTTTTCTTTTAATGTTTTCATCATTTATTTTAATGATCATCTGTTAGCAAAATCTAAAAGTATGCAGCATAGTGTTTCTTTATTTTTCATTGCCTCTATAATTTTTGCACAAAGGCTTATACATGCTTGCTCAGTTGATTTGTTTTTTTGAAACACAAATTTTTTTCATTAAGTAAGTTGAACTTACAAATAAAGCTCATTAACCTCTGATTCATTATTTTTCTATTATTTTGCTTAGCACAGGTAAGATTGAAATTGGTCTGTGATTTGAGTCGGTCATTTTTGAGTCAGATTTACGAATTGGTATCACTTTTGCTGTTTTCAAGTTGTCCTGAAACTTTCCTTCTGAGAATGATATTGGTTGAATAGTATACTGAGAGGATCAGCTATATAAAAGGAGGAGAGTTTGACAAATTTTGATGAGATGTCATAAATATCTGTAGATTTTTAATATCAAAGTTAATAAAAAGACTGAGAATTTCTCCACGATCAGTTTTATTTGAAAAAAAGCTAGATTGATAAGGTTTTTTGAGATAATCTTGAAATTTAGTGTTTGGTTGTACAAGCTTGGACACAAGATTCTAGGATATGTTAAAAAATTCAGCAAAAATGTTCTGCAGATTTCAGCTAAAAAATTCTTACAGTATACCGTCGGTATTTGATATGCTTTCTTCCGATCCTTGATTAAAACGATAAGAAAAGTTAAAAAATCCATCAAACAGTAAGAACAATATTCAGACAGGGTTTTGATCGAATCAAGTCAGGCAGAATTATTCAACGGCTTTTGTTGACAAATGTGTTATGATAAGAAGTTTCCCAGCACCTACCACTTTTATCTGGCAAGCTAAGCACAAATGGTTTCATGTCATCAATGTAGCTCTTAAATGCTTCATCTAGTAGCTTCATATGTTGTAAATCAGTTGGTGGCAAGTCTTCCTTGTCCTGCTGCTCTTTCTTTCTAGACATTGTTTTATCCTTTCAAAGCAATAATATCAGAGTAGGCCTACTATGACTCTTCATGTCCAAAACCAGTGCCAATGAAAGTCCAGCGAGATTTATTGCCCATAGCTCCATAGCACTTAGCAAAGTTTAAAACAGTTCTCTAATCACGTATATTTTTTAAAATCTTTTTATTAGTATCTTATCAATAAAAGCGATCAAACAATCTTGGTTTCAAATAAATTGCGCCGTTTTGTATATTGCTTTATGTTACAAACACGAAATGAACATGGTATCAGATGGTATTCAACACGAAGAAAGAAGGCGGGTACCCTGGGTACCAGACTCACTATAAAAAGTAAGTCTGGTACCCAGGGTAGAAGGTGGGCTGGGCACGGCACAGGGACGGAATTTAGAGGCAAGGATCAGGGGGGGGTCTTAGATAATGCTTGGATTTTTGTGCACACCTTTTGGGCGCCTAAAAAATGATGGAAAAGCCAAATTTTAGCTTTAAGATAATGAAGATAAGATGAGGAGATAAAGAAAAACTGTGGCGTCATTTGTTAACTACTGACTACCAGAAAATCTTTTCAACTGAATTTAAGCAAAATTCACCAAATGACACAAACCTATTGAGGGACTGCTGATTGTAGGATTTCAGTAACAGATTGTAGGATTGTAGTAACAAAATTTCTTAACTCATTTTCAAAAGCCCGACGTTAAGGACAGAAATGAACGATGAGTAACTGCTATCATGAGAGCGAAAAGAGTCATAGGACAACACAATAGTGTGTCAACAGCTGTCATGTCAAAATGTTACAGCCATAAGAAGGTTTCTTACTTTTGTGTTTGGAAAGGTAATTTTAAGGGCGTGATCAAAAAAAACTTATAAGGACTTTTTGAATGCTCACTTTTCCAAACAAGAGCGAACAACGATCAAACCAATGTATTCTTACAAAAAGCCAATACAGAGTGCACACTTAGAATCATCTGGAGCCTAAAGCTAGTAGCCAATAAAGCCTTTAAGTCCTACAAAAAAGACCCCCTCAAAAATTTGAAGATAGCACTGAAAAGTGGAAACAAAGCGATCCGCATTTCGATCTGGATTTTAAAGTACAGTCTAACTTTTGACATTGTCCAACGTCCTTTACTCTTAGAAGTGTATGACGAAAAGTATCACTGAGAACAGTTCTTTTAAAGCACGAGCCTTAAAATAAAATTGGTCAAGATTTGAGAACAAATTAAGAACAAACCCCCTCAAAATAATTTCCTCTCAAAAACTGGGAGCTTTTTCCAATTTAGGGGTGCTTTTTCGACGAATTTTCAAACTGGTCGGCAAATAAAGGATGTCGCACTCCCGTTGTTGGAAATAAGGCCTGAATAACCCCTAAAAGTGCACTTTAATTGCACCGCTTATAGACTATTAATTTAAAAACAAATTAATGACAATCCAGCCTCGGATTTTCGAAAAAACAATCAGCCTAAACTCGAATTCACTTGTTCGTACAATAAGAGTGTATTGCAAATAATTTGCTATAAGGAACAAGCTAACTAATATAAGAAATGACTGCAAGAAATGACTGCAAGAAATGACTGCAAGAAATGACTGCAAGAAATGACTGCAAGAAATGACTGCAAGAAATGACTGCAAGAAATGACTGCAAGAAATGACTGCAAGAAGTTTTTGGAGATGCATTTTAAACTAATCTGAAGGGTGTGGTCGCAAAAATTTTCTTTCCATTTTGCCCCAAAGCATCTGCAACCTCTCAGCGGCCTTCCAGCCATATTTCCTCTTTAATTCTTAAAAAATTCTATAGATTAGAGGAAGTTTTATAAACTGAAATCATTTTTTTAAAAGAGCTCGAAAAAAGCTGCAGTTCATTTTGCAGCTCATGGATTAACCCAAAAACGCGAAATCCAGGAATATTAGTTTCCGCAAATTTATTTCCTTATACTTTCATGTCATCATTTACTCTTACTTGTTATCATTAAGTGTATATATGATCATCTATTTCATTGTTAAGGAATTTTCTATGGAGAAATAGTCGGTCAAAAAAGTAAAGTTGGTCACTTTTTTTCTGAACGCCCCCTCCTAACAAAATTGTATAGGCACATCACTGGCAGAAGTAGTCAAGCTAGCAATGAAAGAGAATGCTGCATTTGCACCTGTAACAGCAATGAGAGTACAATTTGGAAGCACGAAATGTGGATATTTCCTGTTTGAAGTGCGCAGTATCCAGTATCAGAAATTTACAGGGAGAACAGAAACTGCTATAGCTTTCGTCGAAAAAGAGAGTTTTCACCTGCTTTGAAATTCGGCCGTCTGTCAAAATAAGACTAATGAACCACAACAGCTAATTAGCAAGAAAGCTTTGCAGCAAATGAACTACAGTGTATCAAGAATGGCCATTGAGCTTAGCAAATCCTTGACCAACAAGCTCTTTAAGCAGATTTAGATACAAAAATGCCAATGAGACATGGATTTCTATGTACCAGTGTCAGTTTAAAGACATTCAAATAGTTGAATGGCTAATATCAAGACGTTATGTCATCACACTTTCTTTGTTATACAACTACACCAGTTTCAATTTTCTTATCATTACGATAATTTGAGGCTCTTAATGTTGTCCTTATCTCAACAGTGATTTTTCTCCATTCACCTGCTATCAATTGTTTCTATGACAACTCAATAATAGTGTTGCATGACATTTTTAAGGTACTCTACCACTCAGATATGTGAACTTTGTTGTTTTGCAAGCTATTGACTCACAAATTTACAAACATATGTAGTTTTGCATTGGGAATTCAAATTTGGCATTGGTTTTTGGGTGTGGCCGATCGTTACCATGGAAACCTACAAACAATAGGATTTTTACTCTTTCTGTTAGGCAATGCCTCATTTTGCTGAAGAGCTTTGGGTTCACATAAAACACATATTGACACAATCCTTATTAGCTGGTTAATGCAACAATGGTATTTTTTTCTGAATTTCTGGCATCAAACTGGTTTTAAAGCTACTTAAATAAAGCATTTTGAAATTTAATTTTGTTATTAATCTTTTAAACCATGTTTTGCCAGTTCATTTTGAAAATATTTGAAAACAGACATCTTTATTGCATTAATCTGCTTCTAGTGAGTAAAATGATATACAGCTTGACTAAATTGGTGAAACTGTCATGAAATGAGGCATTGACCTAGTCGGACAGTTACGCAGAAAACAGATCGTGACAAAATGGCTTTTTAAAAAATCTGAATGTAAAAAACAAAACCAAACCTGTAGAAAGTTGTCAAAAGTTCATTTATATCTAAGCTTTTTAAAATGTTTAGATATTTCAGTTCTTGTTGAAGCTTCTTGCTACAATTTCTAAATTAAATAACTATCATTGTAGCAGCAAAAACTTCAAACAATACGAAAAGTTAAAAAAGGGTTGCCATTGTTCATACAAAGTCACCGGCAGAATATGTGTCTCCTTCCTGCTTTTTCTTCTGAACTTCTTTTGAAATACCTTTGTATTTCAATCTTTTTCTTCTTGTTTTTGCTATGTCATTGGAAGCTTTTTTTGCTTTTTCCAACCTCTGCAATGATTTAATTGCTGATGCTTTTTTTGTATGTACACCAGCCTCTATACCTAAACACTGGCAAAGCACAGTTTTGAATGTTGCACCCATTGAAAACTGGCACGCTGCCATTGATACAGCTGTTTCCAGCGTATGCCTTCCAACATATACAATTTTAGGGCAAATTCTCCAAACAACATTGTGAAAAGATTCATTGGTATTTTGCGTCGAAGCACGGGAACATCTTTTAAGTAGATCTTCATTAGCAAGGCGTTGAAAAACTGGAACCATTTTTTTCGCTACATCTGATGACAATGTAGCATGAGCCTTGTGACTCCCAGGGCTGTTGCCTTTTGCAAGGTCTCTCTGCCAGAAACACCAAGATGTAGCACCAGGGGGACAATGACTATGCTTTGGGTTTGCATCCGAAGAGGCTAAATGAAAAAGAATTGCAAAAATTCGTTTCTTCAGAAGTGGCACATCATCTGAATGCTCCTTGACAGCTTTGCCATAATAGTTTTGAATTCTTAGCACCATGTCCTTTGTCACTTTTCCTTTGCCAGAGATTGGACTGCCCTCTGCCTTTGAAGTATCAATTAGCTTCCTTAGAGCAGTGCCCATCCTTTTGGAGACATGGTTTATGCAATCCTCCTTTGTTATCTCTTTTTCCTCTCCATACACTTGCAAATCTGATACAGCTTGGAATGATTTGCTGTCCCCATCACAGAGCATGGCAACGTAGCGCAATTTGTGTTTCTCTATTGACCTCCTCCAAAGTCTCTTTGCACATTCCATCTCCATTCCATTTGAAGATCCATTGAAGTTTTTTGAGCAATTTGCTGCATGTTTTTCTGCCCACCCTTCGATTTGCTCTGCATCTTCTGCGATCTTGCATTTTATACAGAAATTTGATAAGACCTCAAAATCAATAAGAAGGCCAGTTTCTAAATCAATAACTGAAGCCAGGCCATTATGAGAGGAGTGACCTCTCTTCTGCCAGGAACCATCAAAGGAAACCCCTATGTCCAAAATTCCATCTTCATCTGGTAAAATTCCCTGCTTCCCATAAACATCAAATATGGTCTCAACAGACTTTTTGGAAACCTGCTCAAACGCTGCCTTACTTGCGTCATTTATTCTTTTCTGCAATTTCTGGTATCCATTTTTGCTCAAGCAGTGAGAAAAGTTCATGGTACCACACCAATCTTTCATTGCCGAATAGCCACAGCCTATTCCTCTGAACGCAACTGTTGCTAGAATGTTTATTTCAAAGGGAGAGCTGACACTCGTAGAATCGTTAAGCCTTTTACAGAGATAGCCTTTAAAGGCTGAAATACTGCATTTGCGACAGATTACTCTTGCGGCAGCAGCAAATCCTAAAGACTGATTGTCGTCAATTTCCACGGTCATTGTAGGGGTCAGACATTGAGAACACAAAGTTTGACTGAAAAGCTGAATTAAAACTGACTTTTGGATTACCAAATAGCAATCAGTTTCCTTCTCAGATATCTCAGCTGCAGTTGATATATCCAGATCAATTCCGAAAAAGTTCATTTTTGCTTCGCTTTGAGATGAGGAAGGCCTGGGCGAAATATCACATTGATTTTGCACGCCTGTAGCAGTGCTAACGTCTCGCGAAGGTTGATCATGTTCCCGTATAGCAGTAGCAACTTTTGTCCGCAAATTTCTATTTTTTCTTCGACCTAAAAATGGCTTGCGACTTCTAAATTTTACAACTTTTCCCATTTCACTTCGGTGCCTTTCAAAACAAATATGGCGGAGCACTGTTGTCAGCTGATTAGTAAAGGCAGCTTGACCAATGGGAGAGCTTGTTGTTCAAAATGAACCAATCAAAACACAATAACGTCAAAATGGCGGACTTGAACAATCAAGATCCAGAATATTTGGCCAATGAAAATCAGTTAAAAACAAAAGGAAAAGCTGAAAACAATCCAGAATATACTATGATGTTGAACACAGGAGAAATTAGCTTTCCATCAATATATAGGTTGCCTGAAACCGACTATGTTGACACGAATGGGACGAAGTTTTTTATTGAGCTTTTATCCAACATTTGCAATAAAAACCAACTAAAAGTCATACCATGACGCACTTTATCCTCTCTAATAATAAAACGGGTAGAAATATAGCAAAAAGCTCTCGCACATTGAAAGATGAATACTGATCGAACATTTTTGCAATAAAATCTCGATTTGTGAAATTCTCCCAAAAATCGCCAATTTGGAGTGGTAAAGTACCTTAATTGCACGATTAATAAGCTGACAAAATCTCCTTTTTTTGCTAAAGTGAGAGAAAATTTTCAAAACGCTGTTAATTTCTACTACTCTCTCATCTGAGGCTGGGCATCAGTGACGGCTCAAGCCCGGGACAAGTGGAAGGGGGGGGGGGAGGGCGAAAGGGAGTAGAGGACCACGCCCGTTTTAGGCCACGCCCTTATTTCCCAGTGAAAAGCACTTTCTCCCCTAGGAAACACCCCTTGTCTCCCAAGAAATGTCATTTAATTTGCCATTGGCAATGAACGCTATTGCCTAAAACTTAATTTGGAATTAGAAGTTTTAATTGTGTAAAAATCAAGAAAAGTCCTGTAATAAAGTGCTACAAAGTAAAAACTTTAAAAAGCTACACATTCATGTAATCTAATACAACGATCTGTTCAAGTAACAAATAGTTCAAGAAAGTTTTTGAGGGGGTGCCAAATTCTAATAATTAGACCAAGTTTGGATATCAAGTTCTGCCTAGATGTGACGTCTTCGCGTAACAGAAGAAGCATGCATTCCATTAGCAGGTGTCTTTGTTTTGTAGCAAATGCCTGGAGAAGCTAGGCCTACAAAAAATCTACACAACTTTCTCTCTCGATAAAATATACTAAAAACAGACTTTTTCGTTAGAGGTTACGATATCATTTGAATTTCTAATATGCTTAAAGTGTGGATCTAATATGAACATTCGGGGGCATTTGATAGCAGCGATTTGTATACAATTATCAAATATGTGATATAATGAACACAAGTTCATGATACAACATGAGACGAGAGCATACACAAAATCCTACGATATTTTCTATACGATATTTTTAATACATTTATTGATGTCAGTAACATATTATTGATTGTAAGTTCTTAATTGCGAGTTCCAGTAGCATATTTACTAGCATAAAAGTTTGACGGAAAACTGAGCGTTTATATTTGAAAAGGGCGCTTCCCACTTAAAAGGGTATGGCCCCGGAGATAATTTCGAAGTCTCCGGTGCCTAAGCCTGACCCTGCTCTTCGCGGGAGCCTGTAATTTGAACTGGGAAATCCTGAGGGTATAAGCAATACAAAGAAAGTTTTTGGGGGAATAGTCACGTTAAACAAGGAATATATCTGAAATGCTGTTGCTTCACTGTGGACGCTGGATTTCATAACAGACTGAACCAACCAGATATTGCACTGCCGAGGTTCGTAGCTTGGGACATTTTCTGTCCAAAGATCTATTATGCAAAACTATCCAAAGGTCTCTTATTCATAAAGACCACTTAAGCAAAAATTTTTTTCATTAATGGATTTATGTAGGAAATCAAATATGAAAACTTCTTGGCGGGTGGTTATTTACTCACTACGTTGAGTAAAAGAGAAATTGCAGACATATACCTGCCTTATGTTACCATATGTAGAAACACATACTAACGATGCAATAAAAGCAAAGTAAACTGTTACATAATAAATGAAATGCCCTCAGCATTGAATAATGGTTCAACTTAGCGGCCATCTTGCTAGCGCATCTTTATTATAATAGTTAAACACATGCCATAAGTGATGAGATTATATATCAAATTTTAAATACATATACACAATTATTGGCATATTCAAGTGCCTTCAGTGTTATCAATACCCCAAGAGAACTCTGCTTAACGAAAAGTAGAGCAGCTTCTCATATTGGTTAAGTTGTAATCATCTGCTGCTACACTTTTGCTGCTTTAATCGCGACTAAACAAGGCTTGTTCGTTTTTCAAGTTATTTCCAATTATCATGTCTTTAAGTCCAATAGAATGCCATTCCAGTCTAACACAGAAAATAAATTTGTCATTTGAATAGAAAATGTATCCAAACGTCTTCAACAATAACCAGTAAAACTAAATCTTAACAGCAAAGTGGTTAGAACTGAGAAGATTGTTCGTTACTCGATTGTCTTTTCAAAAGAATATCTACCGAAACTTCGAGGAGCAACTTCACGTGTTCGGTGTCGAAAGCACATGTGACGTAGGTGTAGACTGGTCTTTTCGTGCCTCTGTTCAGAGACAAAAACTTCTGCTTCAGGAAATAGAGGGTATCATCATAACTCTTCGTATCCCCTTTGTAATCAGGGAAATAGTCGGTGATTGGGGATCGCTTAATCTTCTCTGCAAATATATCATTCTTGTTCAGAAAAGGATGACTGGGGTTTTGGTCAACCACGGTGAGTTAACTATCGAATCAAACAGTTCTAGACTCTCGTACATAGCGTTCTTATTTGGATCCTCTTCTACGTAAAGGTTGTAATCGGCAAGAGAAGCACAAAAGAATATGACACCAACTTTGTTGAAATACTGAATCCACTTTTTTCGCTCGTCCCGCATACCACCAACGTCTATAACGAGAAATCGGTTATGATTGTAAACGAATTTGATTTCTGTGCTTCCAGTTGTAACACGTCGGGCATGTAGCATATCTTGGTCATTTGGTACAAACTCTGCCTGAGAAATTCGTTGTAAGTTATTCAAAAAATAGCCACCCATGTCCACAAGCTGAAGATAATGTCTCGCGTAATTGAAGTATTCCTTAACGCGGTCATCAGCCCATAATCTCCGTGCAAGACGTAAAATATCACGCATTTCTTTCCCCTCTACCATGTTTATTTTGAAAAACTTAGTAAGCTGTAAAAACCTTGACACGGTCTGCTTCAGTCTTGGATTGTCGAAGTCAATACCATCCATGTACATTGCTCTCAAAAGACACGAGAGTGTCTCACCCAGGTTGCTAACGATCAAAGGTACTGTGCTTAACCGTTCGCTCTTTGAAATGTCCTTTACATATATAAGCCGAACTTGCTTCAAGAACGAGCTTTTTCCACTGTTCGACGGCCCGAGAATAAGAATTTGTACAACTTGGTTCACGTTGTTGGCATCTTCGGCATTACTTACAGATGCTTCTGACACAGTGGCCTCTTTCGTCTGCACGCTCATCCCACAACCCATCCTTTGAAATTGATAAAGTATATGCCAAGAAAGATGCACACAGTCTTGTTTTAGAACACTGAGTTTTGTACCACAAATGATGACTCCATGATCAAAAGCAACATCGGTAATCATAAATGTAACCCATAAAGACGTATTTAAAAACACTCTGATGACATTCTCATCCAAGCATCAATACATTTTACGCCAAGCTGTCTTCCAATTTGGGACTTTTCAATGACTCTGTAAGTTCTTAACTCTCGAAAGCAACATACAAAATAGATGGGCCCTTCGTGAAACACGCACTTGTCTCTTGCAGACAACGAAATAGCTTCATTACAGTCGCACTGTACTCATGTATCCGTTTGCAGCTGCGTATAGTTGCGATGGCAAAAATATTTACAAGCGTATCGATGGGATATTGTTAAGTAAAACTATTGTACTCTCGGCTAATATGTTTCTATCCTTGGTTGCAAGTAGAGTGATGCGTTTCTGTTTACTTGCTGCCAAGTGCCCTTTCTTCAGCAGCTTAGAATAATCTTCTATAGATTCTATTTCGGGATACCATGACAGCTTTGCAAAAAAACCCTTTTCAAAGTAAAAAGACCCGGCCAGATTTACTAATATTCTCAGCCAATTAGTAGAAAGGGGCGACTAAATAGAAAACTTCATGGTAGCAAGCAAACACACAGGAAGAGCTGAAGGTATGATAGGGAAAGAATTTCAATCAACCCACTAGCAATTAAACGTCATGAATACTGATTTCACGGAAATTAGCGAGAACATCCCCAAAATTGCTTACTTTTCTGTCTAGTGAAGTGCATTGCTATTTCTGCTACTCGATGACGTCACGTCTTTGTTCTATGATATCTAGGACCCTGAAGTAACACGTAGGTTTGCCATAGTAACACATAGGTAGGATCCTAAATGTCTAATGACCGACGTAGCCAATCTTCATTTAACCAAAGAGCCCAGACCTACCCGTTTGGTACATAGATTTCTATTTGCAAACAGAGTGGGTTGGTACCACTACAAATAACATATAGAAATGTGCCTTATATATATGGGTCAAAAAGGTCTTCATCAAAAGAATGAATTTGTAGTAAAGAACACATGCTGGCATAGGCCAAACGCATCCTCAAACTTTGCATCATAATGAAAAGTGACAGAACCGATGGAGGAAAGAGCATTCTACTGAATACAATCAGAATCACTACCAACACAAGTCATGAATCAGTTTGATATGCAGAATAAACATACATCAAATTTCCATTCGGGTCAACTAAGAATAAACAACTTAAATTCTAAGCAAAGAAACAGTCATTTATGAAAATATGATTGTGGGATGGCAGCTTTTTACTCCACAACAAACAGCCACTTTAAAAGTTTAGGAAAATATTTTAGGAACTATTTAATAGCAAGAAAACAGTGTGCTTTCACTATTTCACTATTAGCTGTCTGCTCTAGCTAGACAGACTTCAAGCATTTTAATAAACTGCAAGTTTCAATGCTTCAATATTGTAACATAGTATACCAAACTTATAAAAGTTAATATAATTTACTTTCATAAGTATTTGTTAAGTATGTTTTTTATATAAAACTGCTTTTGAAACTAGTATGAGTAGAAATTTTTACAACAAGGAGCACAGTTTCTTGAACTGTGATTACCTATTTTATCAAACTTAATATAACTACCTACAGTTAGAACAAAAACGAAAAATTTTCCATTCATGTTAAAATAAAGAAACCTGCTTGAATAGTAGACAAATGCACCAAAAGCTCACATCAGCTATTTTTGATCAGTTTTGAATGAAGAGCTTAAACCCAAACCAGTTGAACAGCAGGAAGAAAAATGTCACAGGTATAAGAGTGAATGCCAAAAGCCCAAAATAGCATGGTGAATGACCAAGGCAGCTGCTTGGAAAGTCCTATAAGTAGACATATATGGTTAAAGGCGTGTTTGACCAAAGTCTTATCATATGCTTTAAATTGGCTTGTTTTTCTTAAGTAAAACAAACAATTATCAGAAAGGAAAGTGAACATTAAAAACGATTTACTAAAAGGCAAAGCAACTGACATTAGACTTCTATTGCAGAGCTATAATTTCTAAACTCCAATGTGAAAGAGATAAGGGTTGACTGATGTTTGGATAAAGTTTGAAACTTTGAGTTGCAACTTGGAGTTATCCTTTTCTATACACCAAAGCGTGTAACGCTCAGACTAAATGACATCAGACACTTTATAACAGGCTGGTAAAACAGTTATTTTCATTATATATATATCATTACAAAAAAATTCAATCAAGAAAATTGCAGTAGGGCTAGTCTTGTAAAAATCAATGAAATTTCAAAATGTGTTTAAACCACTGAAATTTAATCCTGATGATAATTTTCTGAAGACAGCTTTCATAAAACATTAAACAACTCCAATTTAATGAACTTTGTATTGCCACCTAGCATCCAAAGGTAGTTTTAGGACACTGAGAAGCACTGCTTATCAAGCAGTGTCCTGGTCCTTCCTCTTGAGGTGACTGCACCTTGTGACTCCTACCCTTCAAGTTACAAAGAGCTGGCAACTCTCCTTACTCTGGATAAAAGTTTGGTCATGCCAGGGGCTCAAACCAAAGACGCCTGGTTCTGTAGTCAGTGACTCTAACCACAGAGCCATCCTCGCACATGAAATCAGTCTATTGCAAGAAAAAACTAGGTCAAGATAAAGTTGCTACATTTTTGGCAGTGATCTTGTTTATTTTCTCTTTCTCTGCTAAGCTCAGTTTTTGCCATTTCAAGTTGATTTAAGTTGAAATACCCAGAAGGCATTGTGCTGACTACACTGTGATTAAAAAAGGGAAATGAGCTTGAGAGTCAACATGAATCAGTTCAGGTGTTATTACAGATAATCCAGACTGGAAAGTTGCTGGACAAGGACCTCTACATCAAGGGTGCAATGAATCTGGAGGATATAAACTACGAAGTACAGCAAGCAGTTCTCCCTGTCTTGTACTTTGACAACCAAGATCTTAATGAATACAATTTGTTATTAGCTAAAATGTTCCTTTTTCAGCAAAGGCAATGTGAAAAGTTTCCATAAATATACTAGATTGCGTGCGGTACAATAAAATGCTCAATGTAAGTTTGATAAATGTAAGTTAATTGTACCAAGGATTTTTTTAAAATTAATAACGTCTTTCAAGCATAGCCTGTTATCAAGTAAAATATTTTGAAAAGTTTTCAGTTAGAAAATATCTAGAAAATTTGTCAGTGAAACTTCAACACTCATTTTTGTGCTTACTTTTGTTCTTATTCTTGATTGCCCCTACTGAAATGCCAAGAAAAATTATCAATTATTAACATAGGTTACCATATTCAAGAGAGGAGATATATTGCGAGTATACGAGAGGTGGGCAGAAAAGTAGGTCTCAAGCATTTAGAAAAAAACTTATTATTCAACATAAACTGCTGTTACATAAACTGAACTAGGATTGCAGAGTATGGCAGTCTCCAACAAGATCTCAGGTGTGGATAAGCAAAATATCAAGTGGGCACTTTCTTAGAAGTGTGCACTTCAGCGGGCCTTGCCCGGAAAGTATGCCCACGTAAAGTGCACCCAAAAAAAGTCTTGGAGAGTGATTTATAGAGCCCCTCAAGACGTAAAAACAATATTACCATGGAGCAAAATAAATTTTTGACATTTGTTGAATAAACTTGATCAAGCATAAACAATCTTCCAAACAGACCACAATATTATGATTTGCATAAGATTACCCCATTGAGAAAAAATTCAGCAAATTCAACGTTGGGTTTTTGATACCATTTTCAATCTAATAACTCTCTAATAACCACCAAGGACACAGGCCATCAAGTGTATTCTCCGGCAGATTTATGTGATTTTTGAGCAAGCGTTTATCTTCTGTTGAAGTATTATTTTCAGTTTCTTTCTTAATAACTTAAAATGGCCTGTGCAAATCAGCGATCACATTTCCACCCAAATTATCGCATTGCTTTTCAGTTTTCATTTGCTTTCATGAGTGGTAGATGTTCTAGCTGTGCTGCTGTAGAATGAATACCATAACACGGGAAACAAAGTTAAATGTTTGACTTAAAGCCATGCGTTTTGATGAAGCACTATGTGAAGCTGAACATAACAGAAGTGATACTGGCAGTTGATACCGACAGTGATAAAACCTCATCAAGCAATGGCAACTTACATATCTAGAAAAATCTGAACGATTTTGAGACATTGTTATATTATATTTTTATATTGACATTAACATAGTGTTTCTTGGATGTTTTGTTTCGTTATTTCATATTATGGTGCTTTTTGATATCACCGTTGCATTTCTTATTTATAATTTAAACATTCTTCCAAAGCTCTCGATTAGGGGTGTACCGGATCAGGATTTTCAGAATCCGGCCGGAACCGGATTTACCGGATTTCTTCGTGGAATATCCGGCCGGATTCTACCGGATAATCTGACCATTTATAGAATTTTCAGTAATAAAAAGTTTTGAGCCACTTTGCAAAAAAATGTATAGCGAGAAGATCAAAGAGACCTATTCAGGGTTGCCAGATTGAATTTACAAACGAAGGCTAGACTGGTGAGCAATGTAAGCCAAAATGCTCATAAAAAGACCAAATCAAAAACTTTCTCAAGAATCCATCGAGCAGGCACTGGTTATATTTCTACGCTTGTGCCTGTTAGATAATTTCTTAACTTAGATAAGAATCTTACTTTTTTTCAAAACCCTTTGCTAATATCAAGATAATATTTAGGTTAGGTGATAAAATTTGAAATTTGGTTAACACTTTTTAGTTAACTACTAATTATTCTATGAATGTAGTAATTACTCATTAATTTTGGACGTCTGCTGGAAAGGGCAACAAGGTCAAATTTAAGTAGTAAGCAAAAAACAATTTTTTCAGGCAATCTAAATCTAGAAACCAAAAATGAAAAATTTGGCCTAAAAAGCCGATCTGGCAACCCTGGACCAAATTTGTGAATTATATCATCCAGTCTTCCTGTTTCGTGATGACGAGCATTGTTTTCAAGGCGCTTGTTTTATCGTCGATATCGTTTAGTTCTGGAAAATCCATTTTTAATCACTGTATGAAGGGAGTCTGACTTAGTTTTCCAAATTTTCTTAGTTATGATTAAAGTTCTGGAAAATCCGGCAACTGGCCGGATTTCGGAAACAAATCCGGCCGGAACCGGATTTTCAAAAAATCAGCGATCCGGCGCCGGATTATCCGGCCTACCGGATATCCGGTACATCCCTACTCTCGATATAAACCTCTTTATCTTCCAAAGCTCTCAAGGAAGTTTTATTTAGAGGTGCAAAATAAAGTACCTAGAGTTCCTAAGGGGCTCTTTTATAGAGCACCTCCATTTTGCTTAGAGCAAGGCCTGACTTCAGTTGTGCACATTAGTGTGCAAAACTGTGCTAGAACCCAAGGATAATCAATTAAGAAGCGAAAATGAACTAAGATGAGTAATGTACATGATTGATAGTTATTAGTTATTATTTTGCCATTCGAACTTGAGGAAACTTAATTCTTCATTTGCCCTAAGCAATGGGACACACCCATGTCACGCCCAGGTTTCGAAATGCCACACATTTTATCAGGTGTACAGGAAAATATATCGGGTATGCACTTGCTAAACTCTGCAGTCTGGAACCAAACTGTTCTTAAAGCGTATTGATTGGGATTCTGCAGCACTAAACGACAAATAATCTGTTTAACATGCTAACCCATATTTCAAGTTCAATACGACATCATTGTTAGATTTTCTTTGCAAGTTTCCACAGCATATCTTGAAAAGCAAACTTACCGGTTCATAAACTGCATCATATCCAATTGCAGCGAGGGACGTTGATATGTAAAAGATAATAACACTTATGTACAAACTTGGTTCCATGTATATCAACATAGATTTTTTTGCTGAAGATACATGATTTGATGATATGTGTGATTTTCTATTCGCGACTCTCGTGTTGATGTTGCTGTTGTTGCTGATGATGTGTGTTGTTGATGTTGCTGTATGGCTTTTTCTGTTGATCAAAGATGGCCATACAACAGCCAACATGAAAATCACTGGACTTTGCTACGCACCTCATAACAACACTAAGCGCAAAACCCTCGAAAAACGTATTATTTTTAATCTTGGTACTCTTATCCCTAATTGTCTTAATAAACAATTTTCCTTTCTTTCCTAATCCAGCCAGTGGTGGCGCCAGGGGAGGGCTAGGGGGGCTACAGCCCCTCCGTCGGAAGCATCTAGCCCATCCCCCCCATCGGAGGAAATTTTAGGTTTTTGTCGGAGCAAATTTGACAAAATAACGTACGAAAACTGCTTATTTTAGTCATTTTAGCCCCCTGTCGGAAGCTCCAGCCCCTCTGTCGGAAGATTTCTGGCGCCACCCCTGAATCCAGCCATTATTAATTTTCACCTTATTTTATCTATACGCTTTCCACCTCCTCACATATTTCCATCTCGTCTTAAGTTCTACGTCGTATTTCTACTACGTTCCATATAGCTAATCTTTAGATTATCTACTGTTCTTTTCTCTTCTTAACCGTTTCTTCTTCTATTATTTATTTACCTGATGAAGAGTTAAACTCGAAACGCTGTACCAAAGACTCATTTCTTGTACAAAGTCGTTATTTTATTTTATCAAATTTTGTTCATTTTTCTGTTGATATTCTCTTCCAACTCTTCCAACTCTAAAAAGTTTAATTTCCAGCGCAGATCGCAAGCCTGAAGCATGCTTAATACTTTCGATTAATGCCTAGTACTTACAAAATGTTTAATTTGGTCCAATTTCATCGATTCCTAGATCAAACTCCAACGAGGTGTGCCGCGGAGTACCCATATACTTTTTCGATTAAAAATATGGGACAGGGTATCAAAATTAAAGAAAACTGTTTAGGACAGGGTATTTTGAAGCAGAAGATAGACATTCTTCAATTATCTGCTCCCACAAAGCACAAACAACGTGCGTTAGGCACATTGTAGATTCTCTTTCCGCTCAGGTTTATTTTGGCATGAAAGTGCCATATTTATGCATATTCTTTAAGGGATACGATATGCTATTGGCATGTTTTTATGGGATAGGGCCAGGGTGCCAAAAAGCTGTCCCATAGAGATTAGGGTTTCTGCACACCCCGTCACTGTCCTGATCAAACTCCCGGGATCAAGCCATCTCTATTCTATATTCTCTTCTCTGCATTCAGTTGTTTCCCTCAAATAAACAAATGTGCTCTCTTTCCCTCTTATTTGTATGTGGCTCTTGTTAGGGTCTTCGTAAAGCCCAGCACACACGGCAGACTTTCGTCTTTAAAAGACGAAGATTTTTGTCTTTAGCATTCCAGAGACAAAAATCTGCCGTATGCGCTTGTCAAGGACAAAGATTTTGTCTTTTAAAGACAGTCTTCGAAGTTAAACATGTTTAAATTTCGAAGACGGTTTTTGAAGGACAAATAAAACAGTCTGCCGTGTGCGGATCAAAAAGACAAAAATCTTTCGAAGAAAGATTGAGTGGCCAATAAGCGACTAAGTTTAGATCACATGAAGATGTCCTCTTGGAACTTCCCGCCAAACCAATTTCCTGTTTGTGCTTCAAAGACGAAAATCTGTCATGTGTGGAATCTGTGAAAACAAAAATCTTCGTCTTTCAAAGACAAGGCTCCATGATCAACAAGAAAAAACTGAAAGAAAAAACTTTTGTAACAAGAATATTGACCTGGTCAACTTGGCTTAATTTCGTACGAAAACATTTTCCTCTATTCTAAAAATTAATTTCAAATATTTTGTGTACATTTAGGTTTGGCATTTTTCAAATCGTGACATAAATTTCAAACTTTTGCTACAACTTAATTTGTAGTAAAATGTTATAAAATATTTCATGGTGAACCATCGTGCGCTGAGACATCATATGTGATTTGTACGATATATTTTATCAGATATAAGAGATAAAAAATTACAGGTACGTAGATTTATCAGAAACGTAACATAAAAGAAATAATAACAAAGTCATTTTCAAATAGAGATAGATATTGATAGTAAACATTTCTGTAAATTTTTATAGTGAATTTACGAGTCAACAATATATACAATTTACATAAACACAACTGTACACTTCGATTGAGGTAAACTCGCGAAAAACTCTGATGGCAATAAACTTCAAAAATTAAACAAGTAAAGGGTGCAGATTAATAACGAAAATTTTCAACGAAACTATAGCTTCAACATGTGTCCATTTTCTAGTTTTCTCCTATATCGATACTTTTGTGCTTTCCAAAGTTCTTTATGTTAGCATTTTACTGTTTATAAGACACAGAGAAAGCTGACGAAATTTGAGAATTCAAAGGGACGTAAATCGACCGATATTTTTGGGAGGTGTAAGGTACAAAATTTTCGACTGACAATACGCCAATTGCTATTTTGTATTAAAATTGTGCTATGATTATACTAAGCCTTTACTTTAAGAGCCTTATCTTTATACGGTTCGGTCATTTCCTTTCTGCATTGAGAAAATACTTATCTCTGACGTAAATAAACATTGGAATTGGGACTTGCCCCCACACCCCCGGAATCTACGTACCTGCTGATTCAAACCAAATACGAGGGCCACCAGTTATAACTTTGGGTCTCTCGGGCTCTCTATGGCAAGTCTACTCTAAATAAGATATCATACTCTTTATTTTGAGGTTGATGAAGGTCAAGTATCAAGCAGCTACAGGAAAATCGCTTACGTTATAATTTGTCTGAGGAGTGCCCAACAAAAGAAGACTAGGTCAGTAACAACAAATGATTACAGCTGATGGAACAATAAGCCAACTGAGAACGCAATGGATAAAAAATTCTACATTATCTAAAATCGACTTCCTGTACTGAAAATGTATGACTTTAGGCTCGTTGCAAATGCAGCAATGCATTAGGCTGAGGCATGCACAGAAACTGCACTTGGAGAATACCCTTTTTAACTTTCACGCGGAGAAGACAAAGTTCTACGCTGGTAGATACTAGCAAACTCCTCTTTTTTAAAAAGATGGTCCCATTATTCTATCCCATTATTTTGTTGAGTAGAACATAGACATTTTTGCAACAAACTTCTAACTTACGTCACACCACTGAGTTTGGAGTCTCGCTTCTTTTGAATCTCATTCAAAAATCGTCTTTCTTCTTCAAAGAAATCTTCATCCTACAAAAAAAAGGTATAACAACTCATCTGCAGAATGTCGAATAGCTGTTTCAAGTAAAGTGCTGAACTTTTTCGCAGCTAGATTGATGAATTTCAAGGATAAAAATTCACACATCAGACAGTAAAGCTGCATTATTTGTAGAGCGAAAGCTCTAATCAACAAAGGTAGGATCCTGGTTCAGCACGATACTATCACAATGTAACATTCAGATTGTGCCAAAGACTATAATGATGATCAGTTATTTGGCGGTACAGAACTTGAAAATTGCTTTGAAAAAAGCGAACATTTTACAACATATTGGCCAAAAGCTTTTTCGTCTGACACTTCTCAGAGCATAAAACATCAGAATAAGTTTTAGAATCCATTTACATAAAAATGAAACAGCACCATTGTGAAGACAGAAGGGGTTTGCTTTCACCTTTACGTACTCCATAGTAAAATTTTTCAATAGGCGAACGGCAGTTGTTGAGCGGCCTTCATGTACTCGTGTTGTTGATTGACCTATTTTGAATACAAACTGGGTCTCAGTCTGTATATTTCTAAACTTTTAGCTTTCGATATATTTTTTGAGGTTTCATCTTCTGAAGAATGTCGTATGTTTCAAATGCTTGCTTTTTTACTCAACAATATTTGGTTTCAAGTCAGGACAATGAAAACAAAACTCTGTCACGAGATTTAAGAGTATATCCTAATTTCAAAAAAATTAGCATAGCCTCTGAATAGAGCAGTTGGTTGTTGAATATCTTAAATCACATATAAATTATGATGATATAGAAATCCTTTGATAAACACTTAAAAGACACTAATTTTTTCTATCATTTTCATGTGTCATTATCCCTTTGAATAGCCTCTCACAATTTTTTTTAGATCTTTGAGGCCATCTCGCGAAAAGGATATCGCAGGGTAATATTTGTGACAAAGCTATAGTGCACTTTTCCTTTCACCTGTTGCTGGAATACCTTATGTTTTTAATAAATTTACAAAATTTGAATCTTTACCAGTGTTACCGAAAAGCTTTTCTGAGACCTTTTAACACAAGTGCCTGAATGCCAATGAATGCCAGGTAATGGAAAAGTGAACATTCTGGCTAGCTCATCCTGTTGGAGTTCCTTCTTTTTAGCAACACTAATAAAAAATGTTTCTGGAATTCCTTAACACTGTTAATCCTCAAATTTGGTACTTTTTACAAGGGGACTAAATCAAGGGGGCCTTTTCGAGGGGGAGTCTTTTCGAGGGGGCGTTATAGAATCATCAGCAAGTTGCCATATAAATAGCTCGTTTCGTAGATCTTTCACGATTTTCAAGTTGATTTCATTTTCACTTTTACTTCACAACTCTTTCTAAGATATCATTCCAAAGCATGAAAAGATTTTCTATTCCAAAATATTGATATTTTTATTATCTTTGACAGTCTCTTTGTCAAAATTTTAATTAGTCGCTGAATCTGTAATCATTTAGTGATTGAAACGGTGTATGTCTCTGTCGCATCTCGATTCAGCCCCCACCGGGGCTTATCAAAATGCAAAAATTAGTATGTTACGATGGAGGCTTATCGAGAATGTGGCTTATTCGAGGGAAGGCCATTTTACAAGGGGAGGGGCTTACACAAGGGGAGGGGGCTAACTCTAGGATTAAAGGTAGCCCTTTTAGATTCATATCTACATTCGTTTTATCTTACAAATCCAAACATGTTGTTATCAAAATCCTCAGACAAAACGAGTTAGATCTCTAAAGCTCTACCCGATTGGTATCCTTGCTTCAAAACTTTGAACGAAGGATTGGAGAATACCCGTAATTATCTGATAAACGATCCCCCAGACAAAAACTCACTTGCTCTTTGTCCGCTGACCATTTGCGGACTGTACGGTTGAAATTCAAACTGCCAACTAATATGTCCGGGGGTGGTGGCAAAGTCGATCCGACTTGAGCCCGAGTTTCTGGCTGACTCTCATTGATTGACGTGATAGTGGTAACACTTGATGAACTCAAACTAGCGGGTGGACTGGAAGGCCTCGTAAACTGTTGCTCTAGTTGCAGAGGAGGCTGTTGCTGTTGTGGCTGCTGCGATGTAGCTTTTTGGGAGAAGTTTGGTGATTGTAACACTAGGAACACAGAGAGATAACTGTCAACAATCTAGTGCGAAAAAGTTTAATCCGAGGTCAAAAACTAGTGCAAAGAAATGTGAAGTGTGTTTCAAAACATGACCATAAATTGAACTGGTTCATTGAGGATAGATGTTAGCTAGACAATCTCCAATCCAAGTAACATGAAAATAGAGACGGAATAAGGTAAATTTGGGATTTTCGTTGATACCATCATGTAGAACCAAATATTGCATTCATTCATATTTAACATCATTAAACATTATCAAAAATTCTTCGATACATACGTTGAAGAAACTGGGGCGCACCCACTGCTCGCTGGCAAAGGGCGCAGCGGAGACTTCCCTTTGCAACCTGCAATTGTGTCTGTTCAATCTTAAGCAGTGCTTGATTCTGTTAAAAAAATCGCAATTAGAGCAATACGTGAGAGACAACAGCCAACAAAAATCCAAAAGCAGAAGGTCTACTACTGCTGTCATGTCAGTTGACGCCAGAGGCAGTCTGGTATCAAAATCGCAGGACGGCTAGCAAACTCAAAGAGCCTGGTTTAGGGCGTGGCAGAAAAAACTGAACCACACCCACAAAAATGTAGCCTTAAAATACGGTTAATTCAATAAACATTGACAAAAAGCAACGTGCTAAACAACAACAGTATATCGATTTTAATTCGTAAAATCGGACCCAATTGAATTCATACATTTCCTCTCGTGTAAACAGGATTTAAAATCTCATGTAGAGTTAAGAATCAAGATCAAAATTCATGAAAGCTCTATGAGTTTCAACTCTTTTCGAAGAAGTGCAGATAAACAGTAAATTGGTCAATGACTTGCTTGTAATCAAAAGCTTTCTCTTCACTTGAAATTATAAATAGCTAAAGCAATTGGTTGACTGATAATGGAGAGCAGCCTTTTCTTAAGAATATTAAGCTGGCTGCAGCTTAGTGTCATCACACGTTTATACGCATTGTAGAGGGAAGGGTATGCAGCTATGTGCATGTTGCATTCACTCGTTTATTATAAGAACCAGTAAATTTAGGTTGAGGCTGACTTTTCTCAATTTTTGCAAAAATCTGAGACTGGATTGTTCTTAATTTGTTCTTGAATTATTATGGTGTAAGCAGTGCGATTGCTAGCTTTTTCGTTCTAGGAAAGTGTTCTGGCATTATTTGCTAACAAAGTGAGTGAGACAACCTTCATTTAACGACAAGATTGAACATTCACCGAAAAGCACCCACACATGGCTAAAAAGTCTCATTTTTGGAATAAAATGTTATTCAAACTTGCATGTTACAGTTGACTTTTGACCAACATTGATGCTCGTGTTCTTATAAAACTGTTTAAAAAAAGAGCGTAGGTACATAGTTTTGAATGCGCAGGGTATGCACCGTTGGCAAGCTTCTACCCTTTTAATACAGGGTGTCAATGACTTTGGAGTCCTTTGCGAATCCCCATCTTGAAAGTCACAGTTTTCTTCTCCATATGCTTCTTCTCTCAGAGCGTGTTCCTTGAAATCATCTTCGTTTTTCTGGATCTCCATTTGCATTAATTGTTGTTTTTTTTATTTGAACGATATGCTGCTGGTAACAAGTTACAAATGCCAGCAGTTCTTTTCTTGAGCATTTCCAAGCTGACATTCGCTAAACGACAAATCTTGAAAAGAAAGCTCTTATTGCCCTCCTGCTTCATCTTTGTGTCAACACATCTTCTTGGCTCTAGCATTGCTAAATCCAGATACAGATCTAAATTCTTCGAGAACCTTCTGTCAATGTCCTCCCATCTGAGTTTGAGGCTGTTATTAGATGGAAGTGATGACTACTTAACTTCTCTTTTCTTACTTTCTGTTTTGAATCTTACATTATCTTCACATATTGGAACCCCACTCCCCAATAAGTGCAACCTAAGCCTTATATCCTGTTTCACAGTGGACTAAGTGAGAATAAATACTATGGGCAGCCGTCGCCACCCTTCTCCCAAAATGAAATTCGTTCCTACAACACTGTCTCTGATATTTTCTGCTTCATATTATCATAATATGGATTAAAAAGTGACTTATATCAATTCATAACTACACCATGGATGTTTTTTAATCAAGCAATTTTTGTCAGTTCTAGGTCAGATACCCTGGGTACCTGAGCCACATAAATTCGAGAGCGGAAATAGAAGACAAATGTATGCTCCTCCGCTTCTCCGCTTCTCCGCTTCTCTGCTTGGCATGCTTGACTGTTTACGCGCTCGAAATTTTGTTGCTCTGGTACCCAGGGTACAGGCCAGATTAAGCACATAGCTGAAATAACGGAAACCACGGTTTGGGTGGTTTGAAGTGCTTGTATTGGGACTTTAATCGCAAAGTAATCAGTCTAGGGCATCTAGTCTTCAACATTTAGTTAAAAATTTCTCCAACGCGGGAAAGGCCCGTAAAATCTTATCACAAAGGGCCCGGGTGCCGATGGCCACTTTGCCACCAGGGCTAAACCACCCCTGGTTGACGGCATCAGTTTGACGACGGTTGAAAAAACGAAAAGCAATGCGAAAAGAAAATGATTGGTGATCCCTGTGAAATCTTTGAAATGTAGGAAGTGACGAGAAGGATAAAGGAAACCAAAAGAGAGATGTGACGAAGTGAATGACTAAAAAACAGGTTGAGCAGCATTTTGTAGCCAAACTAACAAAAGATCACATAATGAAACAGATCATCATTTTCTCACCTCTTTTAAGGCATTTTCCTGCTGTTCTATTCGGTTGCTTCTTGTTTCCAGCAAACTGGAAGCATCGGCTATTTCAAGCCTTAAAATATGACACTGCTCCAAGGCCTCAAGCCCCTCCTGTTGCAACTTCACTGCATCCTGTGGAATAAAAGGATTCTGAAAAAACTTTCCATGTTTTGATTAATTGTAAATTCTTTAGTAGTTGGATCTAACAAAAATTTTAGGCACGATAAGGCACGATAAGGCACGATAAGGCACGATAAGGCACGATAAGGCACGATAAGGGACGATCGGGTACGATTAGCCAAAATCAGGCATGACCAGACAAGATCTGGCACGATTTGTGCAAGAAGCCTTAGAAAACGTGCTTCAATTATACACCCAAACGAAGCCTTGATTTCAAACCAACAGAGCCTTTGGTCTATGGCCGCAGAAAAGGGTGAAAAATTTCCATGTCAAAGCTAAAAAATTAACACGATGTCAAGAGGATTGCGCCCTGAAAATTCCTGTGAAAAAAGGCATGAAAGCTGTATGACTTATTAATGAGCTTCGTGAACGAAAAGTGAGGAAAAAGAATTTTAAAAAGAGGTAAAAGCAGGTTATGTATTGTTAACCTGAAATTAACTCTTGCATTACAATTTGCATTGGTAATTAGTCTAATCGACCTTTTGCTAGCAATTTATTGCACATCAAACATCTCTGGAATGGAACTGACAAACAACAGTTGTTCCAAGTACAGACGTAGCTGAGCTACAAAATAATAGAATGGATTTGGCACTGTTTTTTACGATATCTTTATTCATAATGTTGACAGCAGAAATATTATATCACAAGTTTGCTAAAGGAATGGTGGACAACAAGAATAATGGCCGAACATCAATCCAAAGCCTTAAAGTTGGATCGCAAAAAAAGAGTAAAGCGAATCGTGCAAACAGAGTTCATCGCCTTAAAATACATTAGACAAAGCTCATATCAGCAGGTACTGGAGTCTAGAATCTTTTGATGCTTTGTAGGGAAATGAAAATTTGAAAATGCTTGTACAAAAAGGTAGAGACCAAGGAATTTGGCAACAACATTACTTGGTGGAGGATGCATACTGTTGAAAAAGCACAGTTGACGGAGTTCACATTTTAGCAAGATGTTGTTCACGCCAATCAGCCGACTTTAATAGAAAGCACAATCACTATTGATGTTTGGAGAACAATTAAAAACTGAACTCAAAAACAGAACTGAAAACTTCAAAAAAATTGTGAGAAAAATTTGAGTGAAAAAAAGGTATCTTGGATATAAATCCTGTGTTCCTTTCCTAGGGAAAAATCTTATTTAACAGTAAATCTTGCATCTTAACAAAAGAGAGAAGAACAGGCATCCAGATAAGATCTTACCTTTGACATTATCTCGACTTCTTTCGATTTTTTTTGAATTGCTTTCGCAAACTCTTCCAGTTTTTGTTTCTCTTCATTGATTGTTTTAAACGACAGCTCAAGGGCATTTCTCTCTCTTTCAAGGCGCTCTTCCTCTTTAAGTATCTTAGATTCCCGGTCTTTCAAAACTGCATGCTCCTGCAATAAGAAATACAACATTGATGCTTACGAATGATATAAGACAGTATTGTTGTGCTGGAAGCTTTGACTTCATGAAAAAGCAGAATAATATTGCTCGGAGAGCTGTGATGACGATAAATTTCGAAGGGTGAAGGCCGGGATCGAACACGGAAGGTGGAGGGTGAAGCATGGAGTGCTGTGGACGGAATATTGAGGTTTGAGTGTGGCATATGGTGGAATAATAAAAGAGAATGCCTGAACAATCGTACCTGCTTCCAGTAGGGAAGTTCGTTTTGAAAATTGACATAAAACGAAACTATTTTACCATGCACAAAGCTATAAATACTTAATGCTTGATATTCTACCTTCCAAAATACAAGAATATCTTTAATGAAGACAGATTAAGGAAGTCGCACTCACTCTTTCAAGATTTTCTTTGCTATACTTCTCTTGAAGGGCTTCAAGTTGGGATTTTTCAGCCGCCAGTTTCCTTCTCTCTTCATGGCATTCGGACAAAATCTTTCGCTGTTCATTCATCAATTCGTCACGCGATTTCTCAATCATTTGCCGCTCTATTGCCAGTTGCTGCATTGTGTATTTTCGCTCTTCTTCAACTGCAGCCTTTGAATAAGATACCTTGTTAGCCAAACAGTCCGAAAGGATCAAATAGGGCGAAATATAGAGTGAATCTGTAAAATTAATTCCACGTTTGAGAGGGAAATGAACAAACGATCTGTGCACCCTTTTAGGTTAAGTGACAAATGTCTTTGTTTACCATAACACTTTTCTAGTGCTGATAGAATTTGGTCTGGTAAAAGATGCAAATGGTTTGCTAAAATTTAGAAGATATTGATTGCACATCATAAAGCACCTAAATGTGCCATTTGAGAAACAAAAAAGCTTTGTGATAAAGGTAGCTTAAAATTTGGCCACCACCATTTGGCATACAGTTTTTTACTTTGATGCTATAGCATCATCCTCTTTGCCTTGGCTTTCCATTTCCGCCACTCCGATTAAAATCCTTTCTCAAGGCCTTCAAAAGGATTCTGGCAGAGCCAATCCAAAGTATGCAAAAGAGGATTTGAATTCTTTCACCCCTTGTACTTGATGTATAGAACAGGAGAGTTCTGAGTTGCTACTATGAGTTTCACCTGTTCTATACACCAAGCGTATACATCTATGCCAATGCCACATCGATAATTTTATGACAGACCGGTAAACAGTAATGTTCTTTAACCCCATGGGAGTTAAATCACATTGATGCATGAAATGTATTTTTCATACAATACTAGCCTTCCTAATATTCTTCACTCCATTACCTGCAGTGACACGACTCTATTCTCGTTTTGCGTCAGCTTCCATTTGTCCTGGTCAAACTGTCTTCCCTGTTCTCTCAGCTGCATCTCAAGTTTCGCTACCAGGCTCTGCAACCGTGCTCGCTCTTCTGCGTTCTCGGTCTCTTGTCTATGCAGCCTCTCTTGCATGGTCTTTAGATATTCATCTTTCATCCTCAAAGACGTTTCACGTTCATAAAGGTTGTCTTTGTGAGAGACACCCATTCGTTTTTGCAACTGTTCCATCTAAATGACAAGAATAAAGATGACTTAATCACGTCATTTCATTCAGCAATGAACTTCAAATCCGGAAAAAGCCTTTAATCATAAATTATCTGAGGTCTAAACGAACATCTTCTCAGTTACATTTACTGTTTATTTTATTGACAGTATGCGCCTCAGTAAAGATTTATTGCTTACTATTTTCGGGTAGCTTCCAAACTTAACTGCCAATCGAAGATTAAAATATTCCAACTTGTTTTGTACTTTACAGTTCCATGGTGTGGCAAAATAACTTCCAGTCCTCTTTTTTCGAAACCAATGTTGAAAATTTGATTAAGCCTTTTCCAATATCGGGAAATGGTTCTCATAAAAATAGGTTGAAATAAATCATACAAAAGAAAGCTGGGACTGGCTGCTACGATATTAGAACGTAAAGTCGGTGTTCCTGATTCTACTGGTAACATTAATTAGATGTTTTGTGTAAGTGCTGATTTTGGAATTGAAAGAATTCGCTAGCCTTAATCACATAAAATAATGTAAAAAATCAATGCATGTGGGGAGCTCCTATGCGCTAGCACGTGACCAATCTAGAACTTTGGTAGTTAACCTGATTGGTCGATATAGCTTGTCAATCAAAAACAGTTCCCCCTTTGTAGAATGATTGTGAAACTAGCTCCCAAGAGCGGGAAAACCTTTGAAAGTCCAAAAAACCTAGCGGAGACAAAAATCAGTCTTCATAAATTTTGTGAAGAATTTCAAAAACTTTTAAAGCAGATCAAAGGGGAATAAATGTTTCCATTAAAAATTGAAAGATCGTAAACAAATTCACATTTGAAGCTGCAGTAACGAAGAGGGTTTTTCTCACCTCGCTAGTGGAATTATGGACCTGTTGAATCAAAGATTGGAGAGACTTGGTTTGTGAGAACATGCTAGTGGCTGCTGCAATTTCTTGTTCTTTCAAATGATGTAACCGCTGCAACTGTTCTTCGTAGTCTTGTCTCAGTTCTTCCATTGCCTGTTAAAAAATAAAGTTGATCACTTTTCTGCTTAAAGTAAATGAATCAAGATAGAACATCTCAATTTGAGACTGTAAAAATGCCTTTCAACATTTCAGTTCTCAGGGGCTATATCAAAAGAAACTCTATCAAAAAAAGGGATTTTGCTTTGCTGCTAACAAGTGGGAAGACCTACAATAAGCTTTTGGTAACGCAAACAGTGAAGGTAGCACAGAAAGGCGAAAACGTTGCATACTTTTCGAACCCCACTGCTCGGTGTAGAAAAGGAGTGATGAACTTAAGTAAGCAAAAACCTATATCTAGTTGCGGATCGAAGGTAACGTGACACGAAGAACGACGTGATTGATTGGTTTATTGCTTTCAAACTCAAAATACTGTTCAACCGTAAACAGGGAACGTAGTGTGAAAATTCACCTTTTTGTGCAACGCCTTTATCCGTTCAATATCAAGCTCTTTGTTCTTTTCTATCGTTGTTATTCTTTCTTTATTTGCTGAAATCAGTTCAGTTTTCTCATTTTCCATGATTTTAATCCTCTCGTTTGACTGCTTAGTATAAAAAGCATTTTCATCTTTGATTTGCGATTCTCTGTTTTTGTACGTATCTTCGATCATCTGCAGGCGAGATCTGAAAGATATATGAAAATATAATTTCGCTAAGGAAATTTTTTGCGTATTCAATTAATAAGTTCTCACATTTTCTTCGTCAGTGCAATTTTGACTAGGTTACATCTAAAATAAATACTGCCCTAGAGTTAAAGGACTCAACTAAATCCTTCTACTTAACTGCAATCTCTTTCAACATTATACGATGGAAAATGATGGCAAAGTACAAAGTTATGAAGCTTAACACAACAGGGCCAAATCCTAAAGAGAACTGAAGCTCTAGATAACACATCTTGTCAAAATCTGACATTTAGGTTCCCTATTGAGATCGACGAACATAAAACTACGAATAATGAAATTGCAAGGCTCCTCCCTTCACAGTCATTCCTCTCTCAACCTGCCCTTACAGCGAAGTTCAAGTTTTAATAAGTCTAGTTCACCTTAAACATTCATCACATTATCCAGTTTAAGTAATTTTTTCTGATGTAATTTTTTATCTAAAGAAAGGCCTGTAGAAGTAAAAGAATAATTGCAGAGCATACTTGTACGAATTTTCGCTCGCCCTTCTTTCTTCTTCATGCCGCTTTCTAGACAGTTCTTGAGAGCTTATTAGCACTTCCTTTTCGTTCTTCAGCTTTCGAATCTCGTTTTCAAGATCTTCGATTTTCTTCGATGCTTCAATGTCACGTTTTATCTTCCCATCTTCAATCGTGCTGATTTTCGACTGCAAATCTCGCAATTCTGACTCTAAAGATCTACGGTCTTGTTCCATTTGTGAGTTGGCAATTTGGTATTGCTCGAGTGTTTGCTAAAACCGTCAATAAAGCTTTAATTTTACAAATATCTTATTCGAGAATAAAACATTCATTCATAATGAGAAAAAAAGATTTAAAAAGAACTTTTTCATTGGGCAAACGTACTAAAATGAGAAAAAAAATTTCAATTTGGTTATTTCAATTTGACTGTAAAGAGTGTAAATGATATTGCTTTTGGTGGGATGGTGCACCAACCTGCTTGTTTAGAGGTTCTACTAAAGCAGTTATATACCTAAGTGATATGTATTATGCCCACCTGGTGCAGTTTCTTTTCTGCATTGAGCTTCTCCATCTGTAGTGATAACAGTTTTCTATCATTCGAGGGAGAAATGATCGTTTGATGGAAACCACTAGAATTAATACCGACTGGATTGACAGCAAATGATCTGATGCCATCTGCTGATACCATTTGTGCCAAAACAGCATCCTGTAGACCGACCTGGGGGGCACCTGTTGTTCCATATGAAAGGAAACCTGCAAAAATATAATTCTAATTTTGAATAAGCACAAATGCTCACCATAGATTTAATACAAAATTAAAATACCCCAAAGTATCAACATGACTGTTTCAAGCCGTAAAACTCCTAGTCACAAAGTAGATCACGGTGTCTGAATGCTGTTTCTTTATGAGTTTAAGTTCTTGTAAGTGTCCCCTTGCTGACCCGAACCAAGTTACATGTCTTTCAAACAGGTTGAGCATTAGCATAAATGTATGAGCACATATCTTTCCCTTATTACATCAATACCAACATCAATAATAAAGAAATATTTTGTGACTCACTCGTGGATACGGATAGCCTACCCTTTATTGATATAATCTGTGTACTCAATGTGGGCAAAGGCTATTTAGGCTGTCGTTTACCTATATGTTTAGTCCTACGATGACCTTTGGTGTTTCTGTTCTTACATACAGGTCTACCAAAAGCTTTTCTGGGGCTTGGGGCAAAAATTGAGATGGGGCACACGATGGCGTCATTAAAACTGTTATTCTTATTGCTGTTGCTATTGCTAGGAGCTTTGTTATAATATTTGGGGCCCCTTTCTGCTCGGGATCTGGGGCAATTTGCCATTAGGGAAGAGCCCTTAAACTTCTGATATTTTTTAAGGTATCTTAAAAAAGATTTCAAAATGAATAATGATACAACAACAAAATTTTGAAGGATGCAAAGAACTTTTCCACATTATACCAGATCGAAAAAACATTTTTTGATACATTTTTACAAAAAACCTTTTTTTTCCTAATGTTGAAAAAAAGGAAAACCTTCTTGGCAAGGTTAGTTTAAAAGACTGAAAACAAACCATTATCCATTTGTGCAGCTAATTGTTGATTTGAGGTTGCTAGTGACTGGCTCATTCCCTGGTTCGGCTGTTCAATCTGCGAATATGGCGTCCTATTATGAGTAATTTCCGACTGTTGGGGAGGAGCAGAATATTCGATCTGTTGATTAGCTTGTTGTTGCGTTGTATGTTGCTCATACGAAGGAGGTTGCTGAAACAGAGATGGATTTGGAAAACTTAAGGAGAACGATTCAAAGAAGCATCACGATGACATTGCCTCAGGTGTAAATGACCGGCTGCCGGTTCTAGAGGCAAATATTCTGTCGGTAAGAAGTAGATATAGAACTAGAGCTCGCACCTAATTCACCGCATGTGATCAGTCAAGGCAGATTATTGAAGCTAAAATGTCTTATTTATGGCTGCGAACAACATATATCATCAAAAGTATTTGTAACTTCAACACACTTGATCGTGTGCATATGAACTAAATTCGGTATGACAAAATGAGTAGACATTTGTTCAATTATCAATTATCTTGCATTGCTCATTTAAAGCGTGAATGAATTCACTTTCAAAGACATGTGAAATAAAGTTTAAAATGTATCACAATAATTTTTTCTGCCCCTATTTTCATTGCTGTAACTGATTTCAGAGCCCTTCTTTCCTTCTGATGTAATTTACCTTTTCTATATTCCGCCCCTTAAAATCTACTACCATGCATTCATGCACCTGGCGTTTCATACTTTCACATGCAATTTGTACTCTCTAAGTGCATCGGCTCCGGCTCTTACTGGACAAAAAAACTGATCTTGTCTCATTTTTTGGAATAATATCACCTAGCACATACTTGGCCCTTTTTCAAGTACCTCCATTAAAACCCTCAAATAGTCAAGAAAAATTTGATACACACGTTGTTCAATGAATTGAATTTGTCCTTGTTGCTTTCAATGAGAACAGCTTGGGCCGAAGTCTTCTTAGAATCTAAAGGTGTAGAATGGGAAGTTGGTTCTTTTATGCTTTCTTCTATAGAGATGTTTGAAGCCTTTTCCTTCGTTCCAGCTGCTAAACTAGAGGCCTCTTCTCTAGCAGTATTTTGTTCACTTTGCCTTCTGCTGAAGTTTGCCCTTCTTTGCCGTCCAGAACGGCCTGGAGTCTCCCAAGGGAAAAGTCTGAAAGGTCGGATAAATTAATTGATTCAATTAATACAATGAACATAAATTAATCAAATTAATGAATTAATGAGCAAGAAGTAGAAAAAATTCACAAAACCCCTCAAGGTTACAAACAGAAAATTGTGTTTTCGATTCAAACTGTATTCTGAACGCTGTTCTTGCAAACTAGAGCTGGCCAGCATGGACATCGATTTCCATATTGGTTTTTTTCTAAACTTTGAAACGCAGAAACATTCACCAAAATTTTACTTTATCAAAAGCGGTGAGTTGTCAAAATTTTTTTTGATATTGGCGAATAGACTTCCAAAGATTCAGGGCTAGCACCTCTTAACTGAACTAGGGCTAGCACCATCCACGAACTGTGTATAGCTTAAAATTACAACTTAAAGGAGCTCTAAATTTTGAAGATGGGTATGAGAAAATTGACAAGAGGAGGATTTGCCTCTGACAAATACCTGAGAAACGTGGCAGGATTGGAGATAATTTATGTAAATAAGGGCGTATACGTAAATATGTTTGATCTAAAAAGTCAGCGACCTTCTGTCTAGGATGAGGTATAGCTTTTCGTCAATAAAAGGAAATCGAACAATTATAATACTTACTCATCTTCAGGGACCTTGGCGGTATCTGTAGACTGCTTACTTGCTATCGGTGTTTCTACAAAATTTTAAAAATCCATTTCAAACAGGCGTTTTATTAAAACTACGCCGTGATGAAGTCAATCAGACAAAAACAAGGGCCTGGTAGTTTCCAGTTCGTACTCGCTAAGTCTATGTCCTGTTGACAGGGGGTGTCGAAATCAGAATGATGTAAACAAATTCAAAGGTCAAAACAGCATCCATCCACGGCAAAATCATGCAATTTGATGGGTTTCTCATAGCTAAAAAGCATTTTCATAGAGGAATTATTACTACTGGTAAATTTGGCTGTGGAATATTCATTGACCTTCAAAAAGCCTTTGAAACTGTTAACCAGAATCTGTTAACTGTTAATATTTTTCTTCATGAAATGGAAGGCCTTGGAATTAGAGAAACTGCCTTAGATTGGTTCAAGCCATATTTGAATGACCGCAAACAATATGTTTCAGTAAATAGGCATTCCTCTTCTACATGTAATATCTCATATGGTGTTCCTCAAGGATCTGTTCTTGGCCCTTTGCCATTCCTCATTTTCATAAACTAATTAGCAAACTCATCAAAGCTACTTCCTTTTTAAGTTGAACATGCTCAAGAAAAATTTTAACATATCATATCACGAATTGTCCAGGCAAAGAAGGTTGCTTTTTTATTAGGCATTTTGGATTCTGTCTTAATATAAACAGAAATCCTGATTTGTAATAAAAGGAGTTTGTTTTCTAACTTGGCCTTTTCTGAAACAAAGGAACCAGTAAAAACGTTACTCTCCCTAAATCATTTAAGATCCAATCGCATTGCCACGGGGAAAAGAGACTCGAGGGATATTTTCCAAATTACTCTAAAAATATCTTTACAATATATATTTTGTACAATTAGTTGTTATTTCCAAATTTGCAAGTGCTATTGATTAGGAGTACGCCATAGTATCTTGATATCTACTTATGACACATAGATGTTAATTTCCATTTACCTTCGGGGCATTGTCCAGCTTTTATACGATGCTGGCATATTACATAACAAGGGCTTTTGAGCAAACCTCAGACAAAGGAAATTCACCCCCCCCCCTCATAAATCTGTTTTCCTTCTCTATCTCTATAGCGGAATGTCACATTAGAATTACAAAGTTTTATGGAAGTCAAGCTTTAGCATAATTGAAATCAAAAACAACCTTTTGTAGGTTTTGGTTTGCTTTTGGTGAGAATGTTTTCGGTCATGTCTTCATCACCAAGTCCAAGCCAATCATCTTTGGACGTCTGTTTGGTAAGGGTTGGTTTGACCTGGTCTTCTATTTTGCCAGCCGGTTCAATAGTTTCAGCCCGGTTTGCCTTCTCTGCTGCTAACTTTGTAGAACCAAGTATTTCTTGTCCTTGCAAATCATCTTCCTTGGCTGGCGCAAAATCTGGAAGATGATTTCGAAAAACATGCAAGCATTGAATCGAAAATAAAATAAAGTCGGTTTCGTGTCACACGTTAGATCGAAGAATTTAAAGCACGGAAAAATCTCACATGGTGAAATTGAAACACAAATATTAACTGAGCTATGGCCTAAGCTATTACAGACCTTAAATAGTGTGAATACATTTACGATAGAAATTTGTCTACGATAAAGGTATAAAAACATTGCCCTTTTGAAGGTAACCTTCAAAGGGAATCTGACAGAGACAACTTTGATTCCAGCCCCAGAATCAAATGACTGAGTTCCCGTTGAAGTGAAGCTGTGGATAGAAAAATTTGGTTCCCTGTTCGGTTTTTGCGACTGAAGTGTCAACAGCGAAAAGAAATGCTTCCATTACCATCATTTAGTTCCAATAAATAAATCTTATTGCCATTTTCAATAGCTTACTACTGCAGCTAGGCCAGCAAAAGTGAGCAGCGTAGTCAGTTGTGACGGGAAGACCAGTAGTTCATATAAGCCAATCATTGAGGGGACAGACTGCCTTTAACATAAAAGTTCGCTGATTGAGACCATTTTTCGTAGGGTTGCTAAAATATAGCAAACCATTGACATGTGCAGCAGTTATATAACGAGAGAGTTACTAAGACACAAACTTTGCAATTGCAGACAATTGAATAAGGATTGTCGACATTTTTCCACAACGAAAAACAGGGAGAAAAGGAGGGAGGCGGGTTCCCCTAAATTAAGTCATCAAATGCTTCGAAAGAGGGAGTTTGCATGCATACTTTAATCGACGGCGGATTGCTTACGAAATGAGTAGCTTACCCTAACTAAAGTTTACCAGTTGAATATTTCGCCGATTAAAAGCTGGTTTCAACTTTGCCGGAGGTACTAAGGCAATGGCAAACCGACAAATCAACGATCCAGCAAACAGTTCCAGTCACATGTTAGTTCAACTACACTCTTTTTTTATAAGAACCAGTAAATTTAAGTTAAGGCTGACTGTTCTTAATTTTTTCGAAAATCTGAGGCTGGATTGTTCTTAATTTGTTCTTAAATTAAGAGGGTGTAACAGTGCTATTGCTAGCTTTTTCGCTCTAAGGAGGTGTTCAGGCCTCATTTGCCAACAAAGTGAGTGAGACAGCCTTAATTTGCTGACAAATTTGAATATTTACCGAAAAAGCACCCATACATCGCTAAAAATCCTCGATTTTGAAAAAAAATTCTGTTCAAAATTGCATTTTGCAAAAGCTCAGCCTCAGCTTGTTCTTAATTTGTTCTAAATTTTTGACCAGTTTTGAGGCTCGTGTTCTCATAAAATTGTTCTTATAAAAAAAAGAGTGCATGCTGAGCTGCTTCTCAAGTGGTCACGCATTTGAAAAAGGAAGTGGTACCTTGCAAATGTTCAGGAATGCTTGCGCAAAGTTGCATAACCCAAGAAACAAGGCAATATAAACGTGAAACAAGGCATGCATTTTCAAAAGCTGCTCAACAGTGGCACTTGTACTTATTTAAGCTTGGTATCATCAATCTAATGATTCTGATTTCGAATGGATTATCTGACCATGTAGAAAAACAGTACCTTGCTTATTTCTTCTAGACGCTTGTAACGATCTCCTTGGGCTCGTTTTTCCTGGGTTTGTTTTTTTACCATCACTACTTTGTTTTGCCTCCTTGTCTTTCTCAAGTCCAAGCCATTCATCTCCAGCTTTACTGTCTTGTGGGCCTGATAATTTCAAAAGTAAATAACAAAAAATCCTTTAGCAATTTCTAATCTACTCTTTAAGGTTTGAATTAATACAAAATCGGCCTAATCACATAGTTTTTTTACTGGAGAGCCCCAAAATTCATCAGATATTTTCAAACCCTTTAGCAGCAACTTAGGTTTAGAAAAGAAACGGGAACACCATATTTAAAATGCCAAATATATTCAGATTATCATGATGACAACATGAAATGGAGGCGTTAGAGCTAGATACTAACTTTTCTATCGGGCATTGGTGATAGAATTAGCAAGTAGCAGCGATACGACTTCATAAGAGACTGTATAACAAAAAAACCGTTAGAACGAAAAACCGTTAGAACGAAAAACCGTTAAGCTTCTTTAAAAACATTGTGTAGAAAATAGAAACCGTATCAAAGAGTAAAAAATGAATGCAGCTTCAAGCTCTCAATACAAAACTTATACCTGAATTCATTGGCTCGTTGCTTTTAGCAATGTTTATTTTCTTGCCTTGTTTTGTTGTTGTTTTTCTAAAATCACTAGAGCTCAATTCCAAAGATATATCTGTATTTTCATCCTCAAAGGAGGATCCAGCTGAAATGTCTCTTGACTTAGTCGCAGCTCTCTTTGCTCGCCCACCATCCGGTGCAGAAGACGGCCTACTTTCAGAAAAAGAGAAATCCAGCTCATCAAAACCCAGCTCATCTGCAAAGCGGACACTTCTTTTATTTGGCGCGGTTGTTGGTCTTGTGACACCTACAGAAGGACTGTAGCCTCCAAATTTGACTTCCTTTTCTCTTGGACTGGTGATGGGGCTTTCAGTTTCTATCGGGAGATCTGTTTCGAGCATGAGAAGGAGGACAATGTAACAGTAAAACATCAAACGTAGCTAGCAAAATTACTAAAGAAATATATAAACTGCTGGGGAATCCGCTAATTCCTGTGAAGAAGTATTGAAAAAGTGTTTGAAAAAAGAGTTATTTCCAAAAAAATCACACCCATTAGAAACTAACAAGAAGAAACTAAGGGGGCCAAAAAGAGATTGTACCCTTGATTTCGTCTGTACACAAGAAAAGTGTCATTTGTGGTACTCTTTTAAAATACTGAAAAATCTCTTTCTACTTTCAACGGATATATCTTTTAGAACGCTGTTTCTTCAATAAACAATTATTTCTATGATTTCATTATCATATTTTCCAGTAGATCCTCAACATTAGATTAAAGGGGTTCCCAATAGAGCGATTTTGCTAATCAATAGACACCCAGAGAGCACTGCCCCTCCTCTTATCAAATTCTTCCTTTTTTCTAGCTAAAATTAGAAAGCAATTAGGAATAAAGTTAAAAAAGAATGAAAACACATCGAAAAGATGCATATGCACCTGTAGACCTTATGACGAACAAATTATGAAAAGTTTCAATAACCTTTCAAATTCTTCGAATTTTTGGGAAAAAACAATGGCTTTAGCAAGATATCAAAACCAAACAATTTCCAATCGAGATAGTATAGTCTACTATTGAAAGTGATCTAAACGATATAAGGCCTTTCTATACCAACCAAAAACCTTCATTTTAGCTGCGAATTTTTAAAAACAATAATAAAAGCCTTGATGTCCTAAAACAAGGTTTGAATTTTAAAAAAGACAGTAAAAAAAGTTGTGAAGATTTCGACAGCCGGCCTTTTTGGTCATAGATAAGCAGAGTACGCACCAGAACTGTGTCCCTTTCCTCCAGGCTTTGACATCATCTGTTCCAGAAACGTTGGCTTCCTGCCCTTCTGCTCGATCCCCCTTGGTTTTCCACCGAGAAGATCGTCTAAGGCAGAAGTGGCCTTCCGTACAGGCTCCTCCTCTGCTGCTTGCTTTTCAGCTATTTTTTTTGTTGGCAAGGTGATTTCGTCACCACTCAGCCCTGCAAAAACGCTCACTTTGTCAAAACATGATTAAGTAAGAAAATAAGTGTTCCCAACAAAAGCATGACATGAAATTATTTCTTCAATCGTTTGAACAAAAAATGTTGCTTCGATTGAGCTAAATTTGGTTATAATGTATTAACAACTTAAAATTGCATGCATTTTGAACAAGTAATGGAATGCATGCATTTTCAAAACTATTTAAAAATTTTCACATACAAGCAAATTCAACTCATTGCAGTTTTTAACATTTAAAGTTAATTGAAACATATAAACACCGCAACGAGAGGTGTCCCTGTATTCCTCTGGATCTATTCAAAAATAGGTAAAGCGAAATTAAGTGCATATCGATAAATTAGTTTCTACCGCAAGCAAAAATGAGGCTCAATCAAAGGGGGGAAAATAAGCACACGATCCTTCTATCCGAGGCCAACCGCTTTCATCATACGCCTTGATTCCCATTCTGGAGCGAGCAAGAAACCATTCCCCTTGTTACACATGATCCTGTATCCGCTGATATTGACATCACACTAACGTTTGGATGCAAAAACTTAATCGAAATACAGTTATGGTTTAGTTTGAAAGTTTTGAATTCAAAAATTCACTCGCGTACGGCATTTTAGTGACTAAAAGAGAACTTCAACTGGTAAATAACTTTTAATTACCAAAACATTTTAAGGAAAAAATTAACAGACTTTACCGGGAAGGTCGTCATCGTCAGTAAATATATCGTCAGTATCCTTGACAGCAGGTTTTTTCGGTGGCTTTTTACGCATTCTAGTAGAATCGACATCAGGTTTGGTGTCTGGTGCATCAATGGGGTCTCTTGGCAAAAGGTCTCTTGGCGAAAGGCCCGCTTCTGTTGCAAAAAGGACGCTAATTTAAAGCAAAGCTTTGTATGGAACGCAAAGAAACACATAAAGGGAATGATAAATACAAATCCTCCCAAGTTTGCTTGATTGCTTATCAAATTCAACTGTTAATTGTTTATTTATAGTTTTATCAATTTCTTCCTGTCCTAAAATAAACTACGAAAAAAGACTTTGCCCAAGTCAATTAAAAAGTAAACGTCAAATAAAACAATTACACAAAGCCTTTGTATCAACTTGCAGACCCTTAAACAAAAAACAATAGCAAAAAGAAAAAAGAATCTGGACATATCACGCTACAACGATGCTTTAGGAATCACGATATATCATATAACTTCTGCCTCATGAAAATGTTTTAGATTTTACTCGGTTTCGAATCTATAAATTAGAGAAATCATGAAACACATTATAGGATTGCGCATCACTAACATTCAATAATCAAGCTATTTCAAACCTTACCCCCTGGGAAAACGTTGTTTAAAGGATGTTTAAAAAAATTCTTCATTTCACTTTCAGTTATTCCCTTACCTTGATGTTTCTCCAAAAACACATCATTCGGTTTGTCAGCGACGGGGTTCACCTTCTTCTTTTTGGATCCTTTTCTGCTGTGCTTTTGCTGTGTTCCCGAGTTGGATCTAGAACGAGGAGTGATTTCTGATTCGCTTTGAGTTCCAACTGACGGATCATCCCAGCTGTTCAATCGCCTCATCATTTTATCACCCCCACTGCCAGAACGTGGACGAGGATCAGTTGCAAGGAAGGGATCTTCTTTGTCGAAACTTGATGCTAATTAAAAAAAGGATACCAAAAAGATTCAACGTAAAATGCGTTGCTTTAGGGTATATTGAACGTTGCTCAATGAAATGATTAATTCGTTTGGGTTTTTGCCCTAGCGATAAAGAACATTAATAAGCAGAAAGTAGAGTATCTTAAGCGCTGCTCAATAAAAAGTTCAACATCATTGAAAGCCTAATTTCCACATTAACAGATGGTAAGCTTTACAAATTACTGCAAAAGTATCTATGATACGTATTTATCTGTTCCTTGCGCTTTGGGATCGTACCCTCAGTTTTGGGATGTGGTTCTACTTTATTGTTTAGACATATCTATTTTAGAAGGCCTGTCAAAGTTGATTAAAAAAGATGTGGAAAAAAGGTATAGAGATCGAGGGAAATAAATACGTTTTCATTCTAAACACTCACATCTGACTGGTGATGTGTCTGGAGCACGTGAGTTTGAGGCTCCTAGATTAGGATCAACCTTTGCCTTGCTAGATGTCTGGGACAGCTTTCTCGATAGATCAGGCTTCTTGGATTTCACTTTGACATTGTCTTCTTCATCTGAGAGGCCCAGGCCAGCCAAAGGATCATCTTCGTCAAAGTCTGAAACAAAATTCTTTTCAATTTGTCTTTTTCACTCGCCTTTGCATGTCAAAGAAAATGGAGAACCTGTTGCTTTTGAAATGATATTGATTGTGTTTCCCTAGATATAAAATTTAGGCTTGTTGTATCTGTAAAGTGTAAAAATGAAACTTTTCTAAATTTACAAACAAGAAATTAACGCTTTCAAAGTTAGATGCATGATTATTTGAAACAGCTTACGGCCATCTTGAAGAAAATTTACAATAAACTTGACAGTATTATTCAAAACTATGCATATGGCAACAGGGTTTAGGAGATGCTGCTGATCAAATGTATCGCAAAGCCTAAGAAGAAAAATTTGGACAGAAGTTTGATTGTCACGTTTATAAAAAGCAGCTCAATGACACTACAATAGCTTTAAAGGGAAAGACACTAAATAAACTTTCAAGATATTGGAATTATGTTTCATTATACCGGCTTGTGCATGAAATACAGCTCTTTGTTCGGTTAACAGAGCTTTGAGACACATTAGGCAATAAAAAAAATTCTTGCATCTGTCCATTTGAAACGCCATTATGACGTATGATGCATTTTCAGCTTTACTGTATTTAATCGACTACATGCTTACGTTCATTTTAAAAAAGGTTTTGGACCAGAAATTTATTTCTCAATATTCCCTTTCAAAGTGAAATGTGTGTTTCTCATACATGCTTTCAATTAAAACCACTCTTGTCGTCACTGATAAAGATCTTTTCATGAGCAAAGGCCTAAATTCGAAAAACTCAAGGGTTAAAAACGTATCACTTTCTGGTTCCACAGAAGGCCTAACCATAAAAAGATCAGCTGTTACGGCTGTGTAAACGGCTTTTAAATCCGGCGTTAATTGGAATTTCTCGTTTATTTTGGAAAATCCTTACTTTACACCGGTGTCTATAGGGATTCGACGTTAACACGTAATCAAAGTATGCTCGAACCAAAAAAATACTACAGCGAATTACCTGCAAATTCGTTCGTTTTCTTCTTTTGCTTTGAAGAAAACAGGGATACACTTCCTAAAAAAACCAAAAAGCTCAAAAATAATAAAAAAGTTGCATTGATTAATGTTTTACGCCTGCTGACTAGATGATAGAAATTAAGGCATTACTTGATCGCATATGCCATACTAATGGGTCGAGCAGATTAGTTTTGGGAAAGTATTGCACCAGTAAAGTTATGGGTCGTTACAACATCGAATAGTAACAGCATTAGGTCGTAACAGCGCAACGTCGTTACGACATTGAATCGTAACAGCACTGGATCATAACAGCGTAAGGTCGTAACAGTCTGGCGTCGCAAAACAATTTTTAGGTACAGCTTTGGGGCTGTAGCATATAGTCGTAACAATATCAGGTCGTAACAGCGCAGGATCGTAAAAACCCTTGGGTCTAAGCAGCTCAGGAAACAACTTATAAAATTAAAAAATGACTGTATGTTGAAAATTAAAACCTTTTATCATCTGCCATTTACCGAAGATTACATTTATCTGACATGAATCCCCCAAAAGCACAAGAAGCTTTGACAGCAGGCCATATTGCAAGGCATCCTAACTGAATCCTTAAACAACCCTTAAAACCATGCACACAGATCTGTAAAATTATATCAGCACAATAACAAGCAAACATGAACTGCATTTGTCAACACTGGAATGAACAGATGGAAGAACGCCAAATATCAAACCTTTGTTTTTCTGGTTGCTCTTCTTTCCACCAAAAGACCCAAAAAGGTCAGATTCTAAGTCGTCCATGTCCTGCAGAATCAATTAAAATTACGTCACTATTCAAATGTTCACCGTGGAATAAAGCTAGACTTGCTTGCAATCTTTTTAAAAAAATATTAGAGAAGAAGACATCTCTCTTCTTTCTATCATAGCCCATTATACAATGCTTGCTCAAAATAAACCATGTATTTACTTACAAAAAAGCAGCTTGAGCTTTGAAGTAACTAAAAACTGAGAATCCCAATTTGCAGCAACAACAAGTTACAGAGCACAAATCGGGAAACAGAAGGCTGGATCACTTTCCGAGTATCAAGTGACACTTGAATGCCACTTGAGCATGGTGCAGTCATGGCGATCAGCATCATGGTAGAAACATTCCCTGCCTTTGGTAAATTTGAGCAAATACATGTCAAACAAAAACATTATCTTCGCAGCATCCTTAACTAGGTCTCTTTGGTTAACTAGCCAATTTGCAATCATGCTGCCAGGCCACCGTTTATTTGAGACAATGTTTCACAGCTTCATTTTTATCTAATTGATCTTGATTAAATCCCATTATAAATCCGTTTCAATAATTTAAAAATAAAGTTCTTCTAGCTTCTTAAACGCCAATGTTTTCATAATGACTTACTGCCAGATCTTTTGCAACTTGTGCTGCATCTTCTGGGTTCACATCGACATCCTTGGAATAAAAATCACTTTGCAATCATGATAGAAATAAAGTCAAAAGCTTGCTATGGCTTAAAAAGATGCAAAGAAAACTCGACTGCTTAGAAACTTTTGAACCCCATAAGTACATCTTATATCTTCTAAATGAAAGCGAACATAAAGGCCACTAAAACAATAAACTTTATTCCCACAAACGAGACTTTTCCGATCTCTCCTTTTCTGTGACAGAAAAAACCATGCTAAAGAAAAAGCTAGGGACAAGAACCCTAGCGTTGCCCATTTTTCGCGAGCAATTCGTATCGCGAGCAAAGCTAGCGTTGCCCATTTTTCTTCACTTCAGTCGAAGAGTTTAGTGCTCCTGTTCAAACTCCAAATAAAACTGTTCCATCTGGGAACTACTTTGCGACCATCAACTTAGAAAGGAGAGGGGGGGGGGTGCAAATCATACCTCTTCTGAAGTTTGTTAGATAGCAACTCATGAGATGATTTACTTGTCAATCATTTAGCTGCATATTGAGGTTTCATGGCACCTTCGTCTTTTATGAAGGACAGGTTTTTTCAAAGTTGCAAGCTGTAGACATAGAAATCTTCCAAAAGACAAAAAAATTTAACAATAATTACTTCTTCATTCCCATCTTCTATAACATCATGACCAGCAATCGCTGACAAACTACTGTAGAAATCCTTTGATGAAGAGCTTTGAAAGAAAAGAGAAAGTTCAAATAATTTTTTATCTTTCGAGCATGACCATTTGAAGCCATTCACTTTTGAAACTTGATTTACCACAATAAATAAAGTCAAATGAAAAAGATGTTAAGACAAAGGGCTAAACAGGAAATAGAATCATACGTAGCTGTTAGAAGAGTCTTCTTTGGACTAGACGATGCACCTGATTTCTAAAATTGAAGATAAGGCTGTCTGTAAAAGATCAAGCATTTTTGTAAGAAAGGAATTACAGTAGAGTCTTTTAGAAAGGCAACCTTCATGTTATTTGCAATATGTGGTTGAAAGAGATAAGGGTGCCAAAGTCATTGTTAGAAATATTTGGGTAAAATTGCCTCCAATTTTGCTTAAGCATTTTAGTGCCCGTTTTTGCACAAGAATGCCTGCATTCTAAGTACCCGCATTTAAGTTCCCGCATTCTTATATATTGCAGAAGAATCAAGTGGCTTGGCCTAAATTTGATAAGTTAGCACACTAAGAAAGTAACAAAACAATATAATTAATACTTACTTTGGCTCCTGAAGTGCTTTTTGAGGCATGCTTTTGATGAGATATTGCAGAGACATCTAGCAAAAAAAGAAAATTTTTACAAAAGGAATAACAGTATTCTCAGGAAGCCTATTTGGATTTTTATTTGTAAATAGAGTATCAAATTTGATATTTTGATAAATAGCTCAGTATGTAAATATCCTTAATATTTATAAATGTTGGGCATTTCAATAGAAATGTTATTTGTCCAGGCGCGGATCCAGACCGGTTGAACAGGTTTCAAAAAAACGGTCAAATTCTGAGAACTATTTTTCTCTGTAAATCTCGAATTTTATCTAGAATTTTAATTGCAACAATTGCTGCATCTCTCCCCGACTGACTACAGTTTTTACCTACCAAATTGAACTCTCAAACAACAGCACTCCCTTGTTGGAAAGATTCCGACAGAGTTCCCAGCTTCCTAATTCATCTGTTATCCAAAAGTACCCGAGGAATTCAAAATCGGAGAAATCAGTCGCCACTCACAGTGAAGATTTAGAGTATGCTATCTATGCGCCAATATTGAAACCGGTGGTTATTGTTTTCTGGAAACCTGTGAAAACCGGTGACCATATGTTTCCCTTATGCGAAAAAAACCGGTGACTAAAAAGCATATTCGATACCGCTTTGACACAAAATGTTACAAAATGGAATAAAGATGCAAATTATAATCTGACGTCTTGTATTGTGTGATTTTGTCAGAGATTTTCAGAAAATGTTTTTGAACGTCTTTTCTATATCATTTTTTAAAAAGAGATATGAAATAAAAGGAGAACAAACTGTTAATATACTGCTTGATTTTATTTGATCTATTCACTAACTTATTGGGGTATAATTTATCTAATTGTCTATTATTTGCACCATTTCAGTAGATAGCTTTTGCATTATTGCAATGTTTGCATTGTAGATGTGTTAACATGGCCTACTGAAAATAATCGAGACAAAGTAGATGCACATTTTTATTCAGGAATTAAAATTTTCTCAATCAATACAACAGCTTCTTGTTATTCACATCGATGTGCATTTTGAACCAAAGGTCATCCTTCCTTTCTTACCTCAACGTCTGTAACTAACGTTTTAGCATGACTCCGCCCCTCCCAATTTTGTCTTAATAATCAAGAAGCAGTTTTTTGAAGATCATCAAATTTTCTGTTTTGAGGGTTATAGTAATTTGTTAAATTTTAGTCTGGGAGATGAATTTTTAGCCATTCTAGAAGGCTGAATTTCAAAAATTTTCTTTCGCGCGAGACCCAACCAATGGTGGGTCCTCCTATATCACTAAACTTGATCTTCAGCTCCCCTCCCAGGTTCATTTTCAGCTCCCCCCACAGCCCCCATCTCTGAGAAGAGGATCAAATGGACAGAGTAAATTGTGGCAATTTAGATAAAGTGTGAGCAAATTAATCACATTTTACTAACCTCAATAGCAACTTTTGGCAATATTTATAGACCAACAACACAGAACCGTAACCGGGAAAAACACCCCGAAACCGGTCAAAATTTTGGCTGGATCCGCGCCTGTTGTCTCTAACTTCATTGGTTGAGCACATATCACATTTATGCAAATAATGATCAATAATTTTCCATTTCACTACTTTAACTGGTAGTTTATAATTTGTTGTTCGTAACTAGTAATTAGGGGGTAAAATTTGTACTTGTGAGAGGTATGAGGGTAAAATTTTTAAATAGCTTTCTATTCCAAATTATTTTCTTATGCGCATCAAAATCCTTATTTGAAACCTGCATTTTGCAATTCCATTGTTGAAGGCACTGTTCTTTTCAAGTATCTTTTATTATTGCCAAATTAAATGCACTATATGCAAAGTGTGTATCCCATATAAAGGAGGAACCTAAATGCTCAATGAATTTTTTGCAGAAACAATCCATCAGATTTTCTCCCAATTTTCATAAAACAAGTTGTACAGTTTAAAAGCCATCTTTTCTTGCTTTCTGGTAATTATTCCCCCCCCCCCCAATATTCAACTAATTTTGACTTAATTGTGAAAGAAATTGGTGATTGTTTAAGTTTGCCATAGATCACATATTTTGGTGTGGATTTTCAAACATTCATGATCAATTTAAAGAATTGAAGCTCAAGCTGGTCAAGTATGGCTGTATTTTCAAAACCCCTCACTTCTATAGCGAGTTAAGAAAGTTTAGTTGTAAATCTATAGGCAAACTAAATTATCTTGCTCTGGAAATTATATAACGCATAGCCTTGTTTGATTTGTTTTTAATTAATTCAATTGGTTATAAATTTTCTGCTACTTTTAAAATTGATGCCAAGATACTTGAATTCACTTCCCAAATCGATGGCTTCTACATTATATTTAGAATTAAGCCTCCTACCATTTTTAGAGAACACCATAACCCAAGTTTTACCTACATTCACTTTTGATTTCCATAAACAGCTATATCGTGACAGTATATCCTAGGATTTTTGTACATTTTCTGGGGACTGATCGAATAAGGACTAAACAACCAACCAACTGGCTGACTGAATTAGCTATTGGCTGACAGAAAAATGCAATGATTACTTAAAATCAACATACCATCATCACCTCCAAGAAGATCATCTATAGCCTTATTCAATGAAGCATGACTTCTTCCTGGTTCAAAAAATATTTACACAATAAACATATTTGAAGAATCAGAGTAAAGAATAACATTATTTAGGATTAAGCTTCTTGGCGCATTCTCCATATTTCAGATTCATTATATTTCTCACTCCCAGCCATGAAACATAAGCAGGTTGAGAAAGAAAATTAACACATTGGCAAACTAATTTGCAGTTGGGAGACAGGTGGCAAAATAATTACAATTTGGAGACAGGCAGTTGCTGCCCCTGAGTTTTTTTGCTGACTCAAAACAAAAAAGAGCAGCATTTAATGTCTCTTATCATTAATTTTTCCAACTGCCATTCAATAACCTAAAGATTAATCTTGGATGAAAAAATAATATTGTATGCCAGACAAAGAAAACTGACTAATAGAGAAAACTGTCGTCTCTATGAGTCTTTACTTATCCTTTTTCATGTACGTTGCTTCTAGTTTTACATATGCCAAATTTTACGAATGTAAAAACATTTTTTATTGGTTTGCACATCGAATGCCGAAAAAAACCTATATGTACCCCCAAAGTTTATCGGGCCTTTGGGCATAAAATGCACCCTGGTTTGGAACTCTACAGAGCAAAACCTGTGATCCAACCTCCAAGTCGATAGCATTAAAATTAAATAAGTCACTTCCAGTCGAAGGCTTAAAACTTTAGAGAACAGCATCAAATACTTCCAAAAAAGAAACATGGCAAAAGAAACAAGTTAAACTGAGCAATTGTCTTTTCACTGAAACATGGATGATCTGACTTCCTAACTGCATGCAATCTGCAATAATTGCAAACTTGTCTCGTCATTTTAATAGGAAATATAATCTCCCTGCTTCTTATGCAGATTCCGATTTATGAAGGTTGCTGAATGCCGATAGCGTTTCGCTCTTCTATGTTTATTCAGTAGACGAAGTTTGTCAATATGACGATATAGATACGCATTAGGGTTTTAACTCATATTTTTACCTTTCCTCATGATCTGCGGTCTTCATTAAGTGAAAACATTCACATTGCAGTAAACTCAAAGCGTGTTAGCTCTAACTTTTCTCCGTACATATACAGTACCTACACTTTGATTGGAATCACGGACAAGCGCCATTTTTCAAACAAGGTCAACAACCACTGTTACCAACCAGTCTCGTTTTCGCGTTCCATCTCAACATAATCATAATCATGTATGTAAAAACATCTTATCAATGCAAAAAATAAAAAACACGAAGAGGAGAGAAGATCGACTGCAGATTATAAGCAAAAAAATATAGCAAGTATCAAAAATTAGGTTAATCTCAGCTGACGCCAAAAATCAAAGGTTTGCGGTTTAAGAAAAAGATGACATTCTGTTCGGAGCGCTGGAAAACAGGTGGCGCCAGAAATCTTCCGACAGAGGGGTTTGAGCTTCCGACAGGGGGGCTAAAATGACCAAAATAGGCAGTTTTCATACGTTATTTTATCAAATTTGCTTCGAGAATAACCTAAAATTTCCTCCGATAGGGGGGCTGGATGCTTCCGACGGAGGGGCTGTAACCCCCTAGCCCTCCCCTGGTGCCACCACTGCTGAAAAAGTATCTGAGACAATTTCAACTTCTTTCAGGCTTAGTAAAAAACCATCTATCGATTGAACTTTGAATTATATTTTTATAAAGTTTTCAAAAATTCATTTAAAAAAGCCGAAAGCCTTTTTCAGAGAACTCACATTTTTCATCTATGCTGAGAAATTTCTATACTGCTTGGAATTGTCTGCTTTCTATGAAAATTGGAACAAAAAAGGCTGTGCTTGTAAATTTGATTGAAACATTTGATATGAGTCCAAAAGTTAAAAATTGATTTAAAGTTATTAATGAAAAATCGGAGGATAGTTTGCCTGTGAATCATCAGGGCGAGAAAAATAAATCATTCTACCACCCAACCCACCAACATCGTCACTATCATTTTCGTCATAATCATAATTCAACCAGTGCTCATCATAATCAAGACCATAAAAGCATTCATTGTTACAATAACAATCACTAGAATCATCTCTTTACAATAAGTTATCTAAAAAACATCGAAAATGAAACCACTGTGCTTTAAAGAAGTAATCATCATTGGCAAGATTTGTGATGTGACGTATACCAAAAAAGAAGCATTGAGACATTGATAGTTATTCCCAAATGACTCCTTTGCTTCCCTTTTCACATACATCACAGCTAAAAAAGATGAATAATTTTTATCATTTCAATAGTTAGAATTCAACCACTGAACTGGATATATGCATGGCTTAAAACGTTATTTTCTTTCTTGACCGTAAAACTTCGAATGAATCTTTCTCGAATATGTCCCACTCTGGAAGTAAAATTTTTGGATGAGCCCCCATCTTCGATTAAGCCACCACCCTAACATGCCAATTTTGCATTATAATAAGCTCCCATGGGGGCTTAATCTAGATACAACAAAAAGATGTACAAACAAATGAAAAAGATAAAAAACGAGACATTGAAGGAAAGACAACAAAAATTTGAAAATTTGGGACTAAAATATCTTTTTTGCTTTAATTTCTTCTCTTTTGTGAAATCTTAGAAAATTATAGAATAAAATTACAAATGAAATGATCTTGAAAATCTCGAACAAGCCACAAAACGAGCTATTTGTATGAAAAATAGTAGATTATCTTTATCAGCCCTCCTCCCCCCTCGAATAAGCTCCCCCTTCAATTAGTCCCCCGGTATAAGGTGTAGATACATAACAGTTTGATTTCATAAACATACGTTTGTTTGGTAACTGAAGAGAAAAATGTTCAGTTGCAATACAACAAAGAGTATGTACCTGCCTTTTTAAAATTATAAGGGGCATGTTATTGCATGATCTTTCGCCCCTAACCAAACTTCCGTAAAGATGCATTTGAAATGCTCAAGTGGAAATTTTTACTAGCACAGCTTATATAAAGCAAGTGTTGAATTTCATTGAAATCCAAATTGTAAGATCAAGTAAAAGTGGGGAAATTTTTTGGATGGGGAAAAATGGGAAAAAACATCCGTCATTTTTTGCAAAGATTCTGTGTCCCAAAATTGTTGATAGATGCCGCTGATCAGAAAAACCAAGATGTGAATAGATCCTTTTTACAAGGTATCAGGTGAAGAATTCTGCAAATCTGTAAACTTTACAAAGGTACCGTAATCAGCGTATCATTTTCTATACCGTAATCAGCGTATCATGTCTGGCAAGTGTGGAAAATTCTGTCGTCTTGCCACGAAAAAGCCCGAATTTCTTAACATGCACCAAATTTTGTTAATTTTCTGTTGTTTCCCAAACTTCATGACCGCCACCTTATGTGAGTCGAATAATAGTCTTGTCCCAACTCACGTGGAGACGAGATCATTATTCACAATATTCCTCGCGAAGCTAAAATAGCCATGAGACAATGTATCACTGGAATAATCTGATAAACATAAATGAAATATAAATACTATCAAACTTTGTTTTCAACAAAATAAAATTATGTTGCATTATCCTCTTTCAGATACAGCGATGTACAAAAAACTCGATTTTTTTTTAATTATATAAAACATCAGAAATTATTCAATCACTTCATTTGACCAGCTATACATGTTTTTGTTGAGAGGCTCTCAAAAAGCAAGTTGTAAGCTCTTTATTCATCGGTCTGTAGGTGTGGGCTCAGGAACACTCTCTTGGTCTTCCAAAGTCTGATTGCCATGGACCTAAGAACAAGAAATGAAAGTTCCATGAACAAGAATAGGAAAAACACGATGTATCATTTAACACGGACAGGTTGCTTTCCAACAGAATGTGGTAGCAAAACTCCCTAAAAAATTTGCAGAAAAAGTAAAAAAAATATCGATCATTTAGACCAAACAATCAATTTTTTTTAGTTTTGGAAAACTTAACACAAACTTTTAAACCATTGGATTTATAGGAGTCTGCTGTTGAGAAACAAGATAAAGGAAACATTAATGCTCAATCAACCAATTCCATTTTGGAGCCTCCTGAGCTTGGGTCTTCTAGTAAAACTTTGAATCAGGGGTGTCCAAAGTTTTATTAGTGAGGGCCAAATGCAAAAAATAAACCAAGGGCCAGGCCACACATTACAGATAACATATTGACAAATCTGGTAATTGAGACACGAAGGACTTAACATGGATGGCTATTCGATGCCTGGTTCTTAGTCAGATTAAAGAGATAAAATGTTTGTTCCCAAATGGCTGAGCCAAAAAGGCTCAATATTGCTTTTGAGTGGCATCTTGTCACTCAGAAATTTTTCATGGTGTCTTAGGAACAGTGGTGGTGTCAGAAATTATTTGATGATGCAGCTTGACCATTTGACAAGGGGGGTGGGGGTGGCTAAGTTGGCAATCAGAAAGAGAACTTGAAAATTCAATAAGTCACAAAACAAATCGTATATATACAATCCAATCTTTTCAGAGGTTTTTAGGCATTTGTAATGTGTCAAAATTTTGGGGGTCCTATTCGAAGCAAAATTCTGTGAGAAAATCCTAAATCGCTGCTACTAGTTGGCAAGGCCCCAGAAGTATAGTTTCTTCTAGTAACTACAAATAACCAAATTTCCTTCATTAAATATTGCACAGTTTTACAATAAACCTGCAAACATGGGCTAAGGTACTGGTGTTGGCAGAAATTGCCCATTAGATTATTTGTATTTGTAATTAAGAACATATGTACTTAGCTTTTTCTCCCTCTATGTTATGGCGCTGGGGTAGCTGTAATTAAGTAAGTATCTGTAATTAAGAACATGTACTTAGCTTTTTCTCCCTCTATGTTATGGTGCCAGGGTAGCTGTAATTAAGTAAGTATTTGTAATTAAGAACATGTGTACTTAGCTTTTTCTCCCTCTATATTATGGCACCGAGGTAGCCATAATTGATGCTCCCGGCGCTTGAGTAAAGGTATTTTAGTAACTTGTTACGTAACTTTTTGGAATGTATAAAAAAAATTATTCTTTCAATATTTGTCCATCACTTAAAATACTGCCACTTGCAAACATTTGTTCGTTTCAACGAAATTTCCCTGATAAAATGCGCAAACTTGGTTCTTCTCAAATTAAAAAATACAATTATAAGATTTGAATTCTGGTTGGAAGTGGAAATTGTTTCATATAATTTCCAATATTAAACCATTTGATTTGCAGCCTGCATCAGAAGTGACAAATTTTTCAAATACGATACTAAGACTGTCAATTTGTCTAATGTATTTAATTGCTTTTGCTTACATTACTAGGATAAGCATTTAGCTATATGTGCAAATAATACAACTATCACATTACTAGGACTCTGTACTCTACGGACTCTACTAAATGCTTGTAGGGTCTATTACAAGTAGATATTGCAATGTGTCTACATTACACAAACCCAGGTGGATTACTGCATTTTGCGCACACAGGTATGGCACCAGCTGTTATTTGCCTTGTAGGCTCCTATTCAGGATATTTAGATGATACTGTTATAATATGTCGAATCTATTGTATTAATTCTTTATTTGTGGGCCATATTTCTTTGTAGGCCAACTGTATATACAGATCTTGTTGCGAGCCAATTAAAACTGGACTGCAAGCTGCAGCTGGCTTGCAGGCCATAGTTTGGGCACCCCTGCTTTAAATAGAACGAAGCCAAAAATACTCTATAAAGGTATGAAATTTTCACAGGCAGTGGTGTCACCAGCTTAAAAAAATTGGGATGGACAAAACAAATTTTCTTGGCCACACCCTTCAGACTCTTGGAAAATCCTTTTTTAAGCATTGTTTATCTATTTTGAAATTTTTGGACAAGCTTCTTTCTTAAGCAGCATTTTTGCCAGATCTAATCATCCCAACTCCCTCCCCCCCAAAGGTTTTTCAATAGATTTCAAGAAATTAGACAATTGACTTCTGGGACAACTGGGGTAGACATGTCCACCCCAGTCCAAACTGTGGCCATGCCACATTTCCCAAGTGCCTTCAGTGTTCTTCGATTTTGCCCCCTTCCATGATTCTTCTGAACTAGTTATACACCTCTCTAGCAATATCTTTTGGTAGAAGCACAGATTGCAAATACAAATACAAAAGATGTTAAATTACCACTTGTGCAATCTGGATCCATTTCATAGCTCTGAATATGTTGTCATTTTCTGTAGGCTTGTTGTCAAGGTTCCAATAAAGAAATTCATCAAATCTTGATTTTGGTATGAGCGTTCTTTCCTAAAAAATAAAGGAAAAGCAATCAAAAAGTTTATCTTAAACCAGGTTCTTCTGCCTCAATAGCTTTTGATAAATTGCCAATTTGACAGCTTAAATGCCTAAATCCCTATGGGTGCCACTTTTGCTCTTAAATGGTCTTTTAAAAAATTTATGTAATCATTAATGAAACATAATCTATTTTTACAAGTCAAACACTTTGAGCAAGATTTTGAAACATAAATTGATCAAGTTTTTTGTCCTTTTCCAAAGAAATCCATTGTCACATTGTTGTCTAGTCAGTGTGATTCCATCAACTGCAAAAGACCAGATGTGTCAGACGAGACTGCAAAATAAAATCTTTCTGAAAGTTGTCCTGGAAAACTTTCTAACCTCTTCATCTGAATATGGCTTTCTTTCTTCTTTAAAAACAATCCCTACAAACCAAAAAAAATTCTAATTTCATAGCCAAGTTAACCAACAGAGGACAGCACATAAAGGTATCTTAGAAAAGTAACAAAAACGGACCAACTGATTTGTTGTAGCTGTAACCATGGGCATGGCTTTCAGGAGTTGTAGGGTGTGTAATGCCCCAATTTGTCATGAGTTGTTTAGGAAATCTTCATTTGGTCCACATTGCCTTTTCTTGTTGGCAAAATTACATATTAGTGAATGTCCAAAAATTACCTGTTGGTTAGGTGTTTTTTCAATTTATGTGTTTGTCTGCAAATTTAACTATTGATAACCCTCAAGCCTCCTCCTTCCCAATTTGGAAAGTCAAATTATGCCAATGATTGTAGGTATTATGATTGTTAAATAAATAGTATTGCCAATAATGTTGGCTATTTTGGTCATTTAACAAAATCCAAAAGAATTGTTAAAGCTGTCTCCTCATTAACATTCAAGGTACTCAAAGAAATATGCTTTAAAATCAATATGTTCTATTCAAAAGGGGTTTTCCGAGCCCTACCATGCTCAATCTTAAGAATAAATAACAGCAAACAAAGAATTTTGAACTATTCAAGGATGAAAAGAAACAAAAAGGAAAGGCACCTAATTCATATTCTCTTGAAATTATAATACAAAATATCATAGCAACTAAAAATAGGCATGAACAATATGTAAAAACTTTGGACACAGGGGCAGGAAATAAAGCTGCCTTTGTATGGTCTGATTTTTACAGTCACAGCGAGTCACAGTGTCCTCTCTTAAGAACTTTTTGGCAACTTGTAAATCAAACCAAAAGCTGCTGTCCAAAGTTACAAATACCCCCTACATCCCTGTGGAGATGATACCCCCTACATCCCTGTGGTAATGTAAACAACCAGTCTGATTGGCTCAAAACATTTTTCATCCTTGTTTATTGCAGGTGCAAGATCCTGCATACATTTATGTCATCCAGAGAATTTTGAATAGATTCAGTGAAATGGTTGTTTTTGTAGTAGTGATGATTGAATGAAGACAATAGTTTACTAAACTATAATCTTTTCCCCTTTACCTTATAGTTAAAACTGGAATTGCATAAATGGGTGTTTCCATCATTTTATATGCATCTGAAGGGTGTATGTTCATAGGCAATAATTATCTGACATCCCCCTCCCCAATTATTGCCTCTAAAACCCTTACCTGCATCCCTGTAAGCATCAGGAGCACCATTTGAACAATAATATCATGTGATATAAAATAATATATATCCAAAAAATTAATTAGTCATACCTTCATAATTCTCTGGAACATCAATCAATTTCCCCTTCAGTGGCCTTCCTCGAAATGATGCCTCCTTTACTTTTGCATCTGAAGGTACAAACAGAGTACACAGGGCCGGTTATATGGGGGTGGTGTGAGGGGTGTAACACCCCCCCCAAGAATAGACATTTGTGTTTTAGTCGGTAAAATTGGGATTTTGACTGGTAGATTATCTTTTTTAAATTTTCAGACAAAAAATTGTCCTTCATGTAATTTTAAACACATTCAAAGATATGAAAAAGTTCTACAGTTCAGTTTTTCTATTGATCCGGAAGTGGATTTTCAGGAACATCACAGAAGAAGATTAATCCCAAGAAATTTGACAAAAACAGAGACAATTTTAGTCTGGGAGATGCATTTTTAGCCATTCTAAAAGGCTTAATTTCAAAAAATCTTTTTCGCGTTGGACCCAACCATGTTGGGTCCTCCTATCTCATTCTTAGCCCCCAGGCTCAATTTTGTGGTCCCGTCTCTGAGATTGCAAAGCACATTTTTCACAGAACTTATCTGTTATCAAGAAGTGGGTCCAGTTGAAGAACAGAGAGTTCGATTCAGTGTTTCTAAAGGTTGAATAAACTACGTGACCACAAAAGCTTATTTTAGAACTTTTATAAAACTAATAGTTTTACAGTTGAAGTTGCTTTGTAATAGCTAAATAATAAAAATTTACAATGCTAAAATATTCTGATTTTATTAACGTAGTGTAATGCTGTCAAAATGTACGTACTCGGTAGATAAAAACTCCCCCCCCCCCCCTAAAAAATTCCTGAAACTGGGCCTGAGAGTACAATAAATATGTTGTATGGATTCAAGTCACAGTAAGAGCTGGACTGAAGGTGGGTTTAATTCATCTCAGAAAAAAGGATTTTCGGTACTGGAAAGACATGATTGGTATATGAACCATGTGTGTTTGGTTGATTAGGGACAGGGATTTCGACGCAAATTGTAAGGGGAAGGGCCAGACTACAGACTCACGATGAAAGATATTGCATCGAAACTATTTGCAAAAAGTTGCACCACCATGTGGTTGCATTTACACAAATATTTTTTAAGTTTTAGTTGCCAAACGCATTCGATCTGATGATTCCTGACAAAGGTTTTATAATCAACTATTAATTCTTACCGCTTTCCCCGCTTAAACTCTCATTTACGTCTCTAATTGTGGATTCAAAATATTCTTTAATGCTTGCTTCACCAGAATACTTCACTTTACATGGAATTAAGTGCATCCTGCCTTTGCTGCAATCTCCGTTCGGCTGTATGGGTGAAATACGAATGGCCGCCATTTTTAGTGGCGGGAAAGCAGATCGCGCCAAATTGAATTGAATCATGAGAGATTTTGGATTCCGCTAAAAAAGCTAAAACGAACCTTTGATTGGAGAGAAACAGAAGATAAGATTTCGTTTCGTGCTGATCTTATCTTATCAATTTGTTAAGCAGCTGGGAAGGATCCATGTGTTCAGTTTTTAAGCGTGGAGGGGAGACTGTTATGCTCGAGCTTGTTAGGCTAGGCCAGGGCCGGCGAAACCGGGGGGCCGGGGAGGGCCATGCCCCCCCACTTCTCTTGACACGATGGGCCCTGCTATTAACGTTCAAACCATTTCGTCCTATAAAAAGCAATTCAATATTGGTTGAAATCCAGACTTCCTCATGAAGATAATGACCTCTCTTCAAACCCCTTCCAAGCGCGTTATTGCTTTGCATTTCGTTTTTGAGAAAACATTGAAAACATATTGAATGGTCTTTTAATTTTTCATCTCAGGCAGGAATGTTTTTGCGTTGTTGGTAAATCTCGACTCGGTGTTCTTATAAAATTTTTTTTTTAAATATAGTGTAATAGATTCTCTTAGATTCTGTTCAAAAAAAGTTTTAAATCATAATCAAAACGTTAAATGAATAAAGCTTGGACGAAATTCGGTCATTACTGTGCAATGTTGGTTATTGAGGGGGTTCATAGTAAACAGGTTCTACTGGCAGGGCCTCCGACGAAGGGGGACCGGGGGGCCATGGCCCTCCCCTTTTATGCAAAACGAATGAACTTTTCACAAAATGTTTTGTTGTGGGTGTTTAATTTCCCCTTGCCCCCCCACTTTCTAACCCGTGTCGGAGCCCATTACTGGGACCCTTGCGGAACCTTTTTGATCAATTTTTTCTACAAGAAGCTAATATTTCGTGTATTTCAGCAAATCTTTTAAAAAGTACTTGTTAAGGTAATAAACATACTAGTAATGACTAAGCTTGGCTCATCTCTGCAACAGGTCACAACAATAAAAAGCAACAAAGAATATTGATAATTTCTCTAAATTCTCTCCTCTAGAAAAATTTATATATATATATAATAGTAATTATCATATTGCTGCCTAGAATGCTAAACTTATCGGAGCGATTAGATTGACTAAAATAAACAGACTATTTTGACACAACTCCGACTTTCATGTGTGAACAATCATCAGGTGTACAAAAGAACGCAACTATGTATATATTGTAAACTCCTCTTCATTCTCTAAATTTTGACGGTCAGACCTACAAGTTACACTTTATTGAAAAGATGGTCCAAGCAAACTTCAATGATATTCGATACCATATATCCTTGACTCTATTCTAAATTATTTAATTACTTGATTTACTACAGTGGCGGAAATTACTACGATTTGCCTGAATTTTGTTTTCTACAGTGGAAGTGCATGACACACTTCAGGGTAAATTTTAAATTCGTTTAAAATTCTCGATAATACTAATGATATTCAATGAAAAAAATGTTAATGGAAAATTTATTTTTGTCTGAACCTCCCCCCCCCCCAAAAAAAACCATTTGTCTCTGCGTTCCTATCGAAAAACCGTAGGCTTTTAACACCCCCCCCCCTCCCCACCAACAAAACGTTAACTTTCCACCACTGATCTTAAACCATGATAAATTACAAAGTAGCTGGAGTTGCATTATAAGAAGGTGAAAATAAAAAATTAAGCAAAAAAGTATACAGAAATCAATTCCTGATGAGTAGTAAAACATACAGGTTATACTGATAAACCAAGACTCCGCGACCTTGCCTTTTATAAGTGATTTTCTTTACGGCATATTTCAAAAGAGCATTTTGTCTTTATAATTTGTCAGCTATTAACGACGAATAAGCAAGATGTAGATAGCAGGCTGTTAGGTTGTATCAATATCATTGGAAATCTCCTTCCTGCCTGCAGGCACCGCGGAGCGTTGAGAAAAGTGGAGGTCTAAAAAAAGTGGGGGGGGGGGCTAAAACCGTATAAAAGAGGCTTTTCTGGTAGTTTGATACTAAATAATTGGCTAAAGCCTCCCAGCCCCCCTGCTCCGCGGTGCCTGCCTGCCTGAAAGGTTGAATATCAATCTTACATTTCTGCAGTCTCGCAAGGCCTTAAAATACAGTTGTAAATTAACGATGAATGTTTCTCTTCGAACAAGTCAAAGGTGTTGCAGCGAAAATAGGCTTTGTTGTGTTGTTGTCTCGTTTTCTAGATTAACACATCTAAGCAGCCGTGTAAGCGTAACTTAAACTCGAACAGAACAGTGCTCATACAAATGAACTGCGCGTAGCTATTTCTATATGCAAAAAAGTGCAAATGATTTTCTATCCTGCAAATTCTAAAAGAAGAAGCGGCGAGAAAATTTTCGTGGGCCTTCAAAGTTGTTCGCATAAGACGGCACCGTCCTGGCGGTCTCCAGCCGCACTTACGCACGATGTTTTGATTCCCTCAAATCTTTTGTACGCGCGGCCAAGTGGAAGTCAGGAGCAGGGGCGAAAATACCGGGGCGGTGTGGGGGGTGTGACACCCCCCAATCTTAAAATCAGCCGATTTCGCAGGGCAATCGAAGATTTCGCAGGGCGCCAAGAAGAGCTTTATAGCCACGCAGAAACGCCATCTCTGAAGTTCGTAAAGGGCCGTTTACGAATTTTGAAATGGAAGTATTATATTTGTTATCAACCTCCCTTCCTGACATTTCATTTTAGAGAACGGAACAATTATGTCAGGAAGAGCTCCGTTATTAGCAGAGCGAAAGCATTCCTTACCGAAAATCATAGCCAATGGATGCAGTGATTGATGCATAAGTTTATGAGGGCAAGGTTGAGTCCACACAAATTAATTTAAGTTGTAAATTATTTTCATGACAGGTACGGCGCCACTGGGGGGAATAGAGGGCTGAAGGCCAAGATACTTTGGCCACTTTGGTCAAGATAAGAATTTTTTATCCTTTTTTCTATAACTTTTTAACAGAATGTTAAATAAAAAGAGAATAAACTGTTAAGATGCCGATTTTGTTTGATCTAATTGCTAACTTATTCATGTATTTTTATTTTTTTTTATTTGCATTAATTCAGTAAATCAGTTTCTGTATCATTGCAATGTATTTATTTTGGAAGCGTAAACATGGCCCTCTCGAGATAAGAAACTGCACATTCTGTTTAGGAAATGAAATTCTCCCAATCAAAACAACATTGCTGTCATTCACAACTATGTGCTATCTGAAGCGAAAGGTTACCGTTTCTTTCCTTCCCCAACATCTATCGCTAGCGTTTTAGCATGACATCCCCCTCCCAATTTTTCAAACAAACAATTATCAGTTTTTTAGCAGTATAGTATTTTGCTAAATTTTAGTCTGGGAGATGCTTTTTAGCCCTTTTACAAAGTATAATTTCAAAAATTTTCTTCACGTCGGACCCAACCATGGTGGGTCCTCCTACCTCACTAAACTTGATATGCCATGAAATACAAGGTTTATTACAAAGGAAAATCAAATTTGACATTTAATTTACGCTCACGTTAACAAAGATATTTCATAGGCAATGAAGTTTCAAGTTTTTTTTATTGCTTAGGAGTTTGTTCTTGGTAAAGACTAATTTACACTGGTAAAGCTTTCACTAGTAACCTATAGACAAACCATGGACAAACCTTTGCTACGAGGTCTGCAGGGCACCACTCATTTTCGCAGGGCAGAAATCCTTTTCACCCCCCCCCCCAAACCTTTTGGTCAAGTTACGCCCCTGGTCAGGAGGTCGGTAACGTACCATGCGTTTAGAGCTTACCTTTAATATAGGTTAATATAGAAATATATTCTGCAGTGTATATCGACTAGCCTTGCTAGAAAATTTCTTTATCTGCTCAAGGCACCTCGACATTGCTAATGCATGCCATAGCGTTCTAAATGCACGACATCAACAGACGAGCTATAGAAAGGAACACACTGTTTTAAGCGATCAACATAAATTTCCATGCGCCTTGACCCTCACTGCATACCCCGCAAATATGTCAACAGAAGCAGAAATTAACATGATTAAAGGCAATCTGTCACGACGTTGATTGATTATAAGAACAAAGGGATTTTTTATTGTTTCCAGTCCCCCTTTAATCTATCGCATTGTAAAAAATGTGGCGGAGCGCTGGAATCGTGTTTAGGCTTTTGTTCCTGCTATTGTTCTCGTTAACCAATCCACAACGAGACAGATTGCCTTTAAGCCAAGATGAGCAATATTTCCCTCTGTCGTCGAAATCTGCTGAATGAAATACAGTATAAATCGTACTAGCTTTAGCAGTACTAATCCTCATTATCATCACGTGAACACAAATGATTGGTGTTCACTGATTAAACGTGATCTATCGACGCTTGTGCTTCTATGGAGTACCGGTGTGACGTCATCAAAAATCTATTTTTAGATCTTCTAAATTTTGATCACATAATCTAAAAGAATGAAACAAAATACCTCTAAATGTGCAAAATCAGGTAGATATGTTCAAAATTGGGGGAGATATGGCCAATGAAAGATTTCAAGTTTGCCAACGGATTACCGTTACTGTGGCCTGGTTCATAAAGTTATGAACCAAGACAAAATTACAGAGGTTTTATGGAGGAAGAGCCTCTTTGCTCAAGTGGCCATATCGTAACATATTCAATTGATTTTGCACATTTAGAGTTATTTCATAATGCTCTTTTGGGATATATAGTCAAAATTGGAAAATTCTTAAAATAGTGTTTTGTGACGTCATCACTTCGGTACTCTACTGTTACCACGTGTATAAAGCGAGAAAATATTTACGACGCTATGTACAATAAATTTACCACAAAAGATATAATAAGTAAGCATAGCTGCAAGGTGAGCCCAGGCATATAGACAACGAATCGATATTGCATAAGCGCTTCCTTGAATCTAACTCATGTCATTATAAAGATGCCGACGGAATTGGTCGCAAAACATTCGGTCATACTGCAGGCCTAGCATGTCATTTACCTAACAGCATTTTGTGCAGTCATCTCCTCTCGTGAACAGTCCAAGTTAAGAAGCGCGAAGAATGTTTCAGTCTTGTTTGAGTAGTTAGCTTTACGAGAAAAACGTTTGAATAGCAAAATGCAACTTCAGCTGGGTCTGTTTCAAAGATGAGAATTCGAAAACAAATACTTTGGACACTGAAAAGGTTTCCTGTTCCGGCACGTGACTTGCTCAATAGATTAAATCTGGAAAAGAATCTAATTGGCCAAGCCCTTATTGATTGACAGGTCTAAATTTCACATCTTTGAGGCAGGCTTCTTCAGCATATTCAGCATTTGAGGCAGGCTTCTACATAAGAAAAGTTGGTTCTTTAACATGTCTCTATGCTTACTTTAAAAGAGCAAACAATACCATCTGTTGCATATACAGTGACTCTTTAACCAAACCGGTGCTTCCTGCATTACCACTTTGGTATATATCAACTCCAAATAAGGGAATGCAGCTCCGACAATGATCCACTACGAAAAAAGTTTATAATAATCAGTTTAACTGTGTGAGACATATTTATTGCCAAATCGGATCTTAATACCTTAGCATAAGTTCCTAAATTCTGACTCAAAATTTCACTTTCAAAATACCGTAAATCATCGAATAAGCCCCCGAGGGGCTTGTTTATTTTTGAAATTTTTGGATGGGGGCTTATTCGAGGAGAGGGCTTATACGAGGGGGGGGGGCTTATAAAATTATTGTAGACATTAAGAAGACATTATCAAAAGACTTCGTTTATTTTAGTAGGAATTTATTTATGAGAATTCAATTAATTACTACCAAAAGTAAATATTTGTTGTTGTAAATCAATAAAACACCAAAGGCAACCTCAGATGGCAAAAATCATCAAATTGAGGGGTCCAATTCAAGAATTTACGGTAGCAGTGGGGGCCTATTCGAGGGGGGGGGGCTTATTGACAATTTGTTGTTTTAAATTGGGGGCTTATTCGAGGGGGGGTTTCGATGGGGGGGGCAATTCGAGGATTTACGGAAAATAATATATAATTTATTTCCTAAAATCTGACGCCCTAATAATTCTTGTATCATTGCTACATTTTGATGTTCTTGCAAAACATTTACAAACTAATTCAGTTTTCACTTTATCGTTGATATTTCCATGTACCATCAAAATTTTAGTCCAGCCTCATTTAATACAAAGTTCAAAGTTCAAATGTTAGTACCTACTTTATGATAGATCTGAATTTATTGATTAAAACACTGAAAATGCGACTTTGTGCATGGAAAATTAGAATGACAATGCAACTGCTACTATTTAAATTTCCATGCAAAAATTCACACTTAAAGTATATTTATCTTCTTTCACGTACAACACACTGAAACTCATTGACTAAATCAACTGACTTTGGGACAAGACTGGTACTAGATCTAAGTGACACGCATGAGCAAATGAGCAAAAGTCAAAATCAACATTTTTGGCAATATCATATAAGTACTAGAGATTGTTTGATTGACAGGTGACATCTCTGGACCAATCCAACTTGACTTTTGGCGATAACAAAAGCATAAGCTTTGCAGATTATAACCGGGGCTTTATTTCACTACAAAGACTTTCAGCGGCCATAACCAAAATCATCTAAACATTTCAAGATGATTTCACCCTATAAGGAGACATTACCTTTTCAAGTTTGCTGTCGCACCATCTTGGCTTTCGTTGTCGTCAATTTCGGCATCAAAATCAATAAGGTCAAACACAGTGTCACTTTTGAGGGCAGGCGTGGTTTCAACAGGAAACATGTCAATCAAAGGAGTGGGAAGTGCGTCTGGAATATCATTGGACAACCACCAGTCAGGATCATTGATGGATTCATCATCGCTCCACGCCATCAAATCTGGCAAATGAAAACATTTATATTAGTTCACATTCTTTGGCCATTATTACAAAAAAACGGAACGAGCTTTACCTCAGATGCCCAATTCCACTCTGGTTCGAAAATTCGTCCCATCCAAATCCATAAAAAACTTTGAAATCTACTTTGTTATGCCTGTTTCTACCGCATCGTATTATGGCCAAATTGATCTGAGCACGCGCACAAGAAAGGAATTGGAAACTGCTCACGTGAAACCACTGGCGGAATCTGTTCACGTGTTTTTCTCTGTGCGCAATTTGATTGGTCAACCGCCTGTGATCGAGTCGCTGTAAGCCACTTTTACCTGTGTCGAATGCCTTTAATGGAATGACGTACTTAGGCCTGGTTCAAATGTCGCACTTCTCATGTGCCGAACCTAACTCTGTTTGGAGCGATACTTGAGCTTATGCATTGAACCGTTCCGTTCCGTGCTGGAGCCGTGCAGCTCGGCAAGCTCTGCCGATCCAAACTAGTCTGCCGCTCTTAACTAAATCTGCCGTACCAAATTGATTCAAACATCGCGCCCCTCATGTACTTAATTCTCGAGTTAGGTTCGGCACATGAGAAGCGCGACGTTTGAACCAGGCCTAATATCACCAGCTCATTTCTTTAAATTCACATAAAGTTCAAACCAGTAAGGTTATTTTTCCAAGGGGACCGATAAAATTGGTCATATTACTAAAAGTCAACATCGAGCTCGTGTAATTCGAACTTTTACTTACCCGAACAAATTTTTCAGGTCCTTTGGGAAAAAACCATTATATTAAGAATCTCTGTAAATCGAACATTTTATAGTTTGAACATTTTTACAATCTCCTAGAGAGTTGACTGAATAAAGTGCGGAAAATGAATCATATTCACCCGTATCAGTTTGGGACTGTGTTGCTACATCGTTGTACCATTCCAACTCCGGCATTTCAGTCAACAATACTGCAAAAAGACACATTCTTTTAGCCTTAAAATAATTGCTATTGTATATCTAGAAAGAATTTTTACCTGTAACACAAAGCAACCCATCAAATAAATGCGGCGATTTCGGATAAATTTGAGCTTGGTTCTACACCAAAGATGTAAACAATCGTTTTACATTTTGCCATCTAAGGGCCTCCGACGAAGGGGGGCACCCCCCACATCTTTGCAAAAAAGAGCTTTTTCTAAATCTTTTGTTATGGGTGTTAAATTTTTCCTTGCCCCCTCCCCCACTTTTCAACCTATGTTGGAGCCAATGCATCTTATTGCTTAAATACCGCAATCTTTTTACCATATCTTTACTGGCTGGCCTTTGCCACTCTACACTAAACTGCATTTATAGCAGGTTAAACTGTTGCCCAAAAATACACATGGGTTTTATTCGTCCCAATTTAGCCAAAGCTTAAGGCAAATAAGACCGTTCATAAAACAAAATAAAAAAAAGAAGAAAACACAATCTAGGTTTGCACGGCAGAAGGAGGGCGTAACAGCGGAGCCAAAACAATATCGGGGGTTTAGCACGACAAAATTGCGGCCATATAATGGGAACCTTTAATTTAAAGGTTATGGGTATTCTTATTGTACATATTGAGGCAATATTATCAATCCCAACCCAAACAACGTCCAATCATCTCGCCCAAAGGAAGTTGATCAAACTTTTCAAAAGCGATGGGGGGCCAGGAGGCGGTATTTACTACCCCACACATCCTTTGGGCTGTCAATGCTAATAAGTCTGCAGATACTGCAGAAAAATCAGACACAGTGTGCAAAGCAATCGCGTAGCTCGCATGTGTGATGAAGGACTAAAATTGGATTAAAACCAGCGTGAAAATACCTTCACTCTCAACAACTACAGCATCCCCGCCATCATCAAATTCTCTATCCGATGAGCTACAGCTAGTTTTAACGGAACATCCTTTATCTTCCTTGGGATCAGTAGCTGACGGGATTTTAATTACCTTCTTGGGTTTTTTCTTCTTTTTAGTCACTTTTTCAGCTTTGGCAGAAAAGTTCTCCACTTGTTCAGCTTTAGCAGAAATGAAATTGCAATGGATTATGATTGTCTGTTTAAAGTTTCTACACGTTTAAATAACCAAAACTATGACAATAAGTAACTAAAAACAAGAAGACAAAATAATCAGATAAGAACATAAACTAGATTAAAATCATTTTTGAAAATTTTACAAAAGCGTTGAGTTTACTGGTAGAATTTCTATACTAACTCAGAGAAGCAAGTGATAAACTTTACTTTTCAACAACGTAAAGCACTTTAAAATATGAAATTCATTTGCTTAAATCAAACCGACTGATTGGTTGGTCCATGGTTGGTTGGTCAACGGTTGGTTGGTCAACGGTTAGTTGGTCAACGGTTTGTTGGTCAACAGTTTGTTGGTCAACGGTTTGTTGGTCAACGGTTTGTTGATCAACGGTTTGTTGGTCAACGGTTTGTTGGTCAACGGTTTATTGGTGAACGGTTTATTGGTCAACGGTGATCGGTTGGTTGGTTGGTTGGTTGGTTAAAGATCGGTTGGTTCGTCAAAAATGCCAAACTTAAAATCTTTCCAGAGGAAAGAAGCATTATGCGACAAGCAATTTGGGGAAAACATCATTTTGCCTACCTTGCAGTTTTACGATGTCAAATGTCCGGTTAATCACGATGGTCTTTGAAACGTTACTTGGGGGTAACAAAACGAAGAACTCGCTAAAAGCAGTCAGCAGCTGAGAAAATTTGGAGAATCCATTCTCTTCTGGTTTAAAGGGTCTGTAAATATTGCGATAAAAATTCAAAAATTCGCATTGAAGGACTGCCTCGTTGTTGTCTTTCAGCAGCTGCTTTGAATTTATGAGAAATTTACCAATTGCGTCCGAAGTCACGAATGTCGTATTGTCCGATTGATAAACCTGTTAGTATGCAAAATACTTTATAGAAATAAATTTCCAGATTTATTTTTAAAAAAACTTAATATAAAAAATATATCAAAAATCTATGTTATTATATTGAATTTCTCTTACATCAGCCAAGTTTGAAAAAGCTTGCAATGCAAGTAATCATTTCCCCTGCAAAGGGCAAGCCCTCAACAAGGCAAGCTACCGAAAATAGAAGAAATCTTGGTGATCTAAAAAATCTTGTTAAAGCTACTTCGTTGATATCTTCTCTATTCTTATAATCATAATTCTTCTCTATTCTTATCAACACATCAGTCTATTCAGTTTTCAAAATTGGAGAGAACTCAAACTGACTTTCTAATTGAATTTTTTATCCTAGCGTAGAGTTTTCGATCTATGTTCTGACGTTTTAAAAAGCCATTTTTAATTCAATGTTGCAACAAACCGTAAATGCCTATTCGAAATTTTGAATTTGAATATTTTGGTGAATGTTTCCCTAATCCTAAATAGAGCTAATATCATACATATATTTTGGTAGCACAAACAATTTTCGTATTTTGGTAGCACAAGAGAGAGGTGAGAGGAAGAGGGAGGTGAGAGAAAGAGGGAGGTGAGAGAAAGAGGGAGGTGAGAGAAAGAGGGAGATGAGAGGAAGAAGGATGTGAGAGGAAGAGAGAGGTGAGAGAAAGAGGGAGGTGAGAGCAACAATTCAGCACATTCCATTTCATAAAAACATACATCAAAAACGTAATGATTAATAAAATGTTTTGTTATCGATTCGCAGTATTATGAAGACCCAAAAAACCATTGACTTGACATTCCTTTTGTGCTGTAAAATAATGTTGAGATGACTTTTAATGTAACTACCTTTACAATTCTCTCTGGCAGGGCATTCATCAGTTCTTTCATTTTTTTGCACCCAAAATTCTTCAATATTAGCAGTCTGCCAAATTTTTTGTTGTACAGCCCACAAAGTTCCGATAAATCAAATGACGGGTTTTCTTCGAGCAAAAGGAGCAATTCAAAGCAGAAAAATCGCAACGCGAGGCCGCTTGCCAGGACAATCTGATCACCATTTTTCTACAAAAAACAATAATCACTTGAATACAGTTATTACACAGACGATGCTTTGCAAACAATCAGTTGATTACCAAATGCTACAAGCTTTCTAGTCGCTACAAATTGAAAAGAGAAGCTAAAGACTAGAGTTTTGATGAAAAAAAAATGCAGATATACAGTGTATTGGCTAAATATTGAAAGTTCTAGTAGCGGATAGTCTAGCCTAACAGATGTACCTATTGCTAAAATGCTATTTGTTATCGAATAAAAGCTACCAATATATCAAATTACGATCTGACTTGCAAATTCTTCGATTGCAAACATGCACGAGAGAAATGTAGCTTATTCCCAGCTTTACAAAACGTTAATGTTCTTAGTTGCAGCGAATGCATGTGTAAAGTTGATAAAATTATTCACCGATATATTTCCTGAAGCAATTGCATTACAAACAGCCTTTTTAAAATTGCATTTAAGGGCAGTCCCAGAAATGGCAAGATTTGCTTGTAAGTCTTTCTCAGGTAATGTGAATTCTGAGCATTGGTACAACGTTTTGCAAATTAACGTCGTATCATCGTCAGCAGTCAATTCTGCAAAAATTGAAACTGGTTGTTACTCATAAATAAATTGATGAGGAGAGATGGGGCGAGGGAGGTGGAAAGGCGAAGGAGCTAGGAGCAAAGAGGGAGGTGAGACAGAAAGGGAGGTGAGAGGAAGAGGGAGGTGAGAGGAAGAGGGAGGTGAAAGAAAGAGGGAGGTGAGATGGCAAGGGAGGGGAGGGGAAGAGGGAGGTAAGAGGAAGAGGGGGGTGAAAGGAAGAGGGAGGTGAGAGGAAGAGGGACGTGAGAGGAAGAAGGATGCGAGAGGAAGAGAGAGGTGAGAGAAAGAGGGAGGTGAGAGGAAGAGGGAGGTGAAAGAAAGAGGGAGGTGAGATGGCAAGGGAGGGGAGGGGAAGAGGGAGGTAAGAGGAAGAGGGCGGTGAAAGGAAGAGGGAGGTGAGAGGAAGAGGGACGTGGGAGGAAGAGGAAGGTGAGCGGGCGAGGTGAGAGGTTGAGAGGGCGAGGTGAGAGGTTGAGAGGGTGAGAGGGAGCGTGAAAGGAGTTCAACATACGAAATCGACAAAACCCATCACTATCAAGATCAACCTTCATATATAGCTATTAATGTTAGAACTAAAAATAAATAGACGTTTCCTGCAGAAAATCAAGTACAAATCATTTAAAGGTCTAAATCACAAAGTTGAAAAGCCTACCGTCGTATTTGGAAGACAAAATCAAACATCTGCTATGGTCTCGACCAACAACCTAAACATAAAAACAATTCGATTGTAATCACTGGCTACAGGTGTTTAACATGTCACTGGCAGCAGATGAAAGGGAGCACAGACTTCAAATTCTAACAGACTCTCAGAGTTGGTTGCTGAATCACATTGACAATAAAGAAGGCTGACAAAATAACCCAAGACTAGCTCGTTGCAGAAGCAAAATTGTGCAATTGACAAAAATACATTTAAGCAAGTAAGTAATACACAAATGGTTATACATTCACGAACGCTGGATCTGGGCGGCAGTTTAGAAAAGGATATCGGACATGTTCTTTATCTAACAATTGCCTTTCTCTCCTGCAAGACATGGTTTTACAAGCTGTGTGACTGTAAGAGATTTGACGAAACAAAAAGTTTTACCTTTGCTATACTTGATATGGGTGCAAATGAGGAACTAACTTCCTCCTGCATCGCGGTTGGAAGGTCTGCTAGAAATATGACGCCATTCGTCGAATTAAGTAATAAATTTGTAACTTTGTCTTCCATTGTCACGGCTAACGCTTCGGGGCTATGATTTGCGAGACAGATGAACGGTTCTTTGCCATTATTTTGGACCTATGAACAACCAAAGCGTTTATGAATGTTGAAATAAATCATCATTCATACTAAGAAGAGACATCTAGATTCAAGATTTCATGCATTTTTGCCATTTTGATTGAAGTTTGATTGATAATAGACTGGTCTCACACCATAGACTGGCCTACCATCCATTCTTTCAAAATTCTGGCCTGAATATGATAAAAAAATATGTCATTCTAATAAGGCTTCGCCCTACTCCTTTCGTTCAAGTTGATCGTCATAGTGTAAACTTAGATACTAGCAATTCATGAAGACAAAAGTGGAGATCTCCAAACGAATCCTGCTGTGACGAAAAATAGGTTTGACCATCATCCAATACAATTACGTGAGGACATTTTCATGCAAGATTCCCTATGATCAATTATCACCAAAGCATATGTGCGCATGCCTGAATGGAAGTATTTTTAGCATCAGCTTTTTAGCTCAGACCTTTAGCTACAAAACTTTTTGTTGGTTTGTCCTACATTTGTTTTCTGCATATTGGGAAAATGTTGGATGCTTTTGACCTTGGCTTTGGGAATATTTTAGTTGGGTTTTATTAAGATTTTATGTAGATTTTACATTCTAAACTTCTTTATCTTTTAAGGTTTATGTAAGAAATTACGTAATGCACTGTTAAACCCTTGAAATAAACTCTGGAAAAAATACCTTTCATTGCAATAACGATCAGAGCAGAAACCGAAAATGATCAGATCAAAGTGCATAGAGAAAAGACAAGTGCTGGTTTCATTTGCCTATGCTTACCGTCATTTCAGTTTCCAGTGCTTTGAAAAGATCGTTTGGATGGGAAAACCCAAGTGAACTGAGCAAGGGACAGCTTCCATGGAATTTTTCATACTCGGAGACCATTTTGCTTATGGGTACCATGCCATCCTGTTTTGTATCCAGCAAAGAGATCAATCCTTTCTTAAACTGCTGAAATTGTGGCGGCCCTGCTGAGGACGCTTTTAAAAGAAATAGAAATAATAAAAAATTACGGTTAATTATAAAAATATAAAGTAAATTCATATTAACCAAAGATAAATTACGAAAGAATTAATAATTATTGTGGGATAAAGTTGCCTGATGATCGCATTACGTGTGAAACTCTGAGCTTTAACTTAGAACCGTCCTGTTCTATAAATTATAGCGCATATACTGACGGATATAATAAAAAGGGGAATCAGGCTATACGAAGTTAAAAGTCTCCGGCCCAATCCTACAACATTATTTCGATCCGTGCCTGAGAAAAAAATGCAATCAATGCTTCTAAACAATGAAAATGGTTTATATGTAGTGGTGCAGAAAAACTAGATGCCTAGATGGGGAAGAAAAACAGGAGCTGTAGCTCAACTTTCTTAAATATTGTAGGCTGTGTGCATAAAATTTACCTTTATTGCGGATAAGAAAGAATGCCTTGTTCTTATCACTGACAACCTTGAATTTAAAAAATCAAATTTGTGACGAGTTTCCAGTCAATACAAGTTGAAAAGTTAGTTAGTTCAAAAAAAATATTCTAACTTTTAATCTAATTGGAATTTTCTAACTCCGTCTTTAACCTATACCAATTCAGTTATCAATTCTCAGTTTTGTATCTCCGGTGTTGTTGTCGTTGATTTTTGGAAATTCATTACGAGAGAAGTGTGAATGGGTAGAGGTTTAAACAAAAAACAAAGGATAGTGCACCAACAAGATCAGAAGTTATCAACATTCGATAATGAAAAATAGCCCTTTTCAAAGGTTGTGGCACTGAACAATGCTCTTCGTACAGACAACAAATACTGCTAGCATTACAAACTGAAAGTGTGATTCGCCGTTCCTATACTTGCGATTCATCTGCGACTGAATAAAGCTATGCTTATAACAAAATGTAACGTAGGAACAGATCAAAATAGTCGCAAACTTTCAATATGTGCACATTTGATGGTTGATGAAACTTTAGCATTACATCATTGTAAAATTGTACGCCTTCAATAAGAAAGTTACTCAAAATACCTTTAGATCACCCTTAAGTGATGAAAGAAGCTTTCTTAGCCTTGATGGGTTATTAGCATGCGGGAAGATCAAGCCGTAGTACTTGAAGTATTGCTCTGGAAGCTGCAGCAAGGGTAATTTTCTGTTATCGCCACGACTCGAAACCAACTCAAGCAGCTCATCGTGAAAGTGTTTAACTTTGTACATATGACATAACGAAACCAATCGATTGCCATTGATTTCGTTGATCTTAATGCAAAATAGACAAATCATTCAAATTTGAAATATATAAATGCATAAATGTTTGCCACAATCTATTCGACTATACTTTTTGATCGATTGATTATAAAATGCCCACAAAGCAAACATATTTATAGGAGCTAAAATCTACGAAACAAAACAATTCGCAGAGACTAAGGTCAAAATGTTTCACAAAATAAATTTTGGTTCCGATTAAAAGGTTGGGTCTACTTACTGCAAAGCAAACATAATATTTCTAGAATTTCAAGATAACGATACTTACCTCAAAGATATCGCCTGGAATTGCTTTCAGCAGCTCTTCAATGTTTGAAAACCCAAGCGCTTTAATATAGCAAGGATAACCAAAATGGCTCAAAAAGTGTTCAGGGACTTTATTAACAGGAATCCAATGATAGTGGTAGCATTGGAAGAGCTGAATCATACCTTGGACGACCTTCATCAGTTGTGCCTCGCGATCTACATGGGACAATTGTGCGATAAGCATGAGATTGTTTAAAGATTCCACTTATAAATAAGTGATTGAATATTGATTCAAAATGCTAGCTAGATAGAAATACTACATAGCGCTTAAGAAGTGAAGCAGCAGTATTGAACAAGCCTGGCTCTATTCAGCCTGTTCGCAGACTCCATTCGGAACTGAGTTGAATTTTTCTGTCTGACTTGGCTTCAGTCGATTCATTTAGATGGCAGACAGTCAACTTAAATAGTTTTTTAAAAAATTTGCATTCAGCTTAGTAAAAAAAATCCTTGAAGCTGGCTAACTGTTCAATGAGGATGTTTTCACTGTTCATCACCAGTGATATTTAAGAAGCCTAAAATTGTGGAGCCCCCGATCACAGCTGAAAATAATTACAAAGGAACAGAAATTGATATTGGTACCCGGCAAAATCGTGGGTAGTAGATAACACAGACTAATGTAAATTCAGCGCCGACTAACGATCAACTCTTGGTAATATCTGGCAACTTCTATAACGGAACATGCCATTCTCAATCTTGACGCACTCTTTCTCTGTCTTTAAGACAGGATTAAAGCTGCAATGACTCAGGCAAGTAAATTCTATTACATTGAACCTAGTCAAACGAACCAATAATAGAAACTTGGAAAAACCTGAAAGTGCTGAAAGAAATATGTGCTACATCATACTAGCCTTCATTCTGCTCTTTTTTTATAGCAACTCCATGCTTCAAAGAGGTTCCAAATAGATTCGGGCACGACTTGACGAGTTCCATTAGAGGTTGGCCTGCCTTTGTTATTCGTAGAATTCTGCCATAGTAACTCCAGTATAATCCAAGAAGACTTAATATGAAACATATGAAGTTTATAAAACCCATGAAAAAGAGAGAGAGAAGCGATCGGTTAGGTCTTTACAAATTGACGCCAAATGCATTACTGCATGGTTTACAGGGGGCACTCAAAAGGATTTACGGCACGAGAGAAGTATAGGTTTGAAAGATAACAAGCGAACATTTAAAAATAATTCTTGACAGCAAGCTCTCAGTAAACGAACAATCAAATGCCAAAATTCATATTTTCATCTTGTAATTCGTACACAAGAAACACGCTCGTATTTGCAGGAGGAGCAGTCAGCCGCAAATAACAGGAGCCTGTTACAAAGAAGATTGGTGATCCAAAAATTATGGATGCCATCCCCTGGTACAGATCTTGAGCAATGGTGTCGTTGGAACCCCTTATCGCAATCGTTCAACTTAGGACCTCTACATTAGTCATCGTTAGAAATTGAAATAGCGGCAGATTGAAGTAGTAAATACAAGAAGTAACTGTAAAAAGAACCTCTACCTCGCAAATGGCACTTTTCTGTTATGCATATCTAAGAGGTCCTCTAGCTCGTCATGGAACACATCTCTATCAATTTCTATTTCAAGTTCCTTGATATCTTTAGTTAGCAAACAGATGAATTTTTTTCCCGGCTTGCCGTCTAGATAAACAACATCCTTAAGTTTGCACAACTTGAAAACGTCGCATTTTTCTTTGTATTGTTTCATGAATACCTTCTCGAATCTATGGTTAGAAAAGTAACAGCGAAGTCAATAGGATACGTTACAATGATTACAAATTACTGTTTACCGGTCGGTCGTACAATTGACGCAATAGAGGCAGGGCTGTACACGCGTTGGTATACGATCATTAGGCCAGTGTTCCTGATGAACTCTTAGTTGTAACTTAAAACTGCCTTGTTTTATACTCAATGATCATGTTACAACCGTTCCCTGTGGCAACAGCAATGTCATATAATTACAAAAGGTCACTCAGAGTGTGGAATGGGAACCCCCCCGGAAATTTCTTAGAGAGTGCTCAACCGCCCTAGACAATGCAGGTAAGTTTTACGGGAACAACAGAAAAGCAAAGGTTTTTTTTCCATTTAGCTACTACTAATTCTATTATTCATTTGCTATAAATTCTATAATTTCAAATATTTATTTATCTCAATATCTATCTATTGATTTGTTTATAGATTTATTCACTATAATCATTCTTCAAATAAACAAATCAAAAGAGCTTCTCAGAACTTGATACGTTCACATTTCTTTTATTGAATTTTCATAAATCATTATTCATAACTATATTTTCATTTTGAAATTTGAGCCACCCCTGGGAAAGAGAAGAGGGGGGCTAGTGAATAAGTATTTTTAAACTCATTCATAATAGATTTCAACAAAACAGACCTAATCCCATTTAGATCATAAGAAAGAATAAATAATAGTATAATGGGACCTAGAGGGAAATCGACAGATACTCAAGCCATTTGTCAGTCATCAATTCGTCAATCACCTAGGCGCTTATTGATTGGCCAAGTGAAACCACCTAGACGCTAATTGATTGGCCAAGTGAAACCACCTACGCGCTTATTGATTGGCCAAGTGAAACCACCTAGGCGCTTATTGATTGGCCAAGTGAAACCACCTAGGCGCTTATTGATTGGCCAAGTGAAACCACCTAGTCGCTTATTGATTGGCCAAGTGAAACCACCTAGGCGCTTATTGATTGGCCAAGTGAAACCACCTAGGCGCTTATTGATTGGCCAAGTGAAACCACCTAGGCGCTTATTGATTGGCCAAGTGAAACCACCTAGGCGCTTATTGATTGGCCAAGTGAAACCACCTAGGCGCTTATTGATTGGCCAAGTGAAACCACCTAGGCGCTTATTGGTTGGCCAAGTGAAACCACCTAGGCGCTTATTGATTGGCCAAGTGAAACCACCTAGGCGCTTATTGATTGGCCAAGTGAAACCACCTAGGCGCTTATTGATTGGCCAAGTGAAACCACCTAGGCGCTTATTGATTACTCTAGTTATTGGGCACTAATGTTAAATAAGACGAGATTCCTTCAGATCACTAGAAACGCCAAAACTGACCTGTTTATTGCCATCCAATAAGGCAGTTTATTTAGCAAGGCAATCGTCTTTTTCTTGAAGTCATCCAAATTATCATCAATTTCTTTAGGTATGGATTCCAACAGCTCTACATTGATTTTATTGCCGCCAACGTCCTGACCCTGGAGCTTGTAGCGTGCCCTGAAAGAGGTAATGTTTAAAAAGCTTGAGAAAATTGGGAAGGGGAAAAATTCACATCTGACCAGAATCGAAACAAAAAATCAGATCATCTCAATTGGAGACAGAGCTCAAAGCGGATTAGCAACAAATGAATTTAGGCGATTAATAAAAGGACAACGACTAAGGGCCTAAAAAACAACGAACTAGATAGTGAAGATGCTTTACAATCATTACAAAATGTAGGATAATTAAGACATTAATTGCATTTTCCTACTTACTACGATGTTTTTCAAGGAATATTTAATTTTTACATTTCGTTTCTCTCTTACAAACAAAAATAACGAAGATTAACAAACGCATGAATGATCATTTGCCTTACTTGTAAGCTTCATTGGCATTTTGAAAAGCGAGAATGGCAATCTGTTCGTCTTGACTGCTGTACACTTTGTAAACCTTGCCACCACAATTGTTTGCAAGAAACTTTAATCTACTTGCAACAGACTTGCCATCAATACTTAAGGGAATGTTAGTTACTTTTATTTGGGTACTTTTAGGCGGTATTTTCATCGGAGCTGGCTGAAACGGAAACACGGATATACTTAGATGACACAGCAATTCTGACATAAAGGGAATAGGTAAAGGAAACAAGAGATCAGATGAATATAGGAGATTTATGAGAGCGTCCAGGAATCAAAATGAGTGCTAAATAAATCAATCCAGTGAGGCGTCTTAGGTCTTTTTTGTTATAGTTGCGTCTCACTGTCCTCCAAAGATGGATAAAGACGATGTCAAGGTGTCATTAGACATGGAAGACATTATCGCATGATGTCAAAGCTGGAGGAAATGTTAACAAAGTAGAGCGAAGCAGGCATTTACAAAGACGAATGTAAAAAACCAAAATAAGTAGAAACGATTCTTTACAATGGAGATATAAGTGCGTCGTTTGTATCGCCTTGATGAGGCCACACAATCTCATTCCACCGCCTGGAAAGGAGACAATTGGACCCAATACGAGTTTTGGCAAGATTTTTGCTACTTTCCATTTTACCGAGGGGTGGGAGGGGGGGAGGAGGGGTCATACATGTACAAAGCAATTCCGATGACGAGAGTTCAAGCTAATAATTCTTGAAGATAATGCACTTGAATACGAGTACCAGAATTTTTCTTTTCTACGTCCGTTGATTTGCCTTTCACCATTCAGGTTTAGGACAAGTTTTTTGACGACATTGTCTGGTAACATATTATTGCCTACTTTTTGTCACAAACCAACCTTTCATACTATGAATTTCCCCATCCTTTTGCCTTTGAAGTGGATGTATAGTAGAACATTACCTATAAAACTAAGACGGACAAACTTACCCCTAAACTGGATAGAAACTCTGCAAACAATATATGATTGTTGGCATATTGCTTTAACGTTTCTGATGCTTGCTCATTATGCAACAGGGTGATGTCTAGATTCAATTCGTATCTCAGCTTGTGTAGAACCGGTGCAAAGTTGACGTCACCAGAAATAAGAACGACAGAGGCCGGTGGCTTCACCTTATGGCCAAAGTCCAATATGAACTGCTTCAGCTTATCGTCTGCAGCATTTTTCGCTGTAGCAGCAACGTGAATGACGTTCACCTGAGGAAAAACGATGTTTCAATAAAAAGATATCTGTAGGGTTTGGTTCATTTTCAAATATAAGAAGGTTTACTTTTCCACCATTGAAGGCAAACCTGTCACTGTTGAGGAATTCATACCTGGTAATTTCCAGAAGTATATAAACAGCACAGGTGAGATCAGAAAAACAGAGTTAGCTGAAGATAGAATCCTTAGAGAAAAGGCAGAATGTTTGGTACACTACTCATATATGCACACAAAGAAGCAAAGGATGGTTTTAGACCTTCAGGGTGTGGATTATGTCCTTTGTGACCCAGAGATTGCCACTGCTACCCTTCAGGCGGATGGAAAATTAAATTTCTGTGCTGGAAATCTATCTTTCAAAGCAATAAGTACCTTTCTTGCTGAGCATTCATGCAATAATTACTGCAGGATGTTAGATTTGACAGATATGGGTGCTGTGACAAAATTACTGTTCACCAGTTTTTAAGACTAGCTTAAACTGCAATGTTTACAAATAATTTTACAACAGGAGAAGATTAATAAACGATACTATGGTTAACACGAGTTATAGATTAGCTCCACTTCAATGCATAGGACTTTTAGTTGACTCTAGTTTTGAACAAAAAATTCAGTTCAGCTTGAAAAACATTTGATGCTGTTATTTGAAATTTTTTTACATTTTCAATTACAATTTTGCCATATTTGGGGAGCATTTACCCCCGCATACCCTTCTCTGGCCTGACCATAACCATCTCCTTGCCCTCTAGTTTCAGCTATTGAAAGAAGTTTCACTTGGAATTAACCTTAATCACAAATGCTTTATGTTGCCTTGTTTTTTGTAATTAACTGCATGCTAAACATCTTTTAAGCTTTTTTTAATCAGCAATATCTTACATATAGCTTTGCATAATTTCAGTTACAAAAGGTTGTCCATACACAAGAAACAGACATTTAGCTATTCTGAAAATAATCAGAATCAAATGGTATAATTCAAATTTGGCATAATTTTTGAATATGCACAATTGTGATAAAGCTCTAACACTAGTCAATCAAAACTCTAGTCATGGCAATGATAGAATAGGCAGTATGCAGACAGAGGATCTGTAAAAGGATGAGTTTGCTGGTGTGTAATTGTTCTTTATCTATAAAATTTTGAAAGTAACTTTATTATAGCCTGCCAAAACTAAAACTGGAAAGTTGCCATTTCAACTGCAAGCAGAATTCTTCAGAAACAAATATGCTCTACCAAGTCCTTGCATTCAGCTCTCTCAGGATTGGGCATCAAGATTTCTTATTCATTTCGCCACCAACTCCAGCTAATTCTGCAACTTCAAGAATGTCATGTCTGGATACCTTGATTTCCATTTCCCTTCCTCCATATTTCTCAGGAAAAGCATACATGTGATTGGGTACTCCTGATGGTAATTCAATCTCAGCTTGGTCTTTTTCTGGGAGCATTCCATAATTTGGCAAATTTTGAGGATCATAAGCTCTTGAACTTAGTAATAAAACCAGTGAGGTTTTGACATCTTTCTCCATTCTCTCATGAAGGTCCCTCCACCACCTTTCAATCTTGTTGGAGGTAGAAGGTCCAAAAACAACTGAAATGGTCCCTCCTGTCATAACTGGGGAGTCCTGGAACCAAGAACATATGTCTAAGCTTATCTCCCTCTTCACGGAACTCCTAACGCAAATTGATTCTTTACCTGTCCATCCAAAGAATAAGCTGCTTTTTATAACAACTATTTTCTCTCACAAGTTTCGTGGCACCTCACAGTAGCCAACATATCAAAAACCTGGATCGTTGAAAATCTTGATAATCACGTTTCTGCATTTATCCACCGTTGGCATGATTAACCCATTAGTGCTACTTTAAGTGACATTATTCTGTCAAAAACCACTTCGGTCTTAATATGATTCTACCTTCTGTTAAATTCAAGCAGTGTCAAACTGTTTATTGTAATGCACTTCAATCTTCTCCCAACAAAAACATCCAATCTTTATGGAAGAATACCAGCCAGAGCCTGAACATCCAATATGATGTATACAAGAATACTAGAGAAGCATTGAAGGCTGTTAGATCAGAACATAAAGAGTGCCTTCAAAACCATCTTATATCTCAAGATACCATTCTTTCTTTCATCTTTGACCACTCTTTTCCTATGGCTTCCTTAAAATAATGACCACAGTTCAAAGCAACATACCTAAGAACGTTTTACTAACAAATATCTGAGCAACTTTCTTGCCATGCAAGAAAAACCTATCCAAATGGAACATCTCTCAGTCGTCTGATTGCTCTTTTTGCCATATGCCAGAAACGTTACCTTGCATTGTGCAGGCTGCTAAACATACCTCGAAGAAAGGCCATTATACATTAGGCTAACCTGGATGTTAATGCTAACCCTAAGAAAGAGAGAGAGAGAGAGAGAGAGAGAGAGAGAGAGAGAGAGAGAGAGAGAGAGAGAGAGAGATACTCACCTCTTGTTCACAGCCTAAGCTCAGTCTATTTTCTATCATATTTATTAATATTTCTATCAGTTCCCTTGGTACCTTTGGTCCCTTCTGCTCCTCTTTCATTGACGTCCTGCGATGCTCTAGATATCAGCGAAAATCATTGTTGCTTCATTATCTTCAAACTACCCAACTAAACTATCTGTACTACCTATTACATTTTCTGCCACAGAAACAAGTCTTGGAATAATCCTGAACTTTTTCAATTCAAACGATTTCTGCTACTGACAACTTCCAAAACAAACGAAGGACGAACACACTTTTTCCTTTTTTCCCTTAATTTCTTTTATATGTGCATGTAATAGTCTTTTTCATTGTAAACCCAGGCTAGCCAATTATGCAAATTATCTTTGTAATAGTGAAACTTGTAATTGTAGTTTCAGTTGAATTGAAAAATGAAAAGTTTCCATTATAAGCACTTTCACAAAACAAACAATTTTACTTAGTGTAACACAGTTTTTACTTAGTGTGAAATAAAGGGAACACATTCAGCTTAACTCTTGCCTCTTTCACCAAAATCTGAACAGAATCACAAAAACCATACCTCTGCTTGTGACAATGCATCAACTATTTGTTTTGACATCATGTGACTGTCACATACGCAAATGAATTCAACCAGCTGTTTTCCATTTAAAAAACTGCTGCGTATCTTGTTAACAACAGCTCCTGGAGATTTATTCATAGGTATCTGGCAATTTTCTATGTCCCAATAAATGCCAACTTTTTCAAAATGGTCATCTGCTTTCTAAATTTAAAATAAATCAAAGGGATAAGAAGTAAACAAACACAATCTTAAAAAAGCTACTAGAAACATTTCATTATTTTACTGCAAAAACTTTAAACTTAAAACACAAAGGCCTGCAGCATGCTTAGTAAATTCTCTTTAGTCTTGATATGCTATTGTACACTTTTGTTAGCCAAGACTTAATTTTTCTATGATATATGTTGCTAGTGGCAGTTTAGTGATAAATAAGTCTAACAAAATTTAACATCAATAGTTAGTACAAAATTCTCTTGCGCACTCTGTTTCTAAATCTTTTGCACCTTTTTTGATGAAAAAGCACGTTGGTAGAAAAATATCCACACCAATACCAGCAGGGTTAAAAGGTGGTGAATCCAAACAGTTTGAGGAAAATCAATCTACCATGCAAATAGTCTCCAGAAGGGTCTCTTCCATTTATAAGTGATAATTTCTAAGAGACTGTCATCTTTAAAATCATACAAAGTAACACTTAAGAAAGGATCACGCAAGTGCACTTATAACTAAGTCCTGAGGTACTTCTGTAAAATCAGCAAAAAACAAATGGTGTAGGCAACCACCTTTTTTAGCAAATGGTCTACTGCTGAAGATTTCTCAACTTTCTTGTGGCTTTGGTTAGCTGTTGAATAATCAAAATTAGCATTTATAACATCATCAACATGTAGCAGCCTTACAATTTCAACTGCAATTTGAAAATAATTCCAGTTGGAGCAATATGAGATCTTGCAGAATTTTAAAGAAGAAATATTGTCTTCCTTTGTAAGACAAGTTTTTCAGAAAGTCATAGCTAAGTAGACAACAAACTACAGTATTGTATGCATTTACTACAAATTTTTCAACAAAGTTATGCTGATTGATGTTTGATGTGACATGATATATCATGCTATATCAAATAAGAAATGTTATATTGGGTTCAAGAAAATAACACAACAAATTATTCAAGTAATCAAGCGAATAACTTTTAAACAAAACAAGTTCTTTACATCATTTATCGCTAAGAAAACACATTATCTTTTTGGGTTAGCATTCAGCCTAAATATAAGCTTGTGGGGAGGTTATAGAATGATTTTTAATGTCAATGATGCGTTCTGATAAACTTATATTCATATAATCACTTTCACAAGAAGAGGTTTTGATAATGGAATTGAGGCTTTACTATTCAATAGTCATGCAAATATAAGTTTTTTTAATAGCGCTATAGGTAATTTGGTGTACAATAAATACATTTGTCTGCAGTACTATCCTGACCTTGCACATGCATCTGCCACACTCTGCAGACTGGCAAATGAATAGGTGGAGTTAATTTGGTCTTTTATAATAATCATTTGCCATATTCTTTCAACAGAATTTTCATAAATTTCATGGCACTACAGAACAGTGCTGATGATAGATACCTAGACACATTATCACAATATCAAGCATAATGACACTTCTCATAATGAGACTTCCTATGTTCACCAAAATTCTTTGCAGCCCTCATTTAAAAAAGATAAAAACAGAGAATAGTGACTTGGCATTGCTTACTAGACACTTGATCAAAAAGGCTTCCAGGATGTCGTTTCTTACAAGCCTTGTTCTTACAACAATCATTGAGCCAATCTTGGCAGATATCAGATTGCTTCTTTGCTGCTTCGTTGTGTCTAAAGTGGCACTTTTTCTAAAAGAAACAATTTAAATAACTTAGAAAAGGTGCCAGATATCATTTTACAGAGCTATTAACAAATAAATAAGTACACTCATAAGCCTAGATACATGACTCGTAATTTCTAGATGTAAGATTAATCCCAAACCTTGCTTGTAAAATGTTGCTTCTTTTAAAGGAGAACTGACTCGCAAAAATAAGCTTGGTTTAAACGATAGTTTGTGAAAAGCAAATTCTGGGATTGAAAAAATTTTTCAAATCACATTTACCGTTTTTGAAATACAGGCGTTTTAAGTTGAGAAACTACAATTGTTCCGACAACTTGCGAGGTGAAAATCATCACCAGTGGGCAATCATCTTTGACATCACAAGTGACATGTTCTCAGCACGTATTGTGTTTCTCTATAGAAACCTTTAAGAAAATGCTGAGGACAAGTGTTTATTTTGTGCATGTGAATAGGGCTAATTTTGAATTTTTGACATATAGTTGACTTTTTCAATGGTTTGGGACTCTGAAACATAGCTTTGTTACACTGATTTCAAAACAAATGGAAAATTTCAGCCTTTTGAGTTTGTGCCACCAACCAGCGCTGCTGCTTGGACAGACTGTCCTCCCATGCCTCAACAGTGACGATATTATGAACAAAGAACAGAGCGGAAGTACAAACTGATACAAAATTTCTATTAAAAACATTGCTATTGCCACATTATGAATGAGACCAAGTATCTTAAACCAGAATTTTATTTCAAAATGAAGTGTCTTTGTCCAGACTGCTTTGTCTGTCTGGTCTAATCAGCCTGCTATGTCATAGGAATATCAACTTGCGCATTATCTTCTTTTACAAACAGTCTTGAAGTGGAGGGGGGAATGGTCTTTTTGCAAGACTAGGTTGTTCCATAGTGTTTCAACCTCTGTTAAAATATGATAGTTCAGGCACCGCGGAGCATTGAGAAAAGTGGGAGGTCTAAAAAAGTGGGAGGGGGGGCTAAAACTGTATAAAAAGAGGCTGTTATGATAGTTTGATACTTAATATTCGGCATTTTCTGCAAAAAGTGGGGGGGCTAAAGCCCCTTCAGCCCCCCCCCCCTGCTCCATGGTGCCTGTAGTTAACTTCAGTCAAAATTAATCTTCTAGTCACACTTGCAGCTCCCATGACCCAATGTTTTTTCTTGAATGTTTATTTTCGCACCAAAAGCAGGTGGGGGAATTACTTTTACTGCCATTTCGACTAGATTTCGTTTCTCTTTTGGCTATTACTTCAATTCCCCTTCCCGCTGTTGTGATTTTATTTGTAGTTAAAGAAATAAAAACTTTGGAGAAATTGCATCAGTTTTTCAAACAAACCTGACTCCTTTTTGCATAAGCTTCTAGAGGTTCTTCCAGCGTTTCAAAGCATGCTGGTTTGAAGGTATCATGGCATGAAAATAAATTTTGTGTGGATATTAGCGTCTAAGCAGACACGTAGCTAGAATTTTCTAGCTTCTTTATACTTATAAATGAAATGCCTGACAATTTTTTGTCTTTTTATCGCAGAATATTTTCAATAAAACAGGAAATTCCACTTGAACTTTCACCGTTGCGTTGATAGACTTTACAACGGCATTTTTAACATTTCACTTGTGACATCAACCGAGAATTTGGCGATAATCTTGTTTCTGCTTTGGGAAATTCCCGAGTCCAGGCTGTGACATAATTAAAGGATAAAAGTACAAATATCAGAAAAAGGGTGAATCTAAGAAGAAAATTTTTTAGCAGATTTGAATTCAGCGACACATTCTGCATCAAATGAGCCAAAGTTATTTTTGTGTGTCAGTTCTCATTTAAAGCAACAGAAAAGCTTTGGTGATTCATAAGTTGGTTCTTCCTGCTGCTAAATATTCTTAAATACTTTTTTAAAACCTTTTGCATCACTTTGGGTTCTTGAGTAAATGTTTTTCAATTTCAAATGAATCTCATTTTATTTTTCAATTCTAATTTTTCAAATACTACCTAGCTGTTCTCTTTTCAGAGCGGCTTTTTGATGCTCAGAGGGACAGGTTTTTTTATTCTTTTGATTAATCACTGGCTAGTGTGCCCTACATAAAGACTTTCACACCAGCACAATGGGCAAAAGCATGGCCTTTGTACTTTAGACCACATGAGGCTTCATAGTTGGAAACAAGTGGCTATAAATTATAGACCCCATTTACACGAGAGCGGAGCCATGTAAATGGGTATATCTGGTCCAGATCGGATCCATCTACGTAAGTTGTTAAAAGTGAGACAGAATATTTTTCAATTCAAGGTGTTTCAATTCCAAAAGTATCCGGATGGATACTTTTGGATCCGATCTGGTCCAGATCTAAATTCAATTTCAGACAATTTTTAATTTTTTTTTATTTCCACTTTTCCACTAGCATGAGTCCCACTTTTTAATTTCAGACACTTTTTGAGAGCAAACTTTTTCAAACAGAGAAACTAGCAACCAAATGGCTAGCAGTCAAAAATTAAGATTAAACTGAGATTCTGAGAATCGATCAAATGGCTACACACTTTTCCAGGTTTTGCACATGATTTTCCTGTCATGAAGAATTTACAGTCAGTCAGCTGTACTTTGGGATGATTGGCCATGTCAAATACACAATACGAAGTTTTTATTTTAAAACCATCGATCTCTTGTCCGTTTGCATCATTAGCTGCAACTTCAGCCACTTCTTTGCTGTAAAAGTTCGCATATGCTATTCGGGGACCTTCCTTGCTACTTTTGAACTTCACGTTGCTCATAGGCCCGTAACGACAGAAGTTCTGGAATAGTTGAGCCTCTGTCATGTCTTCAGGGATGTTCTCAATTTTCACTCCATATTTATTCTTGTCACAAGCCATGGTGAGCAAATTTAAATGAAAAAAGGTTCCTAGGAAAACTGAGTCAGATTCATGCAAACTGTTTCGAAAGAAATTGAGAGTGTTTCTTGGTATTGGCTCAACCCCAATTGAATTCTGGGAGCAGTGCCTCTTTTTGAAAATGCAAGCGGGCGCTTCTATATCATTGCGGCGCTTACATATCAATGCGGCGCTTCTATATCACTTCGGCGCTTCTATATCACTTCGGCGCTTCTAACGGTCTGACCCGGTGTTCGAGATTTTGTTCATTAAAAATTACTTTGTTTTGAAAAATTTAGAGTGATGTAATTCAGGAAGCAATGTCTCTGTCTCGACTTCGCTCTACATATGATCGTCCATTGAGATTTCGATTTAGTTAACAAAACGTAAACCTTTAAACTTTAAATTAAATTTTATTAGTTGGTGATGCTAGGAAAAGGCTTAAGTTTCTATAACTAAGTCCTAACAAGGGAAATGAGGGATTAGGGAGAGAGAGAGAGAGAGGAAAGAGCAAGCTTATTTATTTTTCTTTTGAATAAAGCTAGGTTGTAAGGGTCTAGGAAACAGGAAATGTTCAAGTTCTATTGTTCACAGGTAGAGTAGCAAGAGAGCTGTCATAATTAATAGTTAAGGAAGTCTCTAATAATTTTCCTGTCTCTTTTATTGAGTTTGGTTAAAAATAGAAGGTGTGATGTGGACAAAAGTGTGCCCGACTCAAGCATGCCAGTTCCTTAACGGCATCAAGATTCTTTGCAACAAAATTTGGCTGTTACGAGAAAGAAAATTATATCATTACCCTATCAATTATTCGTACATCAACACTGAAGCTGTACACAGTAGAGAAAGATTTTCACAACAGACAAAAATTTTCAGATCAGGAAAACGATTTTTGATTTTGATTACTTCAAAATATTCATTCATCCGTGCAAGAATTGTTTTAGAGAGGGAATTTTTAAAACAATCGAGCAAAGTGCCTAACCTTAGTTTCTGCTCTTGATTTGGGTACTTTCAGCCTTGCTGAATATTTTAAGCCTTGAATACAATTTTGTAACACAATAGAAATCACGTGATCGATGACGTCATTCTCCCCGGTCATCAACATTTTTAGTTCTCTTTTTTGAAAAATCACTCCAACCATCTTGTTTGGCATTTTAATAGGAGCAAAAACTTCTCAAGAATAAACTCTATCAGACCTGCAGATAACGAGTTATTGCTATTTAAAGTTTGCATGACGTCATCAAAATGGCGGTTCTGAAGTTTTCGAGCACGTGGAATTCAAAGGCTGGTTGTCGTTATTTAGGTTGCTTTATCTCGATTTTGAAGTTTTTCGACCTTCGTGTTATTTAGCAACTCAAGGATGTCATTTGAGCTGATATATTTGCCCGCCTGGGAAACTAAGTATTGAGCAAAAATGCAAGGAAAACGTTCTAATGAAAATTTGTCTTCAAAAAGGCTATACTGAAGAGGAGCTCTCGTCAGCAATGAAAGACCGTCAATTCGTCAGCAATGTCGCTCGGCAATGTACTCCAACTTTTGCAATTTGAAGCTTTGCTGAGATGTGATCCAGCATGAAGATGCTAGTGTTGGAGAATATACAAGTACATACTTTGTTTGTGTAATCAAGTTCATCCTTGAACAGAAAAAAGTTTTCCTGAGTAAAAAGGGTAATTTTTTGTTTTAACCAAGACAAGAAAGTCTACAATATACGACTAAACTTAACTGTTCCATGCTCCCGAACATTTACCCACAAATCTACTTCCGAAAGACAATGTGCGAAATAAAAATAAAGTCGAGCGTTATTTAAGAAAATCTTTAGCCGAATCTTATTAAAAGCTGAAACAATATAAACCTTCGATCTTGACAATCAGGGATAATCCTTTATTCATTTCGTGTTAAGGCTTTCGATGAAACTATCCAGGTTGTATTCGTTCTCATACTGTCGTTCGTCCCAGAGTTCTCCAATATCTTCTAAGAGGACCTTCATCGAAGTTCGTTTGTTTGCATCTTGGCCCTCTTTCTTCTCTTCAGACTTGCCTTTCTTCACGGAAAATAGGTCTAACAGCTGACTTGTGTCCATAGATTGTAAACTAGAATTGTCTTGTGTTATAACACTATTGGCTATGCTCAACTTGAATTTCTGAAGCCTGGAAAAATTTCATAAAATTACAGTTAGTGAAAGCGGGTGTCAACTGTAATGCTTTTTCAGAAGCACTGTATATAAATGTATTCAAGATGGGCAAAATAGAAACAAAATAATGTAATAAAATATTGAGGAAAATGGAGAATAAGTTGAATAGAATGGAAATAAAAATAACAAAAGAAGATAGAAGGTAGAAGGTAGGGAAATTACAAGAGGAAAAATGGCAAACATGAAAGAGGGCATTAGGAAATTATTAAAGAGAGTCGTAATTAAATGTCAGGCTTTATAAAAATTAACTTAACGGTACTCATCAGCATAAAAGAAACGGAATCGAAAGGACAGGGAAGAACTTTTAGTTGTCTAGAAAAAAGCGATATAAAACTGAAATATGAAGACACATTTCAAAAAAAGAATATTTACCCCATAATCTTTTCTTCAAGAGTTCCACGTGAGATCAAACGATAAACATTGACAACTTTTTTCTGACCAATGCGGTGAGCCCTGTCCATCGCCTGCAAATATGAGACATAGTTATCAAATTTGATATTGTACTGTATATGTATCCATCTAAAATCAGGGGCAAAATTGTTGAGATAAAAATACAACCTTGCATAGGCGTAGACTTAAATTTTTTCAGGGGGGGGGGGGGCTCAAAAAAAATAATGACAATTCCTAATGGCAGCTGCTGATGTCACAGAATAGAAAGTGGATTAGCTAAGGGCTTAAAGGTGATTTTTCCGTGCATTTTTCATTATCAAGGAAGAAAAAACACACAATCTGACCTTATGTTCACAATAATTTCATACTTTATTTTACTGTAAACGCAATTATCTAATCCAACAAACCTTATGCGTGAAACCAATAATATAACAAACTAATCTCAAAATTGGTAAAGCACTTCCTTATTTTCCAGGGTTGGGCTCAGCCCCCTTCGGTTTTCGTCAGGAGGGGCTGAAGCCCCAGAGCCCCCCCCCCCAGAGTTTACGCCTATGCAACTTGGCAATTGGCTACTTTACGTTGCCCCTGTAACTTCGAATCCCCCATTTCCCCCGAATCAATGTTGGATTTGTAGTTCTATCATTTGTGCTTTAAAACATGCATTCAGCATTAAACATAAAAAAACCGAAAATTGGTATATTGTTGACGTAAAGTATTGCGCAAACAATATCAAGGATTTATTTTGTTTATTTAAAAGTCCAGCGGAAATAAATCCTACCGAAATTTTCGGTACTTAATACATATTTGAAGTTTGAAAGTCTTCATATCGTTTCGTACTTTGTCTTCTCAAGACCTTTTTAAAAAAAACTTTTGTAGTAATTATTCCTCCTAATTCAATAGTTTTTACACTTGCATAACCCTTAGTTTATGCTGGTCGATCGTGCAATAAAACATTTCATATATGCATATCAATTTGCCATTTGATTAAGTGCGGTTTCGAATTCCTTACTTATGATCTTTTGCTAGGTTTGAAAACTCCAGCAATTAACTTTTCAAAATGCCGAGCGAGTATTACTGTTCAACAAATCACTTTCATTAAAAATATGTAAGATCTTCAAAGTCGTAGGAAGTTTCACTGCAAATGTTGCTGTTTTACTATGAAATGAGTATAAAAGCATGTAAAAATATTTCCTGGTCTCACATTGACAGGACCAATGTTTAAACGTGCGCGAAAGCGAAGCTAGGGTAGATCCTTCCATAAACGATTTTCTAAACTTTGCATCTTCTAACTTGATGTAACGTGGAGATAGCCACGGATTCTATAAGTAAATTGTTCATTTAGCTGAAGCTGTATGCAGTATTACTACACGTCACCGAAAATTCACTCATCTACAGAAAAATGCACTTAGCCGCGTAACAGATTGAAGCACGGACTTCTCACATAATCTTCAACACTAAATCGCCGTCCTTCTTCACGCGAAAGCATATGACGGACCGGCGACATCAATGGTGGCTTCATTGTTACAAACACAATAACAGAAAGTGATTTATATGCAGTCATGTCTGCAGAGGTGCTGCAGAAGAAGTCGAAGTAGAGCATGCAATCGCAGGAGTTACGATCTTAACACTTTAAAGGGGAATATTTTCACGTCCCAGTTAATGTTTTCGCAACAGTGGCAAAGTCACGACAAGCCAAATCACGACATGTAAGTCTCAAACATACATTTATTATAACATACATATATTTATGTCTCAAACATTGGATTATTCACGTCGCACAGTGCTCAATACGTGAACATGTTGAGCAAGATATACGTATATTTAGGGTATGAGAGAGATGGGAACTACGTTTTACATCTCTTCAAGAGATAAGTGATTTGGAAACAGGCTTGTAGAGATGTAAAACGTACGTACGCTCAATACACATTATTCATTTTTATGTATGTGCCTCCATCCAATGGTGACTGCTGCAGGTGTATATGCAATATGAATGATAATTTCATTATTTGTTTTTAGTATTGGATTGATTTAACGAGTTGCCGTATACCAACACGCCCTGTAAATTGTGAATGGCTACTAGGTTTTCTCTTCATCATCAAATATATTTTTCTTGCTGCGTCACAAGAAGGCCCTTCATCAAGAACCTTCCCTCGATGAGATTCAAAGCAGCACCAACGGCAAGATTTTGACGTCACACAAGGGGCACTTAGCAGAGTTACATTTACACGGGGGGGGGGCACCATCGGATCACATTCTTCAATCTAATGGGTGCTGTTACCAACACTAAATAGTGCGTGCTTAATATAACAACAAAGACCGAATGAAAACATATACCAAAAGCCCAGATATAGAGAACACATATGGCAAAACATTCTTAGAAGCATGCTAGAAGAGAAGGAAATCATGACACTCTTGAGATTATTTGGCTTTTGTAAGTATCAATTCAATCTTCACTTGATTGCTGCAAGGTTTTATTGTGAATAAATATGAAGCAGTAACAAAAAGCAAAGGAAAATTTTCACAAAGAAGAAGCTAGATGTTGAACTCCTCGAATAAAGGTAGTTTCCTTCTATTTCTGAAGACCCCTAAGAAATGCATTAGGTAGACCAAGAAATTAAAGACACAAAGAATAAACCCTAAACAGTTTAAAAAAGTAAACTGATAGAATGTGAATAAGGCCAACAAGCGATTTGAGACGATTTAATGCAAAGGAAAATTTTATTGCAGTGGAACATGAATTAAGTAATTTCGAAATACAGTAGCTACTGTCATGGAAAAAGAGCTCGTTCAATTCCCCTGGTTTGCCGTTGTCAATATGACAAGCCGAAAAACACCAGATTAATATTATGGAACAACATTTAATCTTCATGTCTCAAAGCATTGAAATATCAACGCAAAGCGAATGAACTTTATGAAAAGTCAAACGATAAAATCCGATCTAGTTTTTAAACCTTTTCTTCCTTGCATGAACATCACCATATCGAAAAATGACAACCATTCGTCAGTCAACTCCTACACAATTTTTAAATAATGTCAGCATTATTTTGTAATAGCTACAAAAAAGAAAATAAAGCTCTTACGTAGCCACTGAGAACAAAAAAACATACTCAAGCGATTGCATGTGAGCTTGAAAGTGCGTGACACTGGAAGATATTCGAGGCGAGAAAATCACACAGCCAAGAAAACAACGTAAGATCACCTGTGCTGTACTCAGCCGATCATACATGAATAATAGATGGCCAATAGACGGTAAATGGATATATATTTCGCTGCAACAACATTAGATTAAACTGTTTCCAAAAGCAAGGGCAGCAGCATCTCTCGAAAGAACTGAAAGGTATGTAACAATAATTTAGTAATATGTTTTTAGCCCAATATTTTGCTATAGAGATCACGTGCTACAATCAAGTGAAATGCCATCTTCTATCTTTTACCAAACAAACGATGTTTTGTAGATTGAAATTAGTCTTAACATAGCATCCTTCAAACGACAGTGGTATTAGGAGATAAAGTCACCGAAATTATGTCTATTACTAGGTTGGAAAATGTTACTATTAGTTAATTTCAGTGTCCTCGCCGGAGTACCTTGCAATGTCACATTTTAAAGGGAGTTCTGTATAGGAAAGCTTACTGCAAAGGATATTTTGCATGAAATTCTAATGATGCGAGATTTCTGGAGAATCCAAGAGACATTTAATTATCATGCATATGAGAAGTATCAAAATCAGTATAATTGAAACTACCTCGGGGCTGTCAGGATTTACAAATAGGAGATTTCCAATAAAAGAGAGAGTTAAAACCGGTTAAAACTGCCGCATCATCAGGTTACTCATTCGTTTAGTAATTGTCAAATCAAAGTAAATGCGCCATGGTTTCCAACTAAAATAATCTTAAAAATAAAATTAGAGTCTGAAGAGTCTATAAACTATTAATTTTCCTTCAGCAACAAGGTAAACGTTTTCAACTCGCCTAAAAGTCAGTGAAAAGAAGGCGTTTATTGTATGGCGATAAAATTTATTTTGATCTCAACGACTTCCTATCACTATACTGTCATTTATCTAGACTCAAATTACAAAGACGTCTTTCTAGATCGAAACTGCTTCGAAAAATAATAAATCTTTTTTATAAACAATTTGCAAAAAACTTCACTTTTAGTCAACTAGCTTAGAGCTGGAAAGGGTCCAAGAAACACAGATCTTTAGATTACAGAATCTAAAATTTTCCTGAATAAGCTTAAGGCCATTTATGAAACGAGGTTGGAAATTGTATTGGTGTTTCAAATGTTTTCGACTGCAGAGAAAAATTAAAATGTCGCTACCTTGCATTGAGTTATACTTTTTTGGTCTAAGCAAGTTCCCATCGGGAATTGCGTCTCCGAGAGCGATTCAAAATTGGACAACTAAGGTAGCAAAGTCAAGTTAGTTCGAGTGTAGAACCTCTCTTGCAAATTAAGGGCTATCCTATTAAGTTTGTATTCAGTCTCACTTGCATCCAGTATTGGCATTCAATTGATAAAAATTTTGAAACAGAAAATTCGAACAGTTTCATGTACCACTCTTCGAGCACTTATACGTCAAAATGACGTCACTGCAATGCCTGGCTATCATGGGACCCCCACGAGCCGGGCAATGGTGGCTAGTTGAAATTTTATTGTCATTATATACACAAAAACCGCTTAAAGTAAGTTTCGAGAGATTGCCTTAATGTTGTCATTAAGGGTGAAAGATAAGGTCTGGCATGGAAAGGCACATTAAGAGATTCAATTTAAAAGCTAAATACTGGAGAATTCTAACGGGGGTAGGTCAGGTAACCTTAAATGATAATAACGAGGCTTATCAATGGCAGATAGCAGCGCACTGCACCACCAACTTCCTTCGATTTCAAAAGTGAGCTGAAATGACTACATTTTGGCTTAAGAATATTTACTCCGACAGCGCAAAAATACTGAAATTTCCAAAGTAGGGCGTGACGGTATAACCGGCGATCAGATACCTTGCTTGATTTTGATCTAGGACATTCAAATTGAATTCTACTGTTTTCAAAACTCAAGTCTGTGTATGACAAGCTGGGCGAT